AAGCTGCCACATATCGTAAGTCGGTTGGTGTCGCCTTGAGATAGCTTATGCAGTAAATATTGCTTGTCAATTCTTGTCTCAGCCTACCGCCCAAGTTTTACTAGTACATATTATATGTAACACTGGATATCTTCGTCAAAGAGACAAAAATATGCACCCAAGAGAAACTTGTACAGTAAATTAAGTTAATGGATAGCCTAGCTCGGTATCCATATCTATTTTCTTGAACTCTTCTTCTGCCTTTGCCAAGTCTCTTTTCGCTGCATCAAGATCAACTTCTGCAGCAGCGAGGACATCCCTTCGCCTCTTTATTTCATTCTCCAAAATGTTCACGTCTTCTCTCAGTCTATCAACTCTTCCTGCCCTTTTCTTCATGACCAAAACTGATTGAACATGAGGCTCCAGCCAAACCAAGTCAAATTTGAAGGTCTCAAGCTCCTCCCATAACAGTTGAAGGCGTTTACAAGCATCATGGGTCATATCCTTGGCCTTTGTAGTCTTCAGAAAACGCAAGAGTCGGCCCAAAGCTGTGAATGCACATTGAATAAATGTACGACTTCTCTTCTTATGGCACTCGAGCAAGGAAGGATACGACGAACAAACTTCCTCTAGAAATGGCACAAAAGTTTTCTCTACTCGTCCTAAGCCCCTAAAATCGATAAGCTCCCCAGTTTCTTGGTCTTCTAAAATCTTAATACCATTACGAACTGAAACTTTGACTTCAACAACACATAAATCATTGATAAGATACCCTTTACCATGATCACAAAGCTCACTTAGAAGAATGAATAATTTAAAGCCCCAGGCCCAGCCACTTTGACTTGCCACAAACTCATGTTCTGCATCTGTGCAATGAAATGTATCAACGATCACAAAAACATTAACCAAGAGTCAAAGCATATAAACGAACAGATAATAAAGCAAGATGAATGATACGAAGCCTCATAGATAAGAAGCATAACAAGTAAAAGAAATTATTCGGACTGACTTGTAAGCCTTAATTACAACTAGCATAGCTTATATTCTCCAACATTTATCTGCAGCTGGAGCATAGATGATAAACATTTTTAACTTCGGAAATTTTCTTAATACATATATACTCAATTATAGAAAAATTTAGAAAAACACAATATTACTCAAACCAATTATAGTAAATTGAGCTTAAACCATAAAATTCATTTTCAACTTTTCCTTTATTTTTCTATTTAAAATACCCAATTGTTTCAAATAAAACCCGATTACTAGGATCCAAGTAAGCAAATTACCTAAACTAGCATAAAATCTAATTTGTTATATTTTTCAGATTACAAAACTACCCCTATTTACAAATTAATGTATTATGTGGGGGGTGTGATGACACAAGATGAATTTGGAAAGATCTCCAAATAGTTGTAATGGATGTAGAAATTAATTTAGAAACTTATTTGAAATTAAATATTAAATTCAACATTAATGTATTAGTAATCTATAGGTGATTAACGTTTTGGTTTATTTAATAAAAAAATTATGTTGTTTTCCTTTTATGAATTATATGACTAATAATCTATTTTATTATAGTTTTATGAATAATAATGTATATTCTAATTATGTTGAAAAATAATTTGATAATCTATTTATTGTTTGTTTTATGAAAAACATTTTTGAAATGAATCTATTTTTCTTTAAATAAATCACCTATTACTTGTTTTATGAAAAATAATTTGATCATCTTTTTATTGTTTTTTTTTAAATGAATCTACTTTTTCTCTAATAATGTACTAGTAAAATAATTTACCTAGTATAATGAACCTATTTTTTTCTCTAAATTTTGTATCTACTTTTTTTTCTCTCTAAATAATGTACCTATTACTTGTTTTATGAAAAATAATTATTTACTGTTTGTTTTATGAGTTTTTTTTTAAATGAACCTCTTTTTTTCTCTATATAATGTGCCTATTTTTTTCTCTAATAATGTACCTAGTAAAACAATTTACCTAGTATAATGAAACTATTTTTACTTCTAAATAATGTACCTATTTTTAATTTATGAAAATATGCAGAAATTTCAATTATACAATGTACCTATTTTATGGAAAAAAAAACCCTTTTATATTGTAAATAGTTCCTATATTTTATTTTGTAAATAATATATTTATATTTTTATAAATCATTATGTACCTAGTTTTAATTTATGAAAAATGTACAGAAATTTCAATCACGAAAGTAACTGACTTTTTTATGTATTAAGAATGTTAGTTTTAAGAATGAGTGATTAGCCTTCTCCAACCCTTACTACCCAACCTGAAAGCAGACAGCTAATGCCGTCCACTTATTGAATCGGGTTCTATAGTCGGTTCGCGAACCCTGTACCAATATTGATATATTATTTTTATAGGTAAATTATTTATTGGAAAAGTAATTTAAGGATTTGTTTTTTGGATTCAAAATATTTTAGAAGTTGCCGATGGGTTAAAGGGAGTGCCAACCAAAAGAAATGAGGTGATTGATATGCTAAGGTTGTTAATGACATGTTTGAAAATAAATATGAAGGTGTATTGTAATTTAGTTAATAATACTAGGACAAATCTATCTTACATGGCAACCTATTTCAAGTTTGGATTTTATGTAAAAATTTAAAAGTAGGTGGGTATGTGTCTACGATATAGTAGTTGTAAGAGCCTATGTTGGAACAACCCAGTATTTAGTAGAGAATAAAATATGCCACAAAATTTTATTTTGTTGATGCTAGAATTTCTCCATTAAAGCTTACTAAAACTAATTAGTTTTCCACCACAACTTAGGCCTCGTATGCCTAGACACTAGTTGACATCATATGCTTGCATCTATAGGAACATACATGTGACATCACAAAAACAACTAAGACAAGAGTCATATGCATGCCTGACCAACAATAGGAAGTAATAAGAAACAATGAGCTATGAACCAATGGATGAAAACCATCATGACTGATCAAGAAAAAAAATTTATTGTAGAAAAAAGAATCACTAAATTCCATTTAACAAGTTAAATTAACAAATGACAAGCCACAAGATAAAAATCCAGCATAAATTCGAATTGCGAAATAAACAACATGGTCATGATGGGCAGAAAAGATATATACCCTTTGTGATTGACTTCTTGCTATCAAGTTGATTAACCAGGGTGAGGCTGAACTTGGCATATCTGGTCGACCCAGATGGCAATGTTGAAGCATCGGCAACATCCAAAAACATGGACAAGTAATCTACTACGTTGTTCCCCTTAGGATATATAAGGATCTGCCTGATCAAACCAACCCAAGACGATTAAGTCTACATATTAACCAATTATTATCCCAGGAAAAAAGAAAAAATATATCTACCATTTATAGCCACCAATGACGAAAACGTCAGAATAATGCTTTTGCTTGTTCAACGTGGAGAAGTTGTCGATTCTCCAGGTGAATGTCCCAGACACAAGGTCCTCCTCTTCCTCCTCCTTCATTCTACCAAGCTCATCCCATAAATATATTGTAAATGAAGTAGAATAAATACGCATAACATAACGGAGACGTACTTACCTTCCAACTGACGACTCTGTCATGAGAGAGAGAGTCTTCATAAAAAGTAGTGGAAATTATAATTTGGCCGATAAACTATTGTTCTTTTTAAATCCTTGTATTGAACCCGAAAACCTCAGGAAGAGAGAGTCGCTTCTTTTTCTCGTCTGACTCTCTGAGAGAGAGAGAGAGAGAGAGAGAGAGAGAGAGTCACTTAATTATGGCATATTGGTTTTACAAATTCCGCCAAGTACTTTTCTCTTTTTCCTCATTACATACGGAAAATACTTACCACCTTCATTTTACTGGAAGTAGAAACTCCTACTTTATTAATCACAGTTTGACATGTGTGCTGAAATTCTTTTTGTGTTTTTTATGAATTATTTTTGCACATGTGTCAAATTTTGATTTAGAGGAAGTAGGAATGTCTCCTTTTAAGTAAGTAGGGAAGCAGTGTCCTCATATATATATATATATATATATATTTTTTTTTATTTGGGTTAAACACATTACAGAATTCCATCCAATGCGTCACCGAGATAAGAACCAAATGGTATCGTAAAGCTGTCCTTTTTGTCAAAGTAGACTTTATCTTCCGTCACTTTTCTTTCTTTCTTCCTCTTTTTCTCTTTTCTTTTCTCTCTCATTCTTCCTTCTCTTTTTTTCTCTCCTCTTCTTTTTCCTCTTCCTCTCTTTTTTTCTCTCCTTTTTTCCTTCTCTCTTTTTTCTCTTCTCTTCTTTTCCTCTTTCTCTGTCTCTCTTTCTCCTTTCGTTTCTCTCCTTTTTCTCCTTTTAGTTTCTCTCCTTTTTCTCCTTTTAGTTTCTCTCTCTACTTCTCTTTTTCTTTTTCTCTTGTTGTTGGTGGCCTTCGTTGGCCTTGGTTTGATCGTCGATTTCATTGTTAGATTTTTGCAAATCGTGGTTTTGAGTTTGCTTGCGTTTATTCGCAGCTCCTTTGGTTTTTTTCAACTCCGCCAAATATGATCATGTTGTTGGCTTTCCATGGCCAAGTTATTTTTTCGGCTCAAGGAGTAGTTTTTTATTATTTATTCTTAGGGCTTGTTTGGGATTGCTTCTCTAGGAAGTACTTCTGCTCATAAACGCTTCTAACAAAAGCGTCTTTTATTATGAAAATCTTGAATTTTCATAAATAAAAAAATCCAAGTGCTTCCTAAAGATGCACATAACAGGTACTTCCTTCTATGATCCAAAAGTGCTTCTAATTTTTCTGTCAAATACTGTCAGAAGTGGTTTTAGTTGTCAGAAAGCAATTTTAACCATTCTAAAAGTATTCCAAAACAACCCTTGTCTTCTTGTCATACACCAATCCAACAACCCACTATCTACCACTATATTGCTTTATTTATGTTTATTAAGCTTTGTATTAGTTGTACCACTTATATTATCTCTAGTTTATTATTATCAATCTTGTATAAATACCTCCTCTTATGGAGATGAATATAATCAATCAAATATTAGAGAATTACCAAATCTTCCAAGGTATCAGAGCCTCATGGCTAACCCCAAATAGCGATCCTCCATTTGCCAACATTGAGATTCGTTGGAGGTGTTTGTCCTGTAAAGTCCTCTTGCTACTTATTACCTCCATCCAGCTCTCCCGTGGTAACCCACGACAGCTCCATTTGTTATTGGCATGATTTGTGGACCCACCTTGACTTCTCTTGCACGCCGAGTTGATTGTATTGGATGTTGAATGCATCCTTGGAGTCTTTGAGCGAAGCCTTGCCATAGAGAGATTCCTCACTTTATTTATGATGATAGAAGTCACTATAGCCCAGAATCTTCTTATGTGCTTGTTCTTCCTCTTTGTTCCTGCGGCTCCCCCCTCTTTTTTAAGGCCTCCTAGCTCCATTTTATAGGCCCTTAGTCTTGAGGAGTTGGAGATTAAATGAATAATCATTCCATGGCCTCAGTGTTTGACACAAACACTTTAGCCGAAATAACCTATGGGCAAAGAATTATAATTCCATTTGAACATGTGCTCCATAACTGGAATATTGGCGTAATCTTATTTTATAGGAATTTCAATGTGTGCAGCCATCTTTTTTTAAATATATATATATATTGGTTTTAACAGTTATAATTCATAATTAAAAGTTAATTATGGAATTAGCTTTGACATTTGGAATTGGATTGAGTTTTAAATATGATTTAAAGGAAAAAGGCAAAATACCTAAAATCTATTGGGCCCAAAGATAAGTGTTGTATGACAACACAGATCCAAGGACCTAAGTCAAGCCCACCCTTCCCCCATGGCCGGCCATAAGGGAGTGTCTCTCTCTCCCTCCCTTTGTGTGTTTTTCCTATAAAAGCCAAAACATGACTCAAAACCTAGTTAGGGTTTTGGCATTCCACTCTTGGGTTTTTTATGTCTCTTCATTTCTAGTCCACTTTGGTGTTGTGAGGTAGAGGGCTTCACTCTTAGAGTCTTGGGTTAAGGAGATTGTAAGAAGAGGAAGAAAAGAAGACATTTTCCTACAAAGGTATTCATTCTTAGCTTGTCCAAGAAATAGACTTCAAATGTAAAATCTTATCATTTCTCTCTTTTCTATTTTGTGCTCAAAGAAACTAGATCATAAGATCCTTCGGTTAAGATGAAAAAGACATAGCTCAACTAGAATAGGCATAATCAATCCGCCATTATGAATGTTTATGTATTATATGTTGTGGCTAAATTCATTTCCAAGACATTAGATGCAAAGTTTCCTTCAGGTAATATCGCCAACTCCTCCACCACTTCTCAACCTAACCTAACCGAATTGGCTGCTCAAATGACCCAATTTTTGAAGATACATAACCAGACCTCACCCCCGACCCAGACACAGATCCCAATACAGACTCAAACCCAACTCAACTCAGATCTCGATACAGACTCAAACCCTGACCCTGACCGTTACCTATGAAACTTCTACTACATAGATTGGCATCAAGTTGGATGGAACGAACTATGCCCTATGGTCCTAAGTTGTTGAGATGTATCAATGGAGATCTCCCACCACCTCCTCAGACAAACCTGGTGTTCACTAGATGGCAAACGAAGAATTTGATTGTGAAATGATGGCTAATTAATTGTGTAGCCTAGATTTATTAGCAATTTTTTTTATTTCCTACAGCAAAAGTAGTGTGGGATGCGATTGCCACGACTTACATTGATGGAACCGACACCTCCCAGGTTTATGACCTTAAACGACGAGTCTCCCCAATGCGACAAGCAGGTGGCTCGATTGAAACCTAATACAACGATTTCCAAGGCTTGAGGAGAAAGATCGACTTTCATCATCCGAATATGATCGAGTATGAATCTGATATCCATGAAAATTGATGTTACACCTTTTTGGATGGATTGGATGACCGAATCGACAAGGCTCGAAGCAGTGTACTCTAAACGAATTAGTTTCCCATAGTGGAGCAGGCATATTGACAATACCCGCCGAGTATTCCCCTTTGGAACCCATGGAACCCTTATACCTTCCGACACAGATGTTAGGCCCATTTTACTAGACTGCCATTCTTTCCCAAGAAATGCAAAGACTTTTACCGAAAAATCAACAGACTTTTACTCTATTTTAGTCCTTCCATAAACAGATTGAAACTCAGTTCTTTGCCAATATCTAGATTCTCCGCTCCGGCAATGATGGAAAATATGTCAACCATGATTTTCAGAATTACTTCCAGACGTATGGCATTACACCACGGATTACAAGTGCTCACGCCACACGATCCCCTGCCCTCTGTTTTGATGCTTACACCACAGATTTTTGGGTGTGTGGCATTTGTTCATCTCCATAAAAACTAATGTAGCAAACTTTATCCATGTGCACTTCGTTGTGTTTTTATGGGATATGGCACCCATTAGAAAGGACATAGATTTTATCATCCTCGTACATGACACACCTATATCACTTTGGTTGTGACTTTTTTGGAGTCTGAGATGTTCTTTCATGAGCCGGTGTCCAATTCTCCACTGCAGAGGGAGATATAGAGTGAAGAGCATAATTGGAACACTCTAGAAGATGGAATAATTCACAGCTGGAAAAAACTGATCTATTGCCATGACCCTGGTGATCAATCGCTTGGAATTCAAGAGCACGAGGTTGCTCTCGGCCAAAAAACAATTGATCACCCTGACCCTAGTGATCGGTTGCCCTGGTCCTAGTGATCAATCCCCTAGAAGTCTAGTGCACGAGGCTCCTCTCAGTATAGAAGCGATCAATTACCCACACAACAGTGATTGATCGCCTGCATATTTTGAAGAGTTTTCGGATTTAGGTCAAGTTTTTATGACAAGGTAGAACAAGCTGAAGACCTTTTCCTTATTCCACATTACTGGCTGACCAATCTCCTGAGAATATCCCTAAAGTAAATACTCCTACTACTCCTATAAATTTAGTTGCTGATTGTGTTGGATATTAATTACCTTTCAAGCAGAGCCGTGGAAGACCACCAAATTGGTATTCCCTTGATATTGGCAAGACATCGAAGTACCCTATTGCAAATCATGTGTCCACTCAGAGACTTTCTGAACACCTTAAGGCTTTTGTGCATCAATTTTTTGCCATCCACATTCTGACCAAGGTAATTTAAGCATTGAAATATCCTAAGTGGGTTCAAGCAATGAAGGAAGAAATGAAGGCTCTGGAGAAAAATCAGACTTGGACACTTGAGACATTACCACAAGGAAAAATAATAGTCTATTGCAGATAGGTGTTCACCTTCAAATACAATGTTGATAGATCCATTGAACGATATGAGGCAAGACTTATAAAGGGGTACACACAGATGTATGGTATAGAATATGAATAAACCTTGGCTCCAATAGCAAAACTTAACACCATTAGAGTTATGTTGTCTCTTGCAACCAACCTAGATTGGCCTCTACACCAATTTGATGTAAAGAATGCCTTTTTGCATAGACAACTCACATAATAAGTGTACATGGACATTGCACCTGGATATGTTGCATCTACTCAAACGAGTGTACTATGCAAATTAAGAAAGGCATTGCATGGATTGAAGCAGTCATCTCGTGCATGGTTCAGACAGTTCACATGGCAATGAAGAACAATGGTTTCAAGCAAAACAAGTCATATCATACTATGTTTTTGAAACGCCATGAGGGGAAGCTAACGACCCTAATAATCTATGTTGATGATGTGATTATTACTTGAAATGATGAATAGGAAATCTCTCAGTTGCAATACTATTTGGAAACAGAGTTTGAGATGAAGATGTTGGAATTTTAAAAAGGTTTTAAAAAATTTATAGTTTTGATTTATTTAATTATTTTGGCTGTTTTATTTTATTTATTATGGGGGTTATAAATATTTAATTTTTTATGTTTTATTTCTATATTGAATGTCTTAATTTTATAGTTTAATGTAGTGAAGGTTACATGTTCTTGGATGCCTATAAAAGGCCACTCCTCCTTCACATTTGAACGACGACCACATAACACATATACTAATACAATACCATACTAACACAACCACCACTACAATCTAATTCTCTCCTCTTCCACCTTTCATACTTTCTCTACTTATATTATTATTTTGGGCAATGGTTCTGTGACTTGGAGACCTATATCCGACTGTGAACGTGCTCATAGCAAACCTTGAGCCTGTGTATTGGGGGTCGTATATTAGAGTCTTGTAAACCGTCAGTACCTACATGTAGGGAGGCTACAAAGGTTTTAGGACAACATCTTTGACGTGTTTCACCATACCAGGCTTGGTTTCATAATCTTAATTTATTTTGTTTTTATTTACCTAGTATTTGTTTCTTTAGTTTTACTTTACCTTAAAAAGCTTTCTATTTTGTTTTATATATTGTTTATAATATAAAGGTTTTTGTATATGGCTTTACGAAAAAGAGAAAAACTATAATTTATGTAACAAAAGAACCTCAGTGAACCTCAATGTACATTAGGTTACTTCACATTTGTGGGAGGTAATTTGGTTGCATGGAGAAGCAATAAACAAAAGGTGGCAACCTTATCCAGTGCAGAAACAGAGTTCAGAGGTATGACCAAAGGAATTTGGGAACTCCTTTGGTTAAATAAGTTGCTTACTGAGCTTGGGTATGCACTTACATCTGTGATGAATCTTTTTTGTGACAACAAGATTGCGATATCCATTGCACATAATCTGGTTCAACAAGTTCGCACTAAACATGTTGAAGTGGATTGTCATTTTATTAAGCAAAAGCTCGAGGCCAAAGAAATTCAATTTCCTTTTGTGAAGTCAGAAGATCAATTGGCAGACACATATTAACGAAGGCAGATTTTGGAAAAGCGTTCCACAATTTATTGGACAAGTTGGGCATTGACGACATCCATACAAGATCTCTCGGTTGATAGCGTTCAGTGAATTTACTCTTTAGTGAACACATATACACTTATCTTAGTGTCTTTACACAAATGACTTGAGACTAGTCATCCTCTTAAGCTTAGTAACCTATACACTTTTCTTAGTGTTTTTACACAGATATGGTAAAAATAGCATTATTGAGTAATTAATAAACTACAACTATTGTTTCGTCTCACGTGTTGAAATTTTTTATTTTTTATTTTGGTCAAAGGAGTGAACATGTCATTATCATAGAGAGTTACATAAAAGCCCAACACAAAAGTCAAAAATAAAAAACAAGAGCTTAACCAAACAAAATAAAAGCCCAATCCAAAATACAAATAATTTAGGCCCAAAACACAAAAACCTTATAAACAACAAATAGCCGCTGCCGTAGTCAAAAGAAGAAGAAGGTTCAGGGTTTTGTTTGTATATTTGTTTATGTTTGAAATAAAGGAGATTCATTATTATACCCAATATAGGAGCCCAAATTATTATATATAAAAAATATTATATATGAAATGGACTTTAGAAACACACCCAAAGCCCATTTACAACATAACAAAAAGGCTTATAACTTCTTTTAAATTACAAAACTACCATTGATTTCTTAAAACAAACCCAACCCCAAAATCTCATAAATAAATAAAAAGCCCAAAACACTCAATAGGGCATCAATGTAATTTAATAATGAAAATTAAATTCAATAAGGCCAGCTATTATTTTTTGGGTTTTTTTTAGTTTGTTTATAAAAATTAAATTGTGTGGGGTTTATTTATAGTTTTAGCGCTAAGAATGGGTATATGATTAAATATCTCTTGAAGTAATTTGCTTTAAGCCAACGGTGCAATCGTATATGTGTGTGTTTTACTAGTAATGAGAATTTACACAGTCGTTCAAGTTTCTTTCAAATTCAATCATACTTGGTTTGGAAACCTCATATTATTACTTGCACCATCGGGAAATATGGTGCCCAATACAAGGCTACAGATTACTTCCATAGAGAGCGTTTCGGTGGGGTGATAACCTCCTCAGGGAATACAAGCCTATTATGCCTTGTAATTCTATGTTTCCTTGCAAATTTAATTTCCAAAAGTCGCTTCTTCGTTGTAGGCATAAGACCATCCCCAATGCATTTGGACTTAAACCCCAAAAATTTCACTTCTCAAAATACAATAATTCATGTATTATCACTATTAGTCTCAAACAGTTTTCCTCCCAACCATGTTTTCTAAAAATTTGAGTTTCCATTTTTGTTAATTTTGTGAATGCTATAGTTTTTTTGTATAAATATTTTAAGGTTAAAAAATTGAAATTCTAAGAACATTTTTTTTTTAATTGAAAATTAAAACGAGCACAATAATGAGTACAACAACATTATTGGAACTAAAAACACGTAAAATAATATTAAAACTGAAAATGAGTACCACATGACTTAAATTAAAAACAACATTAACTAAACAAAAAACACCAAGTGCTTAATAGTCTTAGTTTTATTGAATGAAATCATGGAATATAAATCTCGACTTAAATAGAGAATATACATATAAAAAGAATTATGCATATGAAATTTAAAAACTGACTAAAGATATACAAATGAATGAGGATCTATGTTTTTTGAGTTAGGGGTCATCATTTGGCCCACAAATCCACGGGCCAATGATTTTTTTAATAAAAGCCCATCTCAATCCGACCCAGCTCAGACCATTGACGAGCCTTACTTTGAGTGCAAGAATCATCAAATATAACAAGTCAATTAAAAAAATTTCCTCAACCTAATCAATGGTAACTTCAGGCTTGGGAAAAGGTTTCTCGACTCATGGGAAAATGATGGGGGAAATGAAACCCTCCATCCATCTTGGAAAAACAAGCGAAAGATTTATTACCTTTTTTTATGATCAATATGCCCCAATTAACAATTTAAAATGCAATTCTACCTAGAGAAACAAATGTATTTCTAAATTATGGGTATATCCAGAAAGAAGAGAAGTGCTGCAAAGTTTAAAAACTTTATTTTAAAAAAAATTCAAGAGGGCACAAATGTCTTTATATTTTCATGCAAGTGTTGAGGCCCAAAAAATCTAAGGCTGGACTCAAATATATTTTCGGCCCAATACAACACCAAGCGGAAAATCCTTATTTAAGTAACATGCCACGGTACAAGCTTAAGTGGGCCCAAGACACACGAATTCCTGGGGCTTGCTGAGCGAGTTGTGGTATGGATGGTTACGAGCGTTCACGAGGCTCATTAATGGTCCAAGGAGTGGAAGTTTTGGGCTACTTGGCAACACCAAAACTCAAGCTCATTCCTTGAGTCCAAACATATGGGTAAACATGAGAGAAAGCCTAATAGCCCATCACCTTATGAAAAGGCCCATATCAACCAAAACCTCCAGCAGCTGGAAGCAAACTCACAAGCCGCTGGAAACAAAACAGCCCAGCCCAGCACCTTATAAAATATCCAACGTCGTGCATCTTTGTTAAAACCATATCGCAGCCAAACCACCAAAACCAAGCAAACCCATGTGCTGATCTCCTTTTTGACCAAGCACCCTTACTCATTCTTTCCTCTTTAAGCTTTGGTGAGAAAACAAGAAACAAAAGTGGGTGGCTCCTCACCCACATGGAGAAGTCCAGCTGCCTTAGAACCTTGGAACCCCAAAAAGTTGCGTGCCTATGGGTTTAGGCTAGGGAAATTTCACCAAACAAGAGTAAATGGAAGAAAGTGAGGAAAATGGGAGAGGATGGCTTGACAAAGTTAAGGTTTTCAATGCCTATAAAAGGAGCCACTTTCTACCCAGCAAAGACAACTCACCTTGGTTGCTGCAAGCCTCCCATCAACCATGAGAATTCATCGAAGGCAAACATCCCTTCTGAAACCCTTCAATTTCATGCTTTGTTCTTCCATCTTCCTCATTTTTCTCTTTCAAAACCCACATCCAGAGAGAGCAAGCATCATCCCTCATCTCTAGAACCCTTCGATTTCAAGCCTTGTTCTTCCATTTCTTCCCATTTTCTCTTCTGTCAAATCACCCAGGAGCTTGATGAAGCTTTCATCAAGCTGCTAGAAATATGCTAAAGCCATCCATGCTTCCATCTTCTTCCTCTCTTTCCATAAACACACATCCAGAAAGCAATCATCATCTCTCATTCCTGAAACCCTTGCAATTTCGAGCCATATTCCTCCATCTCCTTCCATCTTCTCTTCTGGAAATCGCAGCTCTTTCTCTCTCTCATGCTAAACTCATGAATGCTCAGCTCCCATGCCACAAGCTTCTCATGCCAAGCCAATAATTTATCTGTAAGCGACTGTTGGTTTCATTGATGAAGAAGACCAAAGTGTTTCCTAAGACTTAGCTACCCTTTCGAAACACTCTTGGGGCCTGATTCTTGAACTCATACACAGGGGCAGCTTCACCTGTTTCTCTTTTTCAGAAGCCTAAGCCCATTCGTCAGGCTACTGGAATAAAAAGACCCCTACAGCAAGAAACTAAAGATGGGACAGAGTTGAGGAAAATAATAATAACATTGACTTGCATTTACGAGAAACGTAATTAAAGACTTGTTTTTCTGTTTAGACAACAATATCAGAAGTATTTATTTTGACCCATTAGATTGCTCACAATCTCTTAAGGGTTGAAATCCTGTGCTTAACTTTGTCCTTTCATAGATGTCAGTGTCACCAAATCTGAACCCTAATGGTAATGAATTGAAAGTTCCCTTAGCATTGTTGACAATGAGTCCTTATAACACTACTTTAAAACAAAAGATCGAGCTCAAGAAGAAGAAAAAAAATACAAATTCCACATGTAAATAACTCTCCAAAAGGAATTGCAAATTGCTAATATTGTAAAATATCATGAAATACTGTTACACAGGTCGAATGCAAGTACTCCATAAATTTTGAATTATGTTACACAGATTGCATAAATTTTGTAATTATCAAAGACAGAATTTTCCAAAATACGGCTAATGCCCCCCATAACCCAACTCCCTATTCATATTTGTATCATTACCAAAGCCTACTTCTGCCTTGGCCAAGTCTCTTTTTGCAACCTCAAGATCTATCTCTGCAACAGCTAGCCTGGCCTTTAGCCTCTTCACTTCAATCTCCAACGCATCCACATCCTCTCTCTGTTTTTGAACTTGCCCGGCCCTTTCCACAAGCTTCTTCAAATTAAGAGCAGTTTGTACAGAAGGCTCCAGCCAAGCCAAGTCAAATTTGAAAGTCTCAAGCTCCTCCCACAAAAGTTGAAGGTGTTCACAGGCATCTTCGGTCATATCCTTAACCTTCGTAGTCTTCAGAAAATGCAAGACTCGACCCAAAGCTGTGAATGCCCATTCAATAAATGTACGACTTCTCTTCTTTTGGCACTCAACCAACGAAGGATGCCATGAACAAACTTCCTCTAGCAATGGAACAAAAACTTTCTCTATTTTCCCCAAACCCCTAAAATCCATGAGCTTTCCAACTGGAGTGAAGGGCACTTTGTCATGCACCTTGACTATGGAAGGGTCAACATAGCTATCAGTAGGCTCAATGAAAACTTGTCTGGAACTTGGTGCATCCTGGAAAGCAACCACCTGTTCAGAACTAGGTGTTGTAACTGACGAGTGTGGAACTTGTACAGAATCCACACTCGAAGGTTCCTGCCCTTGATCTTCTTGCTCTGAAGGCTCTATTGTTGCAGAACTGCCAGTTCCTTGGTCTTCCAAAATCTTAATGTCAACCTTACGGACTGAAACGTCAGCTTCAATAATACACTTATCATTCCTAAGAAAGCCTTTGTTAGAGTCACAAAGCTCACTTAAAGCCATGAATGATGTGAAACCCCAATCACTCTCACTTGAATTGAACCCATGCTTACTGTCTGTGAAATCAAAATATAGGAGCACAGAAAACTTAGTAAAAACTGCATAGCTAATTAAGAACTAATAAAAGATAACAATAGAGGAAGCTTATTCCAAAGTTTAACATAACAATATATAGGAGAGTTCAACCACTGTATAGGAAACTTCGCTTCTGATCGTAACCTTTGGATGAGTCCAATGATTTCAAATATGATATATTCCTTATTAACAAAATACTTAGCCTCATGCATTGGAGCACTACTGGATATTTGTTATGTGTGTCTATCTGGTATGATACATACATAATATACAGATAGACAAACATAAAGTAGACTCCTAGCCAGCTTTGGGGACCTGACTAAGCAAATCATGCCTACATGATTTTAAGATAGTTTTACCATTTCTTTTCTAAAGCTTAAAATTACATGGGGTCCAGCTTTGTTAAATAGAATACATTTCTTTTTTCGGATAAGCCCTAAATATTCAGAATTCAGGTAATGTGCTTGCAATGGTATCCATGTATTGGCAATGAAACTATAATATTGCTCAAGTGAAATCCCAAACCCTGCAATAAAAAGCAGCAGATCTATTCTTGCAGCAAACAGAATATTTTGATCAAGCATCTTAACCTTCTTCTTATTAACCATTGCAATTAGATAATTATGGCTCATGTAAATCCTACTCAATTTCAAATACAACAAAGTCGAACATCACCACATGGAGATAAGAGTAATTTTCTTTGTGTTTTTCCAGGTTATTAGTTATTACCCTTTTTATTAACCTGAAATCATAATGTCAGAGCAATTGAATCTCAAATCAGAAAGTAAAAGTCCATGAAGGGAGTGTATTACTATGTTTTGGTCAGTTTCAGTAAGAGAATAAATAACATTGTAAAATCATGTGTTTGGTTATGGAAGAAGAAAAATGGAAATAGAAAAAAAAAAAAAAAAAAAAAAAAAAAAAAATTAAAAAAAAAAGAGAAATGTTAAAAGCCTTGAGAGAAATTACCACTTCTGGAGTATTTCCTAGAACGATGAAATGAAATAAGATTAAAAAAAAATATGTATATATATATGCGTGTGTGTGTGTGTGTGTGTGTTGAACAATAGAATACCATCGAACTCTATTATTTTATACAAGGGAAATCTCCATGGTATAGGAAAGTAAATTCCTGTAATTAATGGTTTGTCCAGAACAAAAAGAATAAATTTGCATATTTCCTTTCTATTTCCCTCTAAGTCCCTGATTCCAAACAATTGTAAAAAATTTACACCACACCCTAGCCACAGCCTGATTGCCTTTTCTTACAAAGTTGAATTGTAAGAAAAGGCAATCAGGCTGTGTTGCGATCATAAACAAAATTCACTCTACAAGAGGAAGTGTGAGCCTGAATCAAAGCAGAAGAACCTCCATAAAAAGATGCAAGAATCACAACTTCCATTTGACAAATTAGTCTTTGCCATCATGAAATGAAAATATAGCAGACAAATACACAAAAATAAAATTGAATCAACAATAACGAACAGTAAAGAAAATACCCTTAGTTATTGACTTGTTGCTATTCAGTTGATTAACCACAGTCAAGCTGAATTCGGCATATCTAGTCCACAGAAATGGCAAGTCTGAAGCATCTACAACCTCCAAATACACGGACAACTGCTTCACGTTGTTCCCTTTTGGAAATATAAGTATCCGCCTAGTCAAACCAACCAAGAAAATCCCATGATCAACAACAGATCATGAAAAAGCACAAAACTTTGAGGCATGTAAACAGCAGGGAGATACATAAAAATACCATTTCCAATCACCGATGAGGAAAACCTCAGAGTAAAGCTTCTGGTTCTTCAACTTTGAGAAGTTTTCAATGGTCCATGTGAATGTTTCAGATACAAGTTCTCCTACTTGCTGATTCTCCATTCTTGATCAACCCCAGACACACAAACAGTAAACAAAAATCACCAACTACTCATTATAACACTAAAATAAAGTAGTTTAGAAGAAGACCCAGAACTCAAACTTACCTTCAAATCCACAAGTCAAAGTTCGCAGAGAGACGAGGCTCTGCAGAGATGGCACGTCCGTAAACTCAAAAGCCAAGCAGGAGAAAGTGTACAGCCCAACGACTTTTCCAATTTTATATCGCGAAACTTTTGGATGAAAGGCAGATATTTTTCTCTCTTTCTACTACTTTTTATTTATTTGTCGTTTTATACTTTTTTTTAAACGAGAAATGTTGTCACTTTCTTTTTCTACATCATTTTCATTTATTAGTAGAATTAGGCTAATAAATACTTGGTTTTTTTTTATCACAAAACATCATTGAGGTAACCAAGCTATCTGATTGTGTACTTTCTTTTTTTTATATATTGTTTTGGTGACATTTGTGGTGATTATAATTTTTTTGGTACAAGCGACAGTCTAAATTAGAAAGAATGGGATTTCTCACACACACAACTATGATGTCGTGTGAATTCGAGACTGAGACCTCTAATCTATAAATTAAGGCTTTTTTTCACTCACTTAGATGCCCCTAACTCGTGGTGCTTGGATTAACATGGGTGCTCACAAACAAGTAATCTTTGTCCTCAACTTTTATCCAAAATTCTGTTAAATTGCTAACATGGCTTACATATCCAATAATATAATGTCAGGTAAATTTAAATAAAAAGAAATACATTTTAAAAAAATTAAGAAATATAAACCATGAAAAACAAGGAAAGAAAATGACTAACTCCTCCAGCGCACCAATCTTAAAAATAAAATTTAGAAAAGAGAAAAAGAATATACCCCAGCAACCCCCTCCCTGAGTTTGCCAACAAAGCCTCCACCCATCACTGCTTGCCACGGCTGCCGCCCATTTTTTTTCTTTTTCCTTCCTTTCTCTTTCTATTCCTCCTTTTTTTTTTCTTTTTTTTTTATGTGATATTCCTCCCTTGTTCTTTCTAAGCAAAATCTGCCCAAGGGATTCTTATTTTCCCCCGTTTCTCTATTCGTCCGTGGCTTTTGTTTGGGCCAAAAATTAAAAAAGGCCCAGTAAGGTTTTTAAAGATGTTTGATAGGCTTTGGGTCACTTGTTTCATTGAAAAGAGAGCTCGGCTTAAAAGAGAAGGCCGAAGTAGTGATTTAGCCCAATGGAATTTAGCTTTCTACAAAAGTTATTACCCACAATTCAAAAGGTTTCACTTGGGTAAATGCGTTTTACCCAAAACAGAAGCTTGAGTTGACTTCAACACCTGCGAAATTTCAGGAGCGAAAGAAGAACTGAGCGACCGCATTAAATGCAATTTGAGTCATGAACCTCTACTGAACCAATTTGCCGAAAAAAGTCATGTTGAGCCACTTCTCACCATCTACACAAGGATCAATGCACTCAAGCTTCAAGTCATCAAATGTTAATTTGCTCATTAATAAAAGAGTATACATCAAAGGCAACATGACTGAACATGTATCACAAACACTTTTCCACACACATGAGCTTAAGAAGAACTATGAAATCGAAGTCAGAAAAATACGTTCAAATGATAATCTGGCACAACTCTTAACCAAATTTATCTAAATGTACATTTCAAAAGCTAGTTCATGATATCAAATTACGTCGACTTTGTAAATAATCAAATTGAGGCATGTAGAAATAAGGGGAGCATTCGAGAGTCCTCTAACACACGATATATGCATGTTGTACTCTTTTTCTTTCTACTAAGATTTTTCCCAAGGAGTTTTTTTAAACAAAGTTTTAATAAGGCAACTTAAACGCGCATAACGCTATATCAATGTCCCAAGCAAAGTTGTACTCTTTTGTTCTTCACTTAGGTATTTTCCCATAAAGTTTTCCTACTAAGGTTTTAATGAAGCAACCAATTAGTGACTTGCAAACATCCAAAGAGGAGGGCTCCAAATGGTGGGTCCCACAAGTAAAAAGGTGAAAATAAGAAACAAAATGTGATGGAAGACTGACGAAGTGGTTTTCAACCTACAACAACACAATGAATGCTATGGTTAAAAGCCTTCAATACTAAAGATAAATTGAGTTGGTGCCCTACGTTTTGAAATCAATACACCTGATAGTGAGAAGAGAGACGTAAGCTTTTATACAATGACGGATCAAGGATTCGAATCTCATGTGGTCATGGTGTAAATGTTTCAAAGAAAATTTAAGAGAGGGTTATTTTTTTATTATCTATTTTTTCTCTTCCAAATGTTATTCCTTTCTCGGACAAATATACTAGAATTATTTCAATATGTCATTTTTCTATTTATGTTTTTGAGTGATTTCAATTTGTAAAATTTCAAACCATACCTATGCCAATTAACCAAACAACAATAATAGTGACGCAATAATAGGTGGTGGCTGACGACATAACTCTGACGGCAGTGGCAACACATCAACGACACTATAGTAGGTGGGGATTAGGATGTTGGGGTTAGGGTTTGAAAAGAGAATAATAGAAATTGGGGGTTTTTGGGGCTGAGTATCGGATGGGCTTTGAGGGGTGGGGGAAGGGTGAAGGAAAACTTTTGTTTTTTATTTTTAAATGACTTGGCTCAAAATGACATTATTTTGGCCCATGTCATTTTATAAAAAAAAATTTTGATTGAGCCAAAATAACGTCGTTTTGCTCAAGGTTTTTTTTTTTTTTTTTTTAAAGAAAAAAGAAAAATGCAGTGCGCTTATTCTTCCTCAGGCCATCTTCTTCTTCTTCCTCAAGCAAAACATCAAACAATTGGAAGGCAATCCATAGGGTTGCACCATCAGTTCAGGTAGACCTCCAAGCCTATTCCTATGGCTTATATAGGTTGTTTGACCCCAGTGAGCCCACTGTGGCTTCGTCTTTGCTCTTATATTCAGTTTATTGTAAATAGTTTATTTTACAATATCTACACTGATGTTACAACAAGCGTTTTTGTTGTTGAAATTTTTTGGAATTGCATTCATAATTCAGCCAAAAAAACAACTAGCCACAAAGGGCAAATACAAAGTAGCAATAAAAGGCCAATACAAACTAGCTACAAAGGCCTATTACAATAACATAGTGATCTAACATCAAAATTAAGACAATCTAGTGTTTCTTCACTAACGATCTTGCAGGATTGAAGAAATTTTGGCATTGGCATCCCAACTAAGATTGCAAACTCAGAACAATCAAAAATCGATAAAGCTTGAAGAAACAAAGCCATAACAATACAAATAAAACTATCACAAAAGAGAGATGTAAAACTCTAAAAAAGGAGATGTGAAAACTACATAAAAACTTAAAAGAGTCTTTGCGACTTATTACAAACATAAAGAAACCAGAAAAAAGATAATGGTTGAGATCTGAGGCCGAAACGCAGGTGGAGATATGACACTGAGATGCATCCATCTGTGATGGGTGAATCATAACAAAGCAAAGACAAAAGGGAAATCTTCAGTCTAAAATTAGGGGAAAAAAGGAGAAGGGAGTAAGAGAAAAGGGGAGAAGGGGGGAAGAATAGTGGCTTCCTCCCCCCTCAAAGTGAAAATGAAGCGAGGAGTGTATTTTTGTTGTTTTTGGGGGGAGATATTATATCAAACTTTAAGATAAGAGCATCTCCAATGATTAGGTGTATAAAGGGGTGTATATCACATTAACACCCCCTTTGGCCAAAAACACCCTGCAGACTGCGGTGTGAGTGTGTATTTGGGTGTAAACATAGACGAAGAGGGTGAGATGTAAAAAAAAATGGAGCTTTACATCTGTTTTTACATCTTGAAATTAGGCCCTGCGTGATAGAAAGTAGGAGAGAGAAGTGAGAAGAGTTGCAAATTTTCCACATTTACGCACTAGTGACACACGAATACAGTCTAACTCGCCCAACATTTTATAGTGGGGGCCCCATTTGGTTGAGTGTTGTAGCCGTTTGGAGTTGTTTTTTGTTTTTTGTTTTCATATACTCCCTTAATTACCAATGACTAGCAATTAATTCAAAGGTTCATAAATTTTTTAAAATAAATTTATATATAACCATCAAATGGTTTAGAAAAATTATATATATAACCATCAAATGGTTTAGAAAAATAGTAAAGTAAACACCTACAATGTTATTTTATGAATTTTGCCAGCATTTTAAAAATGTTAGGTCGATTTGTTTGGAAAAAAAAAAATTAAACTTTACAAAAGAAAAAATTAATACAAGAAAATTAAATTTACATCTTCAAATTTACTTTATTTTCATTGAAGGAAAAATTATTTTTACATCCCAATATTGTAAAAGAAATGTAAAATAACTTTACACCCTTGAAAATACACTCGCGACAAATAATGCCCTAACATTCACAAGTTGAATAAGACACGCGGGCTCCACTTTTGTTTTTGATAAAAAAAAAAAAAGATTCTGCTGTCAGCAAGAAGAAAACACTAGCCACAAATGTAAAATCTTTTCTCTTTTTATAGTTAAGAGTGGGGCCTAGAGTCTTGTCTTTCTTAGTAAGCAAGCGTGATCACTCAAATATCTGCTGCAGCAAATCTTATCTTTTTGCAAAACTCTTTTTTTACCGGTTGCAGGGATTTTCACTTAACATTTTAATTTTTACACCAGCAATCCAACGGTCCAAATCACAGGTGGGATGTCGGCCACGGAATCCTGATTTGTAATTTTGCTGCTGCTGCAACTGTTGCAACTGCCACCATTTTCCGATTCACGGGGTCCACGAGTCTCCTTCTGTCTCCTACGTGAATGATTGAGACTTGACTCTGAGCATGTGGCTTAAGGTGTGCCACGTCGTGTCATCCCTGTGTAATAATATCCCATTAAATTTCCCAAAAAAGTCTTCGACCTCCATTTTTGCTGTGTGTCTCTCTCTGTCTGACCCTGCGAAACTTGGTTCTTGGATATTTTCAGGTATGTTTGAGTTAATGGGTTTTCTAAATTAGGCTCTGTTGTGTGATTTTTGGTGTTTATTATTGTTATAATATGGTGATTTTTCTTTTGCTTACTGTTTTTGGGTTGTTAGATCAAAAATGGAGGCTGAGCAAGTTGGGGAGCTTGTGTCTGTGACATTCACATGGACGATTGAAAAATTCTCTAGGTTGAAATCCCAGAAGCATTACTCAGAGGGTTTTTCTGTTGGTGATTTTCAATGGTATGCTTGAGTTGAAATCCCATCATTCTTTTTCTTTGGTATATAAATATATATATATATATGTATATGTTATTATCTTTGGCTTATATATCTCTATACTTGGTTGTTTTGATCAGGCAGATGGTTGTGTATCCAAAGGGAAGCAGTGGAATTCCCGGGAAGCACGATTTGTCGATATATTTGAATGTTGCAAATGCTTCAGCATTGCCATCTGGGTGGAGTAGATATGCCCAGTTCACCTTGACTGTGGTGAATCAAGTTGACCGTCATAAGTCAATCACAGTAGGTAAATTATCTACTCTTCATGTTGTTTATTTCCCATTTTTAATGTGTAGTTTTGCTGCTGTGAATTGAAAGTGAACTCCTTGTACATTTTAATTTTGGTTTACTCTCAAAAACTTTAGAGAAAAATATTGGTAACTTTTACTTTCCCATACAAGAGAGATTCCTTCTGAAGAAAATAGTTTAACTTGGGAGAGTGTCTTATTGTTCATTGTACATTTTTCTTTTCTTACGTCATCTCACCCTTCTAGGAAATACCATGTTTGGTCAATTCTCTGAAGGCAATTAACATTACGTTCTTTTTTCTTTTTTCTCAATTAATTTTCCCTACAGCACCAAACATTATTTCTTTTCTTCTATTTTCTCTTACTGAAATTGAACAGAGCATTGTGTAAATTTGGTCATTTGTTTCCCGTTCTTCATCTAGTAATATCTCTCCTTCGTGGGCTTTTACTTGCTGATTTTAAGGTTCATTTCCTCTTTAACATTTCAATGAAAACGGTTGCCCTCGGAAAATTGTTTCGAAATAAGACTACATATGGCAACAGAGCTTGTTGGTAATTACTGGAAAAACGTAAAACAAACTCCTCCATGTGCAGCATGTGTGGGTGTTTACTTTTGTTATGCTGAAAATGTGTATGAAAATGTCATCCACGATTTCCTTTTAAAGTGGAGCTGTCCAGTTTATATATATTTCCAGATGGTGTGGGACATTAGATGATGAGATTCTCAAATTAGATAATATTGCAGATGAAATGATATCTATTTGTGTTGCGCAAACATACTAGACTAGACTATATTAGAAGAGAACGTAGCTGTATATATGATATTAACTTTGGAACGAGTTTCCTTTATTATTATTCTTTTATTATCTATTTCTGTTCATTTTTATTTTATTTTTTATGAATGTTTTGTAATCCATCGTATTTTGATTTTACAGAAACTAAACATGTTTTCAGTGAAAGTAAAAGTGATTGGGGCTTCACATCATTCATGCCTCTAAGTGAGCTTTGTGATTGTACCAGAGGGTTTCTTGTGAATGATATATGTGTTCTTGAAGCCGAGGTTGCAGTCAGTCAGGTTGACTATAAGATTTCAGAAGTCCAAGAAACTTGGTTTTGTACACCCATAGTGCCCCAAAAGCATGAGGATCAAACGCTAGGACCTTCAAATGTAGATTCTGTGCTAGTTACAGAGTCTTCACAACCTCTCAGGGAACCTTGTTCTGAACAGGTGCTTAACTCTTCAATAGCATTTACGACACGAAGTTTTGATCAATTGCTTGCTTTCCAGGATTCACCAAGTTCTGAACAAGCTTGCACTGAGCTTAATGATAGCCCTGTTGGCCCTTCCATAATCAAGGAACATGAGCAAACGCCCTCCACTCCAGTTGGCAAGCTCATGGATTTCAAGGGTTTAGGGCAAATAGAGAAAGATTTTGTTCCATTGCTGGAGGAAGTCTGTTTGTTGCATCCTTCATTGATTGAGTGCCAAAGGAAGAGAAGTCGTATGTTTACTGAATGGGCATTCACAGCTTTGGGTAGACTCTTGTATTTTCTACAGACTACAAAAGGTAAGGATATGGTTGAGGATGCCTGTAAGCACCTTCAAATTTTATGGGAGGAGCTGGAGACCTTCAGATTTGACTTGTCTTGGTTGGAGCCTCATGTTCAATCCGCCTTGGGTATGAACAAGTTTGTGGAAAGGGCACGACTGGTGAAAGAACAGAGAGACAATGTGGATGCTTTGGAGATTGAAGTCAAGAGGTTAAAAGCAAGGCTAGTTGTTGCAACGCTAGAGTTTCAGGTTGCAAAAACAGACATGGGATTGGCAGAAGAAAGCTGTGTTGAAATAAATATGGATGGTGAGCTTGGTTATGGGAGGCGTTCCTTAATTTAGAATTCACTCTTTGATGACAAACATATGCAATATATGTATATATATGTATTACATATGCAACTCCCATGTTAAGCATGATCCTATTTCTAAACCATTGTGCTGGAAAAGAACCCTCCATTGCAATTTTTGTTCTGAACCAAACCATCTGAAGTAACACTCCCTCCCCTGCCTCCATCTGCACAGTAGCGAAATCCCTGTGTGTGGTGAGCTCCAATAATCCCAAGCAACATGTCACCCGGTATGAGAATTTTTCATCTTAATTTGATGCTGTATTTTTGATGCAATAGGTCTTTATTTTGATGATTTAAGGTCTTTAATTTCTTTGATGATCTGATTGTGTTCTCTCTGTTCTAATATAATGAATTTTCTCTGATTGGGTTTTAAAGCTTATTCTTTATCCTTTTTGTTCTAATTGATTGTTTTTGTTTCTGTTCTTTTTCTTTTTGTGACCTGAATATATCTTGCGGCATAAGGGCGTTACTGTAGTGATGATTCAGGGTTTTAGTGTAATGCCTATTTTTAATTCTGTGTGATTGTTATTTATTTTTTCTTTTTGGAAGACTTGCGGTAGGTGTTTTGGGTGTATTTTAGGTTTTATGTAATATTATTATTCTGTAAGAGAGTAAATAAACTTCAAAGATCCACTAGAACATTTCTCCATCTGAAGTGGATCCTAGACAACTCATGTAGGAATTGAATCATTATTAGTACCCAGTTCTTGTTTTTACAGTGGTACACATAAGTGTCATGTTCTTACAAATTTTGATTATGTTTAATCTTCTTCTGTTTATTATGCAGGCATCATGACAATGCATTATATGCCTGTCCAGATATGTGCAGGAATCGCTTTTCCGAACAGACTAGAATCACCTCATTGTCTGGAATTGAAATAATTAAGGAAGAGCTTTGGAGGAGGCAACAACTGGAAATAGTTGTATCAAAATATTTATAGTGCTTACAGGGTTCTCATGATAATAAATTTTCTGTTATGATGGAGGCTATTGTTGTTGGGCGTACAGTTATGTTGTATTATTTATAAAACCTTGGTTTGGCATTAGTGTTTTATGCATTTGGTCTTGGTCGGAGTGGATGGGTGAAACTTTGAAGAAGGTTTTTTGGGTAAGTGAAAGAAGTTTAATTCGGGAGGGTTTATTTTATTTTATTTTATTAATTTTTTTTTCAAAACTCATTAGAAAGTTTTTTTATTGGTCAGGTGAAAGATTTCTAATCTGTTGTCCATATCACATGTTATTCCAGGTGATCGATCTGATAAGTAATCTAAAAACATAGGTATCCTACCGAGTGAATGTTGCGTTAAAAAAAAAAGAAGTTATTTTGACGGTTGGATTGCTGAAGGGGTCTTGAAGCTATTTTGTCAGTTGTTAAAAGAAATAGGGCAAACAGTGACTGCGAAATACAGTCTAGTCTAGAGCTGACCATTACTCCAAAATACGAGACTTTCATGAAATAGAGATACCACTACTTTGCTATTTCCGGCCAATAATGCTATAATATGCATAATAATATTTCAACGTGGTATAGCATTATTGACTGGTGATAGTAAAACAGAGTTATTCCGGTTGCAACTAAGTTTTTCTCCCAAAATAAAGAACATCACGTAAAACAAGTCCAATTCTAATCTATTTTATTAGTTGTTGATTCTAGTCCTAAGAAATTCCAAAGAGGAGGAAAAAGAGGAGGAAAACTTAGAAATGAGTCAAATGACATAGTAAATAATAACAGAAAATTTGTTTGTACAAATAAATTTCGGGGAAACTATTCGTGGAAGATCCACTTCTCTCTCGATCATTTTCTTCCTCGAACCCTGCAAAATAAATGTGGTCAACAGAGAACACTCGGGGGGTGCTGGCCAAAGACCTTCCGATGCCTAAGTCAATCAAATGGTCACAGGGAGATACAACTTTAACTGATAGGATGAAGCTTCCTCTACATGTGAGGAGGCAGCGCATGTGCTGGGAAAGGGGGCGACGACAAGTGGCCGTGAGAAAGGGAGAGAGAGTGGCGTGAGAGAGGAGTTTTGCTAAGGTTTTAGTGTGCTGAGATGCCATCTTTATATAGAGCCTCCATTGTGGAGAATAATTCCCTATTGATGAGAATTATTCTTTTCCATAAATCGGATGACAAGATAATATAAAGGAGATTTGTTGGAAATCGGATCCTTGATTTAGGATTTAATTACCACAATTATTTGACTTAAGGAATATTCCTTTATCCACGTGTCACATTCTGATTGGTTGCCAAAATTCATGTTCCCACAAATGGCTCCTAGATTCTGCATGGCGCGAATAGGGCATGTAGGAGATATGAAATGCTTGTTGGGCTTTTAAACTCCCAATTGAAGTTGGGCTCATTTTGAGATTTGGATTTGATTCCTTCTTGGAATTGTGGAGAATGCTTTTGAGGTTCCTTCTTGGCCAAGGATACCTAATGCTTATAAATACTTGGCTCCTCTTCGTAACTCTTTATCTTGCAATTTCATCTTCCTCTACTTTCTGACTTGCAGTGAAGAGAAGGATTGTGGAGGAGACAATTTTTGCCCATTGAGGAGAGGAGTTGCTGTGCACACCAAGGAAAGCCACGGTTTGTTTGAGATAGACCAATGCCATCAGAATCTCTTGTAATTTTGATCCCATGAATTACATTAGCTATACCCATATCCTTCATATCAAAAATTGATTCTAAAAATACTTTGGTCTCTGTAACAATCTCAAGATTAGTTCCCATAAGCATATCATCAACATATAAGCAGATAATTGCACAAGAGTTACTAGTAGATTTACAATATAAACACTTATCTGCATCATTGATTAGAAACCCATTAGAAAGCAACACTTAGTTAAACTTTTCATGCGATTGCTTGGGAGCCTATTTCATACCATACAAAGATTTTACAGGTTTGCATACCTTGCGCTCCTTACCTTCAACAACATGGCCTTTTGGCTTATCCATATAGATCTCTTCTTCCAATTCACCATTTAAAAAAGTAGTTTTTACATCCATTTGATGAATAACAAGATTGTAGATGGACGCTAAAGCAATCAATACTCTAATTGAGGAAATCCTTGTTATTGGAGCAAAGGTATCAAAATAATCTATATCCTTTTGTTGCTTGTAACTTTTAGCTACCAAACGTGCTTTATATTTATCAATAGACCCATCAGATTTCAATTTCTTCTTGAAAATCCATTTTCACCCTAAAGTTTTAGCTCCTGGAGGTATATCCACTAATTCCCAAACATGGTTAGAGAGAATCGACTCTAATTCATTGTTAATGGCTTCTTTTAAAAAATTTGTATCTGGTGCCATTACAGCTTCTCTATAGGTTTGTGGGTTATTGTCAACTAAGAAGGTGTAGAATCCATCTGATTAGTTTCTTTCCTTGCCCTTTTACTTCTCCTTAGTTCAACTTCTAAGTTATCATTACTTTCAGATTCTGATATTGAATGAGGCACGGGCTTTACGGTGACCTTCATAGGGAAAACACCCTAGAAGAAATTTACATTTTTAATTTCCACTATGGTATTCACCTCCATCACATTGTGATCACTCTTGACAACTAAGAACTTGTAAGCCACACTGTTTTGGCCATATTCAATAAACATAGCATCAAAGGTTTTGGACCCTGATTTTCTTTTCTTTAGTTCAGGCAAAAGGACCTTAGCCAAACACTCCCACACTTTCAGGTACTTTAGATTAGGTGAATGTCCTTTTCATAGCTCATAAGGGGTTTTTCCAGTTTTCTTATATGGTATCCTATTTTGTAGGTGACAAGCTGATAAGATAGCTTCGCCCCACAAGTTTAATGGTGCCCCTGAACTAACTAGCATAGCATTTGTCATGTCTTTCAAAGTTCTGTTTTTCCTTTCAGCTACTCCATTAGATTCAGGTGAATAAGGTGGAATTACTTCATGTATTATGCCATTTTCCTCCTCTACTTATAGTTTGTTTCAAATCACCAAGGTCACTATGCATCAAACCAAGTAGTTCCGATTCTCTTTGTACATGCTTACATGTCTTTTTGGTTGTCTTAGATTAAATACACACATACTGCATTTTTTATCTTCTGAATATGTGGGAAAAGATAGCAATCCTACATCTTTCATTTTCTTAATGTATGTGAAGTTCACATGACCAAGTCTACCATGCCATAAATTAACAGAGTCAACCAAATAAGCAGAAGATGTTGATGCATTTCCATTAATAACTTCATAAACATTTAGTACAAATAAACCTTGGTTGCAATATCCTTTCCCCACAAACAACCCATTTTTAGTCAAAACAATCTTGTCAGATTCGAATACGATTTTAACCCCCACTTTTCCAAGTAAAGCAATAGAGACAAGATTTTAATGAATATCTGGCACATGGACTACGTCATTAAGAGATAAAGTTTTACCAAAAGTAAGTTTGAGAAGAACCTTTCCTTTTCCAACAGTTGATGAGCACCTTGAGTCACCCATGAAAACATGTTCTTCTTCATCTCTAATTGGAGTGTAAGATGTGAACGCGTTCCTATTTCCACATATGTGCCTAGTAGCACCAAAGTCTACCACCCAGGGTCACCATGTTTATTGTGGGAGCGATTTTCGTCCCACTAGAATATTCGCCTAAGATTCCTTCGTCTTCTCTGCTTCTCTTTCTCCCTGCAAAATAGATCGGAGTAAAAGGACCACACCTGGGGGGTGTTGGCCAAAGGCCCTCCGATGCCTAAGTTAGGTTGGGTGTTTCAAGGAAAATTGGGTGGCCGGAGCTCTGTGTGGTGGCCGGAGCCTAGTGTGAGAGAGAGAAAGAATATAGTGGCTAGAGTTTCAGAAGGAACTCAGACGTACCTCAATCCTTGTGCGTAGCCAAGTATTTATAGGGGGCCTCGGCGAGGTTGGTGGGGTTGGTGTAGTTGGTGAGGTTGGTGTGGTTGGTGTATTTAGGGATTAGAGATTTAACCAAATCCCTAATTAAGGCGATGATCAAATACATCCAATTTGAATTATGTAACCTTCCAATTAATTCAAGTAACTCCCAATTAGGTTAGGTAATTCCCAATTAGGTTAGGTAACTCCCAATTAGGTCAAATAATTCCCAAATTGATTGGCCTAATTATTTGACCTAGGGTGAGATATTTTGCTTCCACATTTATCTCAGAGATGACTGCAACAATGATATCATCTGCTTCGACCACGTTTGCTCTAGCTGGATTGTTATCTCTCATCCTATGCCTGCATTCATGTGCATGGTGCCTAGGTTTTCCGCATACGAAGCAACTTCCCTTCTTCTTGAAGTTTGACCAATTGTTGGTTGACCTAAACTTGTTCTCATGCTTGGGTTGTGATCTGTTGTCATGCTTGGCGTTAGAAAATTTAGATTTATTGTAATGCTTGGAAGATTTACCTTCGATGGCATTGGCTTTGGACGAAATTTCTTTGGCTTTGATGACTTTGTCTTGCATACAGTTCTTTTCTTCGATTCGGATGTGCACAATTAAGTCTTCAAGGCTCATTTGCTTCCTTTTGTGCTTCATGTTGTTCTTATAGTCCTTCCATGATTCAGGGAGCTTTTCAATGAGACTTCCACACACGTGTTTCAGGTAGATCAACATCCTCATTTTTCAATTTGTTGACAAGCTTGTGGTACTCATGAATTTGTAATGACTCATCTTTGCTCTCCACCATTTGGAATTGCAGGAAATTTTCAATTGCATATTTTTGGGTGCCAGCGTCTTTGATCACATACTTTTTGTTCAAATTTTCCCAAATCTCTTTTGCGGTATTGTATGAACAATATATATCAAACAACTCGTTAGAAAGTGTGCTCAAAATGGTGTGCCTACGTATTTTGTTACCTTTCTCCCATATCGTACTAGTGCTTTATTGTAGTTGTCGGTTCCTTCTGCTGGCTTGAGCTTGGTAATGTAGGTGGAGAGATTAAGAACATCAAGGGTGGAAAACACTCGTACTTGCCAGCGTTTAAAGAAAGCTCATTAAAGGTATCGATCTTGGAAACATCAGGAAGTTTTGTGATGGGATCCATGGGTATACTCTTAAGATTGTTGGATAATCTTGGTTGTGGATGCTCTCCTTTGATCACGAATAGTAGGTTGAGGCGCGTAAGTCATTGTCCTTAAAGAGTAGATCCGCTCCTCTGAGATAATATCTCGATGTAGCAGGTGATGACGTCCTACCTTCGAGGATACAACAACCTTTGATCCTTGTAAACGTACACTCGCAATACTTGGATCAGATGAACACTTGAATCTTTACCATGGGAAGTAAAATAAATTTAACACAATACAAAACTGTATGAAAAATTGTGAGGAAAGGAAATAATGTGGGAGGATAGAAATTGAGAGAAAATGCTCGAATTAAGATTATCTCTTCAGCCAAAAATAGCCAAAGCTATATATAGGAGTTGCTGACCCCAAAGAGATGTTGGTCATTAAAGAAATTTTTTTCCATTTGATAAATAATAGTGGCACGGTTTAGAAATTGAATACTGATACCAATAACCAATTAAAAAGATATAAACACAAACGGTTTTGTAATCAAGACCTTCAGCAATCAAAGTGATCATATAAGCAAAAGCTTTTCCTGTAGGAATCAAATAAATTGAAGGCAAAGTCTACTTAAAAAACAAAGATAGCCAACAATATTTAATGCCCAGAATAAACAAACAAGTAAATGATATTTGAGTGGGTCTATAGTATTTTTCACAATTAAACCAATTAAACGTTATCAGCAATCAGAACAAAGATTCAAATTGAAGAAAGCAATTAAATCAAATTAGCTAACGTTCAAACATTAAAGTTGATTTTGAATTCTAAAATATTTGGTATTAAAACATATTTTGAAATACTCATTAAGATAAAAAACCAACAACATGTGTATTGAAGATTCTGTCGTGCATGTCTAAGGAGCAATAGTCCCCTTGTTGGACTGCTCATTCTTAGTCCACATGCATATTGAGGATTCGGCCATGTGATCTAGTAAAAACAATCCTTGTGTTGGATATATATAGAGCATGTGCATTAAGAGTACTATGCACAACTATGCACATTTGAAATGAAGTTTGAATATGAGATGGATATTTAGAAAGGCTTATTTACTGTAGTGCCCCCTGAAACTTTGATCATATCTCATTTTGCCCTCTAAAAGTTAAAATGGCCCACTTAACCCCCTTGACCATGGTTTCGTGTTCCACTTTGCTCCCCGCTGTTATCTCTATTCATAACTCTATCAATTTTGATGACATGGCATAGATATTTTCGTATTTTTACCACAAATAATGATATGTCATGTCATGTACATGGTCCTTTTATTTTTGCTTAAGTGAAATAAAATGTTAATAAACATTAAAATAATATAATTAAATAATGTATTTGCTATTTAATTAAAAATCTCTTGCTCTCTCGACCTTTCCATTTCTTCCTCTAATTTCACCATCATACCACAACCATCACCCAACACAAAGCCACCCTCACCACCACCTATCCAACGTCACTGGAAAATCACCCACCTGCCCCACAGTACCCATCTTCAACCCCGCCAAGACCACTGTTCACAGTTGATTGTTCTGATCGCAATAGTCTGAGGATCCAACTGAAAGAGGAAGGATACTAGCATGAATTTGACAATAGGGTACTAAATACGATTTTTGTCAGAGACAGAGAGCTTCAGCAACGCTTGTAAACAAATTCCTGCAATGATGCAATTTTCAATGATTTGAGTCTTCTCATCCCGTCTCTTTGATGTAATTCACATACAATATGACCCTTTTCAAATGCAACAACACCAACACCCTCATCCACAATACAGATCTTAATTATATTCGCATAAATTCTAACCATACTACAGATGAGATGCCCTTTTTGGCGGCCTTGGGAAGATTCGATCATGGGGAGCCAAGCTGCGGAGCTCTCGGGCAAGCGAAGAATGGCAGGGGTTTGAGCTGCAGCCAAGGCGTGGAGGCTAGGAGTGCTTGGGACACGACGCCATGGTAGTGCTCCATGTCGATGACGACAAAGTCGTAGCTGGAGAGGCCAACGATCTAGGCGAGGGTTGTGGAGAAGGAGATGAGGTAGTTGTTGCGGTGGAGGTGTGGTCGAAAAAGGTGGTTGATTTGATGGGTGAGGAGGTGGCAGTGAATTTTAGGGTTTTGACTGGTGGCGGCTTTGGGTGGCATTGGGTTCGGTGGTGGTTCTTGTCTGATGGTGAAGTTAGGGGAAGGAGAGGGCACAGAGAGAGATGAAGAAGAAGAAGAAATTTTTTAAAATTAAATTTTCCATTTTAAAGAGTAATTACATTATTTTAATTTTAATTAATATGTTATTTCACTTTAGCAAAAAAAGTGAGCCATGTACATGACACATCATCATTTGTGGTAAAAATATGAAAATAGCCTTGCCATGTCATCAAAATTGATGGAGTTATGAAGGGAGATAACAACATGGAGCAAAGGGACACAAAACAATGGTCAAGAGGGTTAAGTGGGCTATTTTAACTTTTGGGGGGCAAAATGAGATTTGACCAAAGTTTTAGGGGGCACTACACATAAGAAAGGGTATGGTTGCGGGAAAAAGGATTTTTGGGCTTTGATGATTATATTTTATATTAACAGGTTTATTTTGGTGGTTTGAAATATACGGTTTTACAATAAGGATTAAATGAATAAGTTTATGTTTCCCAAAAAATTTAGGAGTATTAATTAGATGGTTTCCCTTATCGTATATCTTGATATAAGTATATTGAATCGAATTATTTTCAAGTATCGAACGTTATATATGTACGTATACAAAAGGAGTTCGTTGCATAATATTTTGGAATTATTTTTTAAAACAGAGGGGGTTATTTATGTTGAATATAAATTATGTTGAACACTTTGTTTTCATCCATTCACATTTTCTATTTTTTGCCCCCAAGTTCTAGATATCCGAGGTCGAAACCACCACGTCGAGGTATCGCTGCTATCTGCACTGTAGGAATTCCTCACTTATCTCTCTACTTTCCTTTTCCCCCTGATTGTAAACTTAATCTTTAGTTGCTCTGCTTGCTCGTTTTGAGTTTGGGTAGAGGGCGTGAACCCCATTTGAATACTCTTAACTGTTGTGCATGCCTTTACCTTGTGCGTGCTAGAAGTTGGGCTATTCTGGCATTTGTTTGCAGGTACTGTAAATTAGGAAAATGTTCCACTTACAAGGTAGACTCTGTTGAAATTTCTGTAGACGTTGAAGTCCTTTCAAGTTTAAATTAGGAAAGAAGAGCACTTTAGTAAAGTGAGTCTGACATTGGCCAGATGTTGGATGGGAAATAGAGTTCTTCACGGGTTCCAAGAGGGAATTCGGGGCAGGTCTCGTCAACCTTGGTCTGGATTTGATTGATAGAAATCGTAAATTTAGTGTAGCTTTTACCAGATAAAGAGCTGCCTTTAGAGCGTGACTTACGCTTCCCTTCGTTATTCCCAATGTTGGGTACATCATTCTTCTATCCTGCTTCCTTGGGTGGCTGGTCGGCCTGTGTGGCGGAGTTCTTCGCAGCGATCCGATAGTCGTCCCAAACCTCGTAGCGTCCGCTTTTGTGAAAACATTAGCTAAGGTTTGGCTGGGAGCCATGGTCAGCTCGAGGTATAACTCATGCTCGGTTAGCAAGCCCTTCTTGAAAGTGAAGGATGCGATTCAATCATCGCATCCCACAATGTTGGATTTTTTCACTTTCATCTCTTGATGTAGTCTTGGAGAAACTCATTATGCTTCTTCATCAAGTTGAATAGGTGGTGAACTTGCTTCTTAAGTATCTGGTAGGAAGTATACTCCTTTGTGAATATGAGAGCTAACTCCCTAAAGTTGCTGTCGACCTTGGTGGCAAGGTGTGGAACCAATTTTGGGCTACTCCTGGGAAGGTCATAACGAACACCTTGCACATTAGCTCATCGTCGGCTTTATAGAGTATCATGACACCTAAAGTGCTTGAGATGACTTTCGAGATCAGAATCCCCTTTGAATGGTGTGAAGGTAGGCATCGAAAACCACCTTGGCGGAACTGCTTGCTCATCGGTGAACGACGATGAGTTCACTTGGTCTACCTTTTTATGTAAGGTGTCTTCCAAGTCTCCTCCGACTTTTAACTCTCGGAGCTGATCATTCACGAGCTTCACGACATCTTCCACTCGCAACACTTGCGGTCCTTGTTGAGGACGTCTGTGGAGTCGACGTCATTGGTTAACCTCTTTATTGGCTAAAGGTGGGAACAAATACACTTGTTTCAAGATTGGCCAAGCTACGGCGACGGCGAAATTGCTGTGGAAGGTGGAAGTGCCAGTGCCAATTGCGACTTCTCAATGGACAGCGGCACCACGAGCAGCAACGTTATCGAGGAGGACCGCCTCGCCATGGCCACAAAAAGGATCTTTGGTCTCGACTCTGGCTGCGGTATTGTGAGGGTGTTCCACGGCTCCGGCTGTGAGGCGGCGAGGTCCATTGGTGGTCCTGTTCATGGGGCTATGCAATGGAGCGGTGCTCAAGGCCAAGAGGCCGTGAAATAGGGCAGTGTTCTCGGCAGCGGAGCGTGGTGGTTGGATTGACGCCCTACCACCATGGTGGCTAGGACTACTAGTGGCGGATTAGGTTGTCAATGTGGCGTTACTCCTTGTGTGTACACTTTCGGCCATGGTTCTTTGGAAAGCTTCGGATGAATGATGAACGGAAGGAAAAAGATTTCCTTAGATTCGGATTCGAGAGCAACACCTTGAGTATATCTCAAATCTCTTAATGAAATCACCAATTTGTTTGTGCAATTAAATTTTGGGGAGAATATTCGTGGAAGATCCTCTTTTATCTCAATTCTCTTCTTCCTCGAACCCTACAAAATAAATGCGGTCAACAGAGAACACTCGAGGGGATGTTGGCCAAAAGCCCTCTGATGCCTAAGTCAGTGAAATGATCTCAAGGAGATACATGTTTAACTGAAAGGATGGAGCTTTCATCTACGTGAGAAGAGGAGGTATGTGCACCGGAAATGAGGGTGAGGGCACGTGGTTGTGAGAGAGGGAGAGAGAGTGTGGCGTGAGAGAGGAGTTTTGCTAGGGTTTCATAATTTCCTCATGTGTGGTGAGATGCCATCTTTATTTAGAGCCTCCATCTTTGATAAGGTTTGTGGAGAATAATTCCCTATTGATGGGAATTATTCTTTTCCATAAATAGGATGACATGATAATATCAAGGAGATTTGGTGGAAATCGGATACTTGATTTAGAGAGATATTTCTATCTTAAATAAGAATAATTGACTAGCTAAATATGATTTAATTAGCACAATTATTTGACATATGGAATATTTCTTTTTCCACGTGCCACATTTTGATTGGTTGCCAAAATTCATGTTCCCACAAAATTAACACACTACTAGAAAATGGGATTAAAGCCACATATCACAAAGCCAAGACAAAAAAAAATGGTGGCTTTTATACACTAATAATTGCCACAAATACTATACAAACGGAGGGTAATTTCCCAACTCAATCCCAACCCCCAACCCCCATAAAAACCTTCAACATTGGCTGAAAAGGTTCAGAGCTGTATTTGGAGCCTTATTTATTTGGCTTGTGGACTTGACTTCACCAGGTTTTCATTCTCTTCCCTCTCCATCTCTGATTTTATAAATTTATTGTTCTTGGTGTACTTAAACCTCTGCGCTACATTCTTTTGTTGATTTGTGAGGAATTTAATCTTTTGGGTCATTATATAATGAGTTTTTTTTGTGTGTTTCTAGGAGGTGGAGATTTGTGATTCTAGCTGGTGGTGTGGAAATGCTCATATTCAAGTAATTTTTAAACTCTAAATCTCTAATTGATGATAATGCCTAATATTTTTATTGGATAATGATTTATTGGATTGGATGAATTCTGATGATTTTGTGTGTGGGTGATTTATTGGATTGGATGATTATATATGATTATTTGATTTGTTGGAATTTAAGGTCTATGATTAATTTTGTGATGGACTTTTTTGTCATCTCTCTTTTTGTTCATTTGTCTTAATAAAATTTGTTTCTTTTAAAAAATTAATTGACTGTTTGGTTTGATTTATTCATGTGTAGAATTATGGAACAATAAGAGAAAAGTAATAGAAAATTATCTTTTAGTGTTATTTTCAACTTAAAAAAAAAAATCCGAACTTTTACACTAAGACCCCTTGGGGTAACAATCCTGGATCCCCCACTGGCAGCCAGTGACCGTCTTCCCCACCTGCAACCCACCCCAGACCCAATACTCATCCACAACCTAGCTCCCTCCCATTTCGCAACCCACCCACCTCCCTCCTCCCCCCTTCCGCCATCGCCGCCTCCCGTTTCTCGTTATCTTCCTCTCTCTCTCTCTCTCTCTCTCTCCTCTCTCTCTCTCTCTCCCCCTCTCTTTCTCTCTCTCTCTCTCTCTCTCTCTCACAAAAAGCATCAAACTTATCGCACCAACCAACCCTAGATCTAGCCCTTACTAAGTCAACCAGCCCCATCCCCCCTGCATCCCCCCTGCCCCCCCCCCCCCCCTCCTCTCTCTCTCTCTCTCTCTCTCATCTCCCCATTCCCTTATCTTGATTTTTTTTCCTTTTGATTTATGCAATTTCTGAAAACCCAAGCAAACAAAACATTGCATCTTGCAGAGGTTGTGAACCAAGGCAAATTAGTTTCAGATGAGAAGGTGGGGTGGGTGGCGGTGACGACAGGGTTGGGTGGACCATGGGCAACCTCGTCGAGAGAGAGAGAGAGAGAGAGAGAGAGAGAGAGAGAGAGAAGAGAAGGGAGGTTTTTTTTTGTTTTTGTTTTAGTTTATTGTTATTATTATTATTTCAATTTTTAAAAGTTTGTATTTTATTTTTCAGTATTTAATTATTTTTAATGTATGAAATGACCAATTTTCCCTTATATTTAACGGCAAATGGGATGAAATATTGATGATTTAGACGATATGGGGGAAATTGGCCAAAAGAAAAATTCATATCTTTAATTTTTTTTTGTTTTGGTAAAAATATCTTTAATTTTATATATATATATATAAAAGGATATGGGGTCAAATTAGGTACAAGTTTAGGAGGCAAATCACCATTTTAGCCTAATTAAATAGGATCTTTTATTCATCTTACTTGCCTTACTCTTGTACTTGTCCTCAAAATGATGTTAGTTCTGCGACTAGAGGGTTAAGTGTTTTGGGTTTTGTAGTCTGGTGACATACACGACGTTCAATTTTATATTGTCGATATGTCAGAATAATAATATGTTTATATCATTAACGACAACAATATGTACCGACATATTACCAATATATTTTTGCCAAAAGGCAAAATTCAAAAACTATTCTCGCGAGGAGGAGGAGCATACTTAAAATAATAATATAAAACTCGTGTAAGTCCTTGACCAAAATGCAAAGTGTATAGTATTGTGTATAAGAGGGAATCTTTTGTTTTTGGTCGAAATATAAGAGGCAATCTAAAAGACAAAAAAGAAAGGAAATCATCCATGTCTCTAGCATCCAGTGCCAACTGTAGTTTGTCACATTAACTTTCATGCCCAAGCAAACAAGTAAATATATAAACACAATGGAGGAAGCAAGCTGCAAATAAAATATATATGCACCCGGCCTTTTGCTTCTGTTACTTCTAGTGGTTGGTACCACCGTTCACAGTGGCGGCTCTGATGCTGAATTTCGTTTTTTCTGCTGGATCTAGTCGATCTGGTAAAGATGGAGTGTGTATTGGTGAGAAACGAGCTCGTACCCATGAGATGTGTGATGTTGGAGGTAGCGGTGGTGAGCATTCTTCTCTTCCTGTGCCTCCTTTGCTGATGAGTTTTAAAGACAAGGTTTCTGGTCTCTCTGGCGTGGCTGAAGATAATCTGATTATTAGGGATGGTGATTGTGTGGTTATGGATGGGGATATCCAGTCCATTAAATTCTCTGAATCAATTAAGGATTGTTTGTATCGTCCTTGGAGAACTTCTGTAATCATCAAGCTTATGGGTCGTCCGTTGACTTATAATTTTCTCCGTGCTCGGCTTCTTCAACGTTGGGCTCTGAAGGGTCCGATGAGTTTGATTGATTTGGAAAACAATTATTTCATTGTTAAGTTTTTGCTTGAGGAGGATATGCAGTATGTGCTTACTAGTGGCCCTTGGCAAATTGCTGGTCAGTATCTTGTGACTCAACAATGGAAGCCTGGGTTTAATCCGAAGGAGGAGTGTGTTACACACATGACGGCTTGGGTCAGAATCAATGGTCTCAATGTAGAGTATTTTCGACCGGATGTTATGGGGAAAATTGGCAATCTGATTGGTCATACTGTCAAGGTTGATGCTCTCACCATGAGCCAAGCGAGAGGTAAATTTGCACGAATTTGTGTTGAACTTGATTTGTCAAAGCCTCTTGTTCCTTTCATTGAAGTTGAAGGTCGGTCTTATGATGTTGTGTATGAAGGGATTAAGTTGGTTTGCTTTGAATGTGGCTACTATGGGCATGGTAGGGATAATTGTCCTGTTATTTTGAAAGCCAAGGCTCAGGCTGCTGAAACTGAAAATGCTAAGGATATGGAGGTTAACACTCCTGCTAAGGAGGATGATCTGGAGGCTTTTAGTCCTAAAAAGGTTGGTGAGGGGAGTTCTACGAAGCTTCATGGTCAGTGGATGTTGTTGCAGCAGAAGAATTTTAAGAAAAAGTTTCAGAAGGAACAAGGATCTATTAGTGTTAATTCTACTAAGGCTTCATCTCAAATTGAGGGAGGTTTTAAGAATGCCTATTCTGGTACAAGGTTCGCTGTTTTGGACAATGATGTTACTCAAGAGGCTGCAGATGAGCAGGTTGTGAATCTTTTTAAGTATGAGGCTAGTAAGCCTATTAAGCAAGTGGCTACCCCCGCTAGTGGTTTTGCTAAGTCTACTGGGAGTAACATAAATGAGGTTGGGAAGAGAAATGCTCTTGCTAAGGATTCTAAGGTGTGGGTTTTCAAAAAACCTTTGAAAGACATTACTAATGCTAAGTTAGAGAAGAACAGTACTGTGGGTTTGAAGCCTGGTGTTGGGTCTATCAGCACTGGGAAGGCCAGGGGTGGGCATACTCGTAGTAATTTGAATGTTGGAGCGGTGGGTATGCAAGTTCGAGGCTCTGATGTGCAAGATGATGTTCAAGGCTTGTTCTCGTTTAATTTGGATGCTGCCTCTTTACCTGCAGATTTTGGGGGTGCTAAAGTGGTGTTGCATGAACCAAAGCCTCCTGATATTGGTCAGATGGAGCTGAATGAGGGTGAGTCTCATTTAGGTAAGTCTAGTGGTTCCTGTGAGGATGAGCATGATTCCGTTGGTAATGCGATTGATTTGGCTGGTATGTCGATTGATTTTGATGCCTCTGATGTTGAGGCTGAGTAGGGTGCTTTTTGATGAGGTGTTCCCTCTCTTTGTCATCTTTTTACATATCATTTTTATGATAATTGTTTCTTGGAATGTGCGTGGTGTTGGCAAGGTAGAGTGTGCCAGTACCATGAGGGACTTAAAAAAGGCTTATGGTATTGATGTTTTTATTGTGCTTGAGCTTAGAATTGGTGGTTCTCGAGCTTTCTCTGTTGCAAAGAGTTTATGATTTTCCCATTATCATATTGTGGATCCCATTGGTTTTTCTGGGGGTGTGTGGCTTCTTTGGAATGGTAATTCTGTTTCTTTACATGTTGTTGCTCATTCGAGTCAAACCATTACTGCTTTAGTTACTATGGATGCTAAGAGGTGGTTGCTAACAGTAGTTTATGCCAGTCCATGTTCTAATGTGAGAACTTCTCTTTGGAAGTATTTTGATGGGTTGGCTGCTGTTTGTAATTTACCTTGGTTGTTGATTGGGGATTTTAATGATATTGTTTGTGGTGATGAGAAGCTTGGTGGTAATTTGGATGTTGGTGGTCAGCATTTTATTGAGTGGCTTGATAGGAATCATCTTATTGATTTGGGTTTTTCTGGCTCTAATTTTACCTGGTGTAATAAAAGGGGTGAAAAGGATATTATTTGGAAACTGCTTGATAGAGGTCTCTATAATATTGATTGGAGATTCTTGTTTTCTGAAGCTCACCTTTCTCACCTTCCGAGAGTGAATTCTGATCATTGTCCTATCATGGTTAAGTTCTTTTCCAACCATCTTCCTGCTACAGAATCTATGCCTTTCAGATTCCAAGCAATGTGGTTAAGTCATCCTAGGTTTTCTGAGTTCCTTTCTGGTTTGTGGAATTCTGGTACGGGAAATGCTTTTAAGAAGTCTGCTAGTCTTATTTGGCCTCTTCAACGTTGGAATAAACAGGTGTTTGTATGTCTTTTTCAAAAGAAAAGAAGGATTTTGGCTCGGTTTGCTGGTATTCAAAGAAGCTTATGTATGCAGTTTAATCATTTCCTTAGTCAGTTGGAAACTGATTTGACTACAGAGCATAATCGCATCCTTGATCAAGAAGAGGTTTTTTGGTTGCAAAAATCTAGAAACACTTGGCTTAAGGAAGGTGATAGGAATACAAATTTTTTTCATCTTTCTACTATTATTAGAAGGCGCTAGAATAAATTGGAAGGGTTGACTAATGATGCTGGAGAGTGGATTTCTGAGAAATGAGGTATGAAACAAATTGTTATTCACTATTTTCAAGGGCTGTTTAGTGAGCCTACTTTATCTGGTGAGTATTCTTTACTTCCCCAGTATTTTCCTGAGCTTGAGCACTTTGATTGTACAAGGTTAAATGGTGAGGTTTCTGATGTGGAGATTCAAAGTAGTTTATTTGCTATTGGTGGATTGAAAACGTCTGGCCCTGACAGGTTTCCTGCTCTTTTTTATCAAAATTATTGGGATCTTTGCTCTAAGGATATCATTGCTCTTGTCAAGGATTGTTTTGTCAGAGCTTCTCTTCTTGAGCACCTTAATGATACTTTAATTGCTTTGGTTCCTAAGGTTGAAAGGCCTCTTAATATGGCTCAACTTAGGCCTATTAGTTTATGTAATACTCTCTATAAAGTGGTTTCTAAGATTTTAGTTTCTAGGCTTCGTCCTATTATGACTAAAATTGTTAGCCCCACTCAAGTCAGTTTTGTGCCAGGGAGACATATTGTTGATAATATTGTGATTGCTCAGGAGATGCTTCATAAGTTCAAGGTTGCTAAAGGTCAAAAGGGTTTTATTGCTTGGAAAATTGATCTTTCCAAGGCCTATGATCGTTTAAGTTGGTCTTTTATTAGAGAGGTTCTTTGTGAAATTGATATTGGGGGAGAATTTTGGAGCTCATCATGCATTGAATTAGTTCTGTGCATTATAAAGCTATTTTAAATGGTGAGTTAATAGCTGATTTATCTCCTAAGTGTGGTATACGACAAGGAGACCCTCTTTTTCCTTACATTTTCGTTCTATGTATGGAAAAGCTCTCCCATATAATTCAGCAGAAAGTTCTTGACCAAAGTTGGAAGACTGTGCAAATTTGCCAAGGAGGGCCCTTTATCTCTTATTTATTTTTTGCTGATGACTTGGTTTTGTTCGGGAAGGCCTCTATTGAGTAGGCTTTAGTGATGAAGCAGTGTTTGGATGATTTTTGCTCCTTTTCTGGTCAGAAGGTCAGTTTTGAAAAGTCTATGGTTTGTGTGTCCCCTAATACTTGTCCTGGTTTTGCTCAGAATATTGCCTCTATTAGTGGTTCTCCTTTATCTGATAACCTTGGTAAGTATCTTGGAGTTCCCTTAATTCACACTAGAGTTACCAAAGATACTTATCAGGAAATTATTGATAAAGTCCAAAAATGCCTATCTTCCTGGAAAAGCCACACTTTGTCAATGGCTGGCAGGCTCACATTATTGCAATCAGTCGCCTCAGCTATTCCTATTTATTCTATGCAAACTGCTATGTTGCCTGCTTCTGTTTGGTCCAAGTTGGATCAGTTAAATAAGAATTTTCTTTGGGGGCATGCCTTTGATAAGGTTAAGGTGCATCTTGTGAACTGGGAAATTGTGTGTAAGTCTAAATGTGATGGTGGTTTGGGAGTGAAAAAGGCTACTTGGATGAATCAAGCTTTATTGGCTAAATTCGGTTGGAGACTTCTTCATAATGACCAAGGGCTTTGGGCCAAAGTTCTTAAGGCTAAATATTTAAAAAACTGTGATATGTTGTCTGTTAATGAGCATAAGTTTCGTAATTGCTCTAGCAGCTGGAGGGGTGTGTTATTTGGTGCTAAGCTTCTTCCCTCTGATGTTAAATAGAGAGTAGGTTCTGGTGATTCCATTTTGTTTTGGACTGATGTTTGGTTGAGTTGTGGTGCTCTTATAAATTATGCCCTCATTGATTTGTCTGAGGAAATGCTCCAGTTGAATGTGAGTGATTTTCTGGAGAAGGGTTTGTGGGATATTGCTTGCTTGCAAGAGTGTCTTCCTCCTGATATTGTGTTCATGATTACTAGTTTCATGCTGGCTTCATTGATAGTGGTCCTGATATGTTCATTTGGAGGTTTACTTCTAATGGTAAATTTTCTGTGAAATCTGCCTACCAATTATTTTGTCCAGTTGAGGCTGGTTCTAATTGGCATTGGGGGTTTATTTGGAGGTTGCAGCTACTCCTAAGGTTAAGACCTTCCTTTGGGTGCTTTGTCACAAAAAGCTCCTTACTAATGCTCAAAGGCACCGTAGAGGTATGGCAGTTTCTACTTCTTGTCCTCGTTGCATTTATCCTGTTGAATCTGTGAGCATTTGTTTAAAGGTTGTAGTTCTTCCTTTTTAATTTGGAACCAGTTTGGTAGTTGGTTTGAGGAATCCAGTGGTCTGTATCCTAATTTTGATGATTGGCTCTTCCATAATATGCATTCCAAGAGATCTTTTATGACTGGTTTGGCTTGGAATTTGGTGTTTACTGTTAGCCTATGGTTCATCTGGAAATGGCGATGTAAGTTTATTTTGAACATGGTTTTTTGCTTCCCTCTGAGCCGCAGCAGGTGATTCTGCAGTATGTTAAGGATTGGCTTACAGCCACTAAGTCTATCTGTGTTCCTCTTCATTAGGGTGTAGTTTATCTTCATTGGCAAGCCCCTTTGCCAGGGAGGTGTAAGGTTAATTCTGATGGTAGTCGTAAGCATGCTCTTGGTTACATTCGAGCTGGGGGTCTGTTAAGAGATCATGCTAGTAATTGAATTAAAGGTTTTTCTGTTAATTTGGGTGTTGGGTCAGTGATTGAGGCTGAGTTATGGGGAATTTTTTGGGAGCTCCATTTAGCTTGGGAAGCTGGGTTTCGAAGTGTGGAGGTTGAATGTGACTCTAAGTCTGTTGTGGGTCTGTTACTAAATCCTCCTAGTCATACACATCCTCTTTAATTGTTAAAAGTTTGTATTTTATTTTTCAGTATTTAATTATTTTTAATGTATGAAATGACCAATTTTTCCCTCATATTTAACGGGAAATGGGATGAAATATTGATGATTTAGACGATATGGGGGAAATTGGCCAAAAGAAAAAGTATCTTATAAATTTTTTTTTTTTTTTTTTTTTTTTTTTATCTTTAATTAAAAAGGGATATGGGGTCAAATTAGGTACAAGTTCAAATCACCATTTTAGCCTAATTAAATAGGATCTTTTATTCATCTTACTTGCCCTACTCTTGTACTTGTCCTCAAAATGATGTTAGTGTAGCGGCAACAGGGTTGGGTGGACCATGGGCAACCTCGCCGAGAGAGAGGGATAAAGACGGGAGAGAGAGAGAGAGAGAAGATAAGGTAGGGTTTTTTTTCCTTTTTGTTTTTGCTTTAGTTTATTGTTATTATTATTATTTCAATTTTTAAAAGTTTGTATTTTATTTTTTAGTATTTAATTACTTTTAATATATGAAATGATCAATTTTCCCTCATATTTAATGGCAAATGGGATGAAATATTGATGATTTAGACGACAGGGGGAAAATTGGCGAAAAGAAAAAGTTCATATCTTTAATTTATATATATATATATATATATATATATAAAAGGACATGGAGTCAATTGAAAATTTGGTACAAGTTTAGGAGGCAAATCACCATTTTAGCCTAATTAAATAGGATCTTTTATTCATCTTACTTGCCCTACTCTTGTACTTGTCCTCAAAATGATGTTAGTTCTGCGATTAGAGGGTTAGGGGTTTTGGGTTTTGTAGTCTGGTGCGATACACGACGTTCAATTTTATATTGTTGATATGTCATGAATAATAATATGTTTATATCATTAACGACAACAATATGTACCGACATATTACCAATATATTTTCGCCCAAAGGCAAAATTCAAAAATTATTATTACGAGGAGGAGGAGCATACTTAAAATAATAATAATAATAAAACTCGTGTAAGTCCTTGACCAAAATGCAAAGTGTATAGTATTGTGTATAAGAGGGAATCTTTTGTTTTTGGTCGAAATATAAGAGGCAATCTAAAAGACAAAAAAGAAAGGAAATCATCCATGTCTCTAGCATCCAGTGCCAACTGTAGTTTGTCACATTAACTGTCATGCCCAAGGGAACAAGTAAATATATAAACAAAATGGAGGAAGCAAGCTGCAAATAAAATATGCACCACAAATGACAATGTACATGTCTTCATGCCAAAAAAAACCATGTTACTAAGTCGTGAACCTACATCCGTTGGATCATTTAAGAATAAATCACTCAGACCGTAGAATTGTCATTGTTGTCTTGTCTTGCGGTGTGGGTCCCACGAACCCACCGGCACAATTTAAATTAATCGTATTGAACGAACCCATCCCCATGTCCGCCAACTATGATAGTCGTTGAAAGTGAGACATTTTTAAAAAGTTAATTACAGGACCAACTATAATTTAATTTAATTTAAATTATATACATAATATAATTACAATCACAAAAAGCTTTTCATACTGACCTTGGAATATTACTTCATCCAAATCCCTTGCAAAGAAAAGAAGAGAAAAATGGCCGGAGCTTTGATCGGAGAGGCCTTTATCTCTACTTCCATCAAGGTGTTGTGTGACAAAATTGCTTCACGCGAGTTCATTGATTTATTTCGGCAGAAGAAACTCGATCAACCTCTCCTAATGAAACTGAAGAGGACGCTGTTAACCTTGAACGTAGTGTTGGATGATGCAGAGGAGAAGCAAATTGAGAAACCAGCTGTGAGAGAGTGGCTTGATGAGCTCAAACATGCAGTCTTTGACGCAGAGGACTTACTGAACGAGATCAACTATGAAGCTTTGCGATGCAAGCTGGAAGGTGAAGGTCAAACCGATAATTTAACCAATAAGGTGTGGAACTTCCTCCCTACTTCTCGTAATAAATTTTATCAAAGCATGAATGCTAAGGTACAAGAGTTATTACGAAAACTAGAAGACTTTGTACAACTGAAAAGTGCTCTTGGTTTGACAGAAGTTGTTGTGAGGAAGGTTTCACAAAGAACTCCGACAACTTCCTTGGTTCATGAACCTTGTGTATATGGTAGAGATGAAGTCAAAGAAAATTTATTAAAAGTCCTGTTATCTGATGATGCAAGCAAGGATGATGTGTCTGTCATCACCATTGTTGGAATGGGCGGGGTTGGCAAGACAACCCTTGCTCGACTGCTTTACAATGATGATAAAGTGAAAGAAAATTTTACACTTAAAGCTTGGGTTTGTGTTTCAGAAGACTATGATGCTATCAGGGTAACTAAAACTCTTTTTGACTCAGTTACTTCAAAACCTTGTAATACGACAGATCTGAATTTGCTTCAAGTTAAACTAAGAGAACAACTGAGGGGGAAGAAATTTTTATTTGTGTTGGATGACCTTTGGAATGAGAAATATACTGATTGGAACTGCCTCCAAACTCCTTTTACTTCAGGGGCAAGGGGAAGTAAAGTCCTTGTAACAACACAGAACAAAAATGTAGCATCTTTTATGCAAAACGTTCCTATTCAAACCTTGGAACCATTGTCGCATGAAGATTGCTGGTTATTACTTGAGAAACATGCGTTTGGAAATGTAAACTGTAGTGCACATCCAAGCTTGGAAGAAATCGGCAAGAAAATTGCACGCAAGTGCAATGGGTTGCCTTTAGCTGCACAAACACTTGGCGGTGCGTTACGTTCCAAGCTAGACTTTGAGGTATGGAACAAAGTACTAAACAGTAGCATTTGGGAGTTACCTTACCAGAAAAGTGACATTCTTCCTGCTCTAGGATTGAGTTATTATTATCTTCCAGCTAAATTAAAACGATGCTTTGTTTATTGTTCAATTTTGCCGAAGGACTATGAATTCAAGGTAGAAGATGTTGTTTTTCTTTGGATGGGAGAAGGTTTAATTCCCCAAGCTGAGAATGGGGAAATAATGGAAGAGATGGCTAAGGAATATTTTGATGAACTGTTATCCCGATCATTGTTTCAAATGTCAGGGAAGTCAAGTTTCACTATGCATGATCTCATACATGACTTGGCCGTGTTCATGTCTAAAGGATTTTGTTCCAAGTGGGAAGGGAGGGAATCACATGAAGTGGAAAAAGTTCGCCATTTGTCATATGCAAGGGGAAAATTTGATGATGCTCTTAAATTTGGGCCATTAAAGGGGGCTAAGTGTTTGCGGACCTTCCTACCTCACTCTTTAAATCCATATTACTCTTGCGAAGAGTATTATCTAAGTAAAAAGGTTCTACAAGATTTGTTGCCATCACTCAGATGTTTACGGGTGTTATCATTGTCACATTATTGGAATGTCACTCAGTTACATGATTCTATTAAAAATCTCATTCAGTTGCGTTATTTGGATCTCTCTGGTACTGCAATTGAAAGGTTACCTGGTGTACTTTGCAGTTTGTACAATTTGCAGACATTACTACTGTCAAATTGTTCCTCTCTCGTTGAATTACCTGCAGACTTGAGAAAATTGGTAAATTTACAGAAATTAATGCTGGGAGGTTGTGCGTCTCTTGCTAAATTGCCTGTAGACATGTGGGAATTAATTAGTTTGCGTCATCTTGATATTAGTGGAACTACAATTGCAGAGATGCCAGCGCAAATGAGTAGACTAAAGAGTTTGAGAACGTTGACCGCTTTTTTCGTGGGGAAATCTTCTGGGTCAACCATTGGAGAATTGGGGGAGCTTACGCATCTTCGAGGAAAACTTTCAATTCTAAAGCTGCAAAATGTAGTTGATGCTAAGGATGCCGTGCAAGCCAATTTGAAGAATAAGAAGGATCTCAAGGAGTTAGAGTTGGCATGGGGTGATGAAGACTCGAATGATTCTGAAAAAGTTAGACATGTACTTGACAAGCTCCAGCCTTCAATTAGTTTGGAGAAACTGACCATCAAATTTTATGGTGGAACCAACTTCCCGAATTGGTTAGGAGACTCATCCTTCTCCAACATACAAATCATGCATCTCAGCGATTGTCCTTATTGTTGGTCACTGCCACCAGTTGGAGGGTTACCTGCTCTCAAAGAGCTCCGCGTAGAAAGGATGAAATTTGTCAAGACAATTGGTGTTGAGTTTTATGGCAGAAATGAAGCGTCTCTAATTCAGCCATTTCAGTCACTGGAGAAGCTGGAGTTTGAGGAGATGGCAGAGTGGGAGGAATGGGTACCAAGTGCAAGTGGAGGTGAACATGGTCCAGACTTTCCTCGTCTCCAAGTGTTGATTCTAAATGAGTGTCCGAAGCTGAGAGGAAGTTTGCCTTGTGATCTGCCTTGCTTGAAGAAACTTAGCGTGTATGGGTGTGCGGAGTTACATGATCAAAGGGCAACTTCTACTACTGGTACCAGTCTTAACATGAACTCCTACAAATCTCTTCAAGAATTGAAAATTAAATTAGATTATGGATGCCAAACAGATGTGTCATTACAAGAGGCAAAGTTATTGTCCGTGCTTGACGTTGGAAATTTTGATGACATACCGTGCTTGCCCAACACCAATCGTCTTCAACGTTTGTGTGTTTGGAATTGTCCAACCCTATCGTCGTTCCCCAAAGATGGCCTACCCACTTCGTTGACATCAGTTTCTCTATGGAATTGTAGGAGATTAGAATTCCTACCTCATGAGATGTTGGCCAAATTGACATCGCTTGACTTTTTGTGGATAGAGAATAGCTATGATTCAATGAGGTCCTTCCCGTTGGGCATTTTTCTCCAAATTGACGTGGCTTTACATTAGGAATTGTGAGAATCTGCAATCCCTTTCCATTGAAGATGGAGTTGATGCGAATCTTAGTCATCTCAATACCTTGTCTATCTCAGGCTGTCCAAATCTGGTGTGTTTTCCCCAGCGAGGATTGCCCACTCCCAACCTGATTTTATTGGAAGTTGGTGAATGCGAGAAGTTGAAGTTATTACCTGAACGTATTCACACCCTCACAGCCCTTCGAGATTTGAGGATAACCAATCTTCCAAATCTGGAGTCAGTTGCAGAAGATGGGGGTTTGCCTCCCAACCTCCAATATTTTGGCATTGAGAATTGTGAGAGACTGAGGCCTTCATCAGTGGGAGTGTACTGGGGTTTGCAAGGACTTGTCTCCCTTGAAAATTTACAATCGGTGGCAAGGGAAGTCACGAAATCTTGGAGACCTTGCTCAAGCAACAGCTGCTCCCTACCACTCTTCAACGCCTCCAGATCAGTGAACTTTCAAGTCTGAAATCTTTGGACGGAAAAGGACTTAAAAACATCACTTCTCTTTCTTTTCTGAGCATCTCCAATTGTTCTGCCCTGGAGAAAACGTATGAGAATAAGACGGGAGATGATTGGGCCGCCATATCTCACATTCCTTGCATCAAGATAAATGATGAAGTCATCATATGATATGACCTCTCTCTCAGACACTCCTTGCATCCAATGTTTCACTATCAACTCTCAAATCAAATTCAGGTATGTTCTTCAAATAAAACTCTCTTAACTGGTTTTCTTCTAATTGAATCCAAAAACCAAAATACATATTCCTTTCACTTTTAAAAAAATTATAAATAAATAAATAATCAAATACATATTGGATTCCCAAAATTTAATGCCCAAATAACCGAAATACACTCTTTAAATTTTTATGTCCCAAAATTTGTTGAGTTTGCCCAAATTGTATTTCTTATTTTAGTCTTTCCGAAAGGATTTTGCCCAGTTTTGCATCCAATTAACTTTTATAATTGTCAAAAAAATCATAGCATATTGATGGAATACTTCACAGGACAACATACCTTCTCCTGGAGGAGAGCATCGTTCTCTTGGAGAGCTTTTCATTTGCAAGGTTCCTTTATGTGTCGTCATGTCCAGACGAGAGGAGAAACAAAAGGTCCTCATGGCTGGAATATCTCAATTGACACATTCCTACAGACAGACATCGAATGTACAACATTGTTAGGTACTCTCTCATGATAAAAATGTGTTTCATTCTCATTTGAGCCAGTTTAATTGTATTCATGCCTGTGGGCAACTTGTGAGCTTAAATTATTGATATTAATCATTAATATTGGAAATATTTTTGCTCGTGATCATTTTAACTCAATGTGTACCGTCATCTAGAAATGAACCTATATACTTTGACTACCTTGGACTATAGCTTAGGTGACTTTGCCTTTTGTCAGCCTAAACTAGCCAGCCCAGCTAATGGACAGCCACGTTATACACTCATAATTCACTTTTTCTTTTGGTACAAAAAGGGGCCAAAGGCCAGCACAAACAACCCCGTTTCTTTTCTTTTTTGTTCGAAAACAACCCCTCTTATTTTCTTTTTTGGTAGAAAATAACTACGCTTTCACTCCACGCACACAAACAAAAAAGATATATATATATTTGATGTATTTTGAAGTGGTCAAAATTCTCATCATATTAGTTCTCCTAATTTGGTTTTTATTTTTTTATTCCAATGAAATTCACTCGTACTATCGTTTTCTATCTTCTTAGTAAGGTTTGTGCATAAGATAAATTTAGCCCACCCGCATTTGAAATCCTGGGTCCGTCCCTGACCTCACTATATTTGAAATCTTATTTGAGAGACACTCTATAGGGTCCCTTACGATTTTTTTTCAACGATCCAAACCATCTATGTTTTAAGTCTACATTCATAGATCATCCTTACAAAAAATTAGACAAATCAGAAACCGTTTCGACATATAATTGTGTCCTACAAAATCAATGAACATGGTGCTTCAAGAAAGTATTAAAATTTCAATAACTCAATTGAGTGGTCAAATGATATCGGATTCAAATGATTTTTTGTAGAGATGATCTTTGAATAATTATCTAAAAAATAGACGGTTTGGATTAGTGAAACACAATTCAGAGTGAGCCCTTCAAGGGTGTCCCTCAGGGATATCTCAATTAAAGCTCTCTGTATGTATATATTCCCCTTCTATTGATAGATTCCTCAAATTACAATTTTTTTTTCAACGATCCAACCCATCTATTTTTTAAGTCTACATTCATATATCATCTTTGCAAAAAATCATAAAAATTGAAAATCATTAAGGCATCTAATTGATAGCAACAAAACAGATGAACACAATGCTTCAAGAAAAGACTAAAATAACAATAATCTAATTGAGTGGCCAAATGATTTCGGATTCAAGTGATTTTTTGCAAATATGATCTTTGAGGGAATATCTAAAAATTAGATAGTTCGGATCATTGTAAAACAATGTGTGTTAAGCCCTATAAGAGTGTTCCTCAAATAAGCTTATTGGACAGAGTAATTCATTTCACTTAAAAATTAAATGGATTACACTGGTAGAAAATACAAAAATAAAATAGCTCATCACCAATAAGTACAAGACCCCAGCCAAACATAAATAAATAAATAAAAGAAAATTATAACAGTGGAGGCCCAAAAACAAACATCCAACCCAATATAAACACAAAATAAGAAATCCTAAATCTGAGATGCTATAGCCGTCACTTCTCACCTGCCACGCCGTTGTCGTAGAGAGACTTGATTTGAATGAGAGAGGTGGGATTGGGGAAGGGTGAAGGGAATCAAGTTTTTCATGCCAAAAATACCCCTCTCCCAAAAAAAAAATCATTTGAAAATTTGTAGTAGTCTTTGGAAGAAAAAAACATATTTTGTTTAAAGGCATTTTCATAATCCAAATGTTTTTTCATTCTTATTCGCGATGGATAGTAAACATATTTAATGGGAATGAATTCTATTTATCCTGACAGTTTGTATGACTCTGATTCTTGATTAACTCGATTCCTACTTAACTCAATTCATGGTTACTCTGATTCTTAATTATCCTGATTCCTGATTAGTAAACATGCCCATACATTGTAGTATCACTCTAGAGTATAATTTAGTTTACTCCCATTTTACCCCTTGACAGTGTTCATGTTGTATAGAATGAAAGAAAGCCCCACTGGTGGTGATACAGTAAAAACTCTCATGCAGTCACTAACCCAGCCCAGGACAAAAAGACTCAATACGACCAGATAATGGAAAAATAAAAATATTTATAAAATAAAAATAAAAAAAACGGTCCCAAAGCTCAGAAGCAAGGTGGTTATTGTTTCGCTTACCATAGTATTAAGGACTTTAATAGTTTAAATAGAGAAATGAAACTGGTTACATCAATACTGCAAAACATTTTAATGGAATTTTACCATATTTTGGTTGTTTGTATATCTCACTCCAATGTACAGGTTGTAATTTATAGTGGATTATAATAAAATTTGAGATTGCATCAAAGATGGAAATTGACCCTGTATTTCCTGAAAAAGGTCAAAGTCAAGACAAAAACAATTTGATGAAAATGACGACCATGAAGAGACATTTCAATATGCTAAAGAATCTTTTAGGGTTAATTATTTTCTTGTTGTCGTTGATGCTGCAATTTCTCCTTTGAGGAGTAGATTTGAACAATTAGAAATATTTGAAGGCAGTTTTGGTTTTTTGTTTGATTCTAAGAATTTCTTTCAATGAATTATAGTAGATTGCGTGAATGTTGTAGAAATCTTGAAGCTGCTTTAACACATGATAATGAATCTGATAGTAATGCTGATGATTTGTTTTCTGAATTGGAAGTGTTACAAATGTATTTACTGAAAGAGACAAAGACAACCGTTGAAGTTCTTAAGTTTGTAAAAGTTGTGGATTGTTTTCCAAATGTCTCAATTGCTTATAGAATTATATTGACTTTGCCAATAACTGTGGCATTTGCAGAAAGAAGTTTTTCAAAATTAAAATTAATACAATCATATTTGTGATAAACTATGTTACAAGAAAGGTTAAATGGATTGGTAATCTTATTTATTGAAAAGAATATGATGGAAAATTGATTTTGAAGAGGTTACTAATGATTTTGCTTCTCAAATGCTAGAAGATAAAAAAAAATTTAGTGATTGTTTGTATTTTTAATGTTACTGCTTTTGTTTTTTGATTTGTAATGATGCAATGGAAGTCAAAGCAACTTTTTGTGTACAATTGAGCCAATTGAGAACTAAGCCCTATTGAAGAGCCACTAAGCCACTTGAGAACTTTTGTTTTGTTTTGTTGAAATTTAGAAGCTCTATGAACCTAAATATGATTTTTGTTGTTTATGGATCATGTACTTTTGGTTTTTCTTTTTTGTTAGTTGAATGAAATTATTCTATATAAGCAGGCTTAGTTGTTTTCTGGGACTTTGCCCCCTATTCATAAAAAGAAAAAGGAATGAGCAAGTATTAAAAAATTAAAAATTAAAAAACATACTTACTAAGAGCCTCATTTAATTTTTGGCCATGGGCCACCAAAATGTCAGGGCTAGCCTTGATAATTTATGCTGGGGTTTTGCACTTTCTTGTTATGTTTAGTTGGGTTCTTTTTAACTCCAGCAACAGCTGCTTTGAAGACATACCAATTCGATGTGAGCACTTCATAATTGCAGATTTTTTAAATTTTTTAAAAAAAAACAAACAAGCGATAGTCTAAACTACAAGGAAATAAGGGTTTCTCACACATGATCAATGTGTCATGGGAGTTCGAACTTGAGATCCACTGGCCTATACCCCGTTGGCCATAATGGCAAACTATAGATAGATGTTATGATGTATTTACAATCTATTATTTTATTTCCACATCTATTTTTAGGTTTAAGTGAAGAATGTGAGCAGGTTGTGCTCTTCTATGCCCATTGTTACAGTAAATGGGATATTCCCTAGACCTACAGTTTATGCCAGAGGAGATACACTTCTTGTTAATGTCACCAGCCATGCACAATATAACATGTCAACTCATTGGTATGATATATTTATATGTGAATTTATATGATTATAGCAGCATGAAATTAATATGAGCATTTGGGTTTAATTATTAATTAACATTAATTAATCTGGTGGAATTTTTCAGGCATGGACTAAAGCAATGTCGCAATGTCTGGGCAGATGGGCATGCCTGTTGATGTGTAAATTGGTTTTACTGATTTACTTTTACATTTTATAGTTTTACAGCTAATTATGACTAAGTAACAACTTAATTCCCGTTTACGGTTGCGAGAATTTTGTGGCTAAAAGGCTTGTAGGAAATTGCCAAGTGTCATACACACATTGGCATATCAATTTTGTATTGATCTGGATGTAACCATTTTTGATGTGTGTGTGTGTGTGTGTGTGTGTGTAGCTGAGCTCAACATGAGCCAGTGCATTACTTTCTATAAATATCGGGCAAGAACAATTGCTACAGTACCCAAACCGGGCACTACATCAGGCATGTTCATTTTTTCTAAAGTATAGAATTTTGCAGTCTTTCTTCTTGTCCTTCCCTTTCCTTCCTAAAATCCAAAATAGTACTTCAAATTTCAACATGGTATCATTGGGCCAGGTTTGATCTTGAATCTAGGCGTTGTTTCCGTTGAAAGTATTCGAAGATTTCAATGCAAAATCTTCATACCTAATCGATTTAGCCTCATATGTCTGGTTCGGTTGGAAGGGAGTCACGAACTCCATTTTCAATGGTGAAAACTATTTGCTCTTGAGGATTAGAACAACGACGCTTCTTAGATTGTATGGGATCTGGTTGAAGAAGGTGTACGAACTCCAAATCCAAAAGCCATGATGAAGGAGACGAAGACATTGGACAAGTAGGCGTTGTCTGAGCTTCTGAAGCAAGATGCAAAAGCATTGGACCTCTTCCAAGAAGCTGTTTCAGATGAGCTCTTTCCTAGAATTTTGAATGAGGTGACTACAAAAGAAACCTGGGATCTGTTACAGTAAGAATACAGAGGAGATGATCATGTAAGGTCGGTCAAATTACAAGGTTTGAGAAGAGTTTTTGAGTATACTCGTATGCGTGAAGATGAATCTCTATCTGCTTATTTGACTAAACTGTTTGAATTGATAAATGCAATGAAGAGCATGGGTGCTCAAATTAAAAACTTTAAAGGAGAGTTATCTAAGAACAGAATAGTGCAAGAATTGTTGATAAGTCTTACCAAGACTTATGACACTGTTTGCACGGTCATTGAATAGACCAAGGATCTTGATGCAATAGAAGTGTAGGAAGTTGTGGCAACCATGAATGCGTTGGAGCAAAGGCTTGAGAGGCACTCTGAGAATACTGTTGAAAGGCGTTTGCTACTATGAGTGTGAAGGGAGCCAGTTCCTCATCCTCTTCAGGTAGTGGTCAGTCCAAGAAGAATTGGAAGACTAAAAGAAAGAAGTGGGAGGATAAACCCAATTTAGGTGGAAAGAAAAACTGGAAGAATGAAAACTGGAGGAATGATCAATCTAACAAGAATGATCAGAACAAGGGAACCTATAAGCACTGCAACAAGTTGCACTATGGTGAATGTTGGTTCAAGGATAAAGTCAAAGTGTCACAGATGCAGCAAGTTTGGTCACATTTCTAGAAATTGCACTAGCAGTATACAGAACAAGTCTGGACCAATTGCACATTTTGCAAAGAATCAAGCATCGAAGAAAACCAACATGTTCTATGCCTCTCACTCGCTTTCAAAACCAACTGACTTTGGTGTTTGGTGTTTGGTATGTTGATAGTAGGTGCAGTAATCACATGACATCTCAAGAATCACTGCTCTCTAACATTCATAGGAGTTTGAAGTGCAAGGTGAAGATGAGAATAGGGGAATTAGTTCAAGCTTCTGGAAAGGGGACACTTGTGATTGAGCTAAAGGATGGTCCTATATATATATATATATATATATATATATACAAGAGTGATGATTGTGCCAGGCTTAGATGAAAATCTTTTAACTGTTGGGCAAAGGATTGAACATGGCTATTGGCTGCTATTTGGTGACTTTATGGTGAACATATATGCTGATAGAGAGTTGAAAGGGCTAGTGGCTAATGTTCCAATGAAAGGAAATAGATGCTTTCCTATGAAGTTTTAATTCATGAACCTAGTGATGGCAATAGAGCAGTAGTTGGATAAAAAGAGTTTCCGTATCACTGCATTTCGTAACATGCATTCGGCTTAAAAGCAATATGTAGTCATAATGAAAGTAATCCTTCACATGGAATTGGGCAACTTGTATGGATTTATTGAGGCTTACGTAGAGTGTCCTTGTACAATGAGTCGAGTGGTGTGTATTTGCCTATAGGCACAGGATCTTGACGAAGCATCTTTCCCAAGCCAAGCAAGAAGTCATCTAATGCAATCGGACAAATAGCCGCAGGAGAGGGTGTGGAGCCACACTGTCCTTTCCTGTTGATGGTGAGTGAAAAAGATGAATCCTATAATAAGTCATGCCATGGTTGTTGTGAAAGAAGAAACTCGAGGCTAACGTGGGATCCGCTCAATGACCTACTTGGTTTAGGTAAATATCTCATGCGTTCCCCGACTGGAGAAGGTCATTTTTTGAGGATAAACTGTGCGCTTTTCAGGTCGGAAGAACGGGTTTTAAAAATAAATATATATATATATTAGCTTGATTTTTATGCAAAAAGGATCACTCATGGAAATGGCATAGAAGATTTGGTCACTTAAACTATGTTGGCTTGAAGATGCTACAAGATAAAGAAATGGTGCTTGGACTTCCTACGTTGGAAAATTTTGGAGATGTTTGTGAGGGATGTACTACAAGCAAAGCTCACAAAGAAGCATTTGACAAAAATGAAGTGTAGAGAGCTTCACAACCTTTGGAGTTGGTACACTCTGATGTATGTGGCCCGATGTAGGTCATTACAATTAGAGGAAACAGATATTTCCTCATTTTCATTTATGATCATACAAGGATGTGTTCGGTGTTCTTCTTGCAACACAAATCAAGTGTATTTTCAGTGTTCAAAAGATTTAAATTCATGGTGGAGTTGCAAAGTGGATTTCAAATCAAGAAGTTAAGATCGGACAGAGGAGGTGAATACACTTCAACTGAATTTAGGAAGTTTTGTGAAGACTTGGGACTTGAAAGGCAATTAACAGTCGCTTATTCTCCTCAACAAAATGGAGTTGCAGAGAGGAAGAATAGGACCATTGTAGAGATGGCTAGAACAATGCTTTATGAAAAGAGAATGCCTATCAAGTTCTGGGGAGCAGCAGTTAACGTTGCAGTCTACATTCTCAATAGGTATCCTACAAGTGCTCTCACGAATAAAACCCCTTTTGAGGCATTCAGTGGAAGAAAAACCTGGCGTAAAGCATATGAGAATATTTGGTTCTCTTTGCTATACTTATGTTCCATCTCAGCTGAGGCATAAATTGGAAGAAACTAGTGAGAAGAGAGTCTTTGTTGGGTATGGAACTTGTGAGAAAGGGTACAAGGTGTTTAATCTAAGAAAGTAATAGTGTCAAGAAGTGTAATATTTGACGAGAAATCTTTGTGGAATTGGGAAGCAAATGAAGAAGTGCACACGTCAATTCCTTGGGACAATAGTGAGGAAGTAAGAATAACTGAAGGCCGAGAGGAGTTTGAATCACCTAATCAAGCTCTAGAATCACCAAGTGTTAGATCATCACCAAATGCAGTCACTACACCATCCCAAGAGAAGAGACAAGCTTCACCAAGACCAAATCCTTGTGAGATTGAAACAACTGAGCTCTATGATCACACACCCTTGAGGTGGAAGAACTTGAATGAAATTTTTGCACAGTGTAAAGTAAGTATTGTGGAACCTGAAAACTTTGCTGAAGAAACTCATGATGAGGCATAGAATCAAGCTATGAAGGAAGAGATCACAATGATTGAAAAGAATTCTACATGGGAGATGGTTGAAAGACCTGGTAACAAATCAATTGTGGGTGTAAGATTGATCTTCAAGACAAAGCTAAATCTTGATGGCTCTATCTAAAAGCACAAGGCACGGCTTATAGCTAAAGGATACACAGAAGCTGGGAGTAGATTTCAACAAAACCTCTGCTCCAGTGGCAAGGTTGGATACAATTAGAACTCTAATTGCTTTGGCAGCTCAAAGAAATTGGAAACTTTTCCAATTGGATGTAAAATCAGCATTTCTAAATGAAGTACTGAAGGAGGAAGTCTACATCGAGCAACCTGAAGGATTTGAAGTTAAGGGAGCATAAGTTAAAGAAGCTTAAGTTATAAGTTAAAAAAGGCTCTCTATGGCTTGAAGCAAGCACCAAGGGCCTGATATGGTGAAATTGATACTCGTCTACTCAAGTATGGATTTTAGAGAAGCATAAGTGAAGCTACACTGTATGTGAAGACCAAAGAAAGTATTGGTACATTCATTATGTCATTGTGTACATTGGAAGCAACAGTGAGATGTTAGAAGAGTTCAAGGAGGATATGATGAACAGGTATGAAATGATTGATCTTGGTTTGTTGCATCACTTTCTTAGAATGAGAGTAATCCATAAAGAATGGAGAATCTTTATTCATCAACAGAAATATGCCAAGACTTTGCTTGACAGATTTGGTTTGATGGACTTCAAACCAGTGAGCACACCACTGGTTCCAACAGAGAAACTCAAAAGAGAAGATGAAAGTGAACTTGTAGATGAGGAGACCTACAGAAAAATAGTGGGGAGCTTGTTGTATCTAATAGCAACTAGGCCTGACATCATGTATTCAACTAGTTTGCTTGCCCGATTTATGCATGGTCCCTCAAAAAAGCATTTTGGAGCTACAAGAAAAGTACTAAGGTATGTATAAGGAACTCTGGATTTTGGCATTGAATATGAGTCTGGAAAGCCAGCTATGTTGATTGGATTTTGTGATAGTGATTGGGGTGGTTTAGAGGATGATATGAAAAGCACATCTGGGTATGCTTTTTCATTTGGCAATGGAGCATTTTCTTGGGCCTCAATGAAACAAAACAATGTTGTTTTATCAATTGCAGAGGCTGGATATGTAAGTGCTGTTGAAGCAACAACTCAAGCAATTTTGCTAAATTTTTGCTGGGTGATTTTGGAGAAGAGCAACTAGAAGCTACACCAATCGTGACAACACGTCTACTATAGCAATGTCTAAGAATCCAGTGTTCCATCAAAGATCAAAGCACATAGGAAGAAAGTTCCATTTCATCAGAGATGCAATTCAAGGAGTAGTAGATCTGATCTATTGCAAAGGTCAAGATTAAGTTGCAAATATTTTCACGAAGGCATTGCCAAGGGAGAGGTTTTGCTATCTGAGAGAGTTACTAGTTGTGAAATCAGTATACCATTTAGAAGGGAGTGTTGATGTCTAAATTGGTTTTACTGATTTAGTTTTACAGTTTTACAGCTGGTTGTGACTAAGTAACAGCTTAGGTCCCTTTTGCAGTTGAGAGAATTTTGTGGCTAAAAGGCCTGTAGGAAATTGCCAAGTGTCATACACACATCGGCAGATCAATTTTGTACTGATCTTGATGTAACCCTTTTTTGATATATATATATATATATGTGTGTGTGTGTGTGTGTGTGTGTGAGCTTAACATGAGCCAGTGCATTCATTTCAATCAATGTCGTCATTTCAATCAATATCGGGCAAGAACAATTGCTACAGTACCCAAATCGGGCACTACATCATGCATGTTCATTTTGTCTGAAATATAGAATTTTGCAGTCTTTCTCCTCCTCCTTTCCTTTCCTTCCGAAAATCCAAAATAGTACTTCAGATTTCAACACTACCTATATTACTCAATGCCCTATCAAGACAGGGCACAGTTACACCTACAATATTACTATAACAGGGCAAAGAGGAACACTTTGGTGGCATGCACATATCTTTTGGCTAAGAGCCTTTGTGATCATGTCGAAACAAGGGACTGGATTTCCATTCCCCCAGCTGTAAAGGGAAGCGAATATTGTCTTGGGTGAGTCAGTGCATGTAACGATAACAAGATTTTCAAACTTATGTACCAAAAATTTCAGAGCTGATGCGCAGATTAATCGCATAGTTTCTTGTGAATTCTGTGGGAGAATGGTGGAATAACGACGTCGAAGATGATGTTAACAAGGAAATAGACTGGGATTGCCACCAAATATGTCAGATGCACACACCATTAATGGAAAGCCAGGGCCTCTCTTTCCATGTTCTGAAAAACGTAAGCTCGTGCCTTATAGAGAAATTCTTGCCTACGACAAATGTATGTAATGCGCCTTTAACAATAGTACAAACAATGTTGTATGCAAGAATTTTTCCTATCTAGGATCAGTTTTGTGTTATGGCACCATTATTTGGACTGGAAAAATGGGACTTTGCATTCTCATTTCTTGTTTTTGCTATCTCAGATACTATGCATTTGAAGTTGAACAAGCAAAGACGTACCTGTTACGAATCATCAAAGCTGCACTCAATGATGAGCTGTTCTTTGCCATTGCTGGCCACAACTTGACAGTGATAGAAATTGATGCAGTCTATATCAAACCATTTGCATCTCAAGTGATACTAATTGCACCAGGACAGACAACGAATGTTCTCGTTCAAGCCAACCAAGTGCCTGGAAGATATTTCATGGCTGCCAGGCCATTCATGGATGCACCCGTTTCCGTTGACAACAAAACTGCCACTGCAATACTACAAAACAAAGGCATTCCAAATTCTGTACAGCCAGCCCTTGCTCAACTTCCAGCACTAAATAACACAGCTTTCGCATTGAACTACCATGCCAGGCTAAGAAGTCTAAACTCAGCACAGTATCCCGCAAATGTACCTCTTAAAGTTGATCGACATCTTTTTTACACGATCGGTTTAGGAATCAACCCCTGCACAACTTGCCTGAATGGAACACAGCTCACTGCTTCTTTAAACAACATCACATTTGTGATGCCCCAAATTGGGCTACTTCAGGCTCATTATTTAAACACCAAGGGGGTATTTACCACGGACTTCCCAGACCGCCCTCCAATACCTTTCAACTACACCTGTGCACCACTCACCGCCAACCTTGCCACCAAACTAGGCACTCGGCTTAACAAGATTGCCTTCAATTCAACAGTGGAACTGGTGCTACAAGACACTAATCTTCTCACTGTGGAGTCTCATGCATTCCACCTCCAAGGTTACAATTTCTTTGTTGTTGGGACTGGAATTGGGAACTTCGACCCCAAAAAGGATCCGGCAAAGTTTAACCGGGTGGATCCTCATGAAAGAAATACAGTTGGTGTTCCCACCGGTGATTGGACTGCCATAAGGTTCAGGGCTGATAATCCAGGTAAACACATAACCATAACCAAACACCGTGCTACATTAAACTTCAAAGCTCGTAATTAGGCAAGAATAAATTTTGTTTCTTTTGGCAATTCACTAAACATTTGAACGGTATTTGATCATCATTAGGTGTGTGGTTCATGCACTGTCACTTGGAGCTCCATACTAGCTGGGGTTTGAAGACTGCTTTTGTGGTAGAAAATGGGAAGGACTCGGATCACTCTGTTTTTGCCTCCACCTAAAGACCTCCCACCTTGTTAGTTCCTCAAATCGAACAAATCAGAGTGGAGAGTTAAATTTGTTTTTGTTTTTATTTTTTTTAGCCTTTAGGCTGACAAGTTCTTGAAAACATTCCTGCAAGAAAAGCTCTTGTTAAGACCAATAAAAAGGTGTAATGTGTATCACATTGTTTTAAATGCCAACTTCAACCCCTGTTTTGTGCAGCAAATTTCCGGGACAACATTGGCTCCAAGTATTTAAGTTTAATCTACCAGAGCTTGAAACACATGAATTAGTAAATATATCTCAGGAATTTCTTTCGAAACTTTAAAGTCAGAAAATCGTGAGAGATATCAGCTTTTATGGATACAAAAAGAAATAACCAAACACTGCATCCTAGATTACAGAAGTAATGAATGCAATGATTCCATCAATCAGCCAGTATAGTAAACTCACTCCAGTATATTATTACAGACCAAAACTCCACTACGGAAAAACAATCACAGCCACGCTACAAAATTTCAAGAAGCTAAGGCAGAAATCAGCATACCAGCAACACAAACAATGCCAAAGCCCCAATCCAATCCAGCAAACCCATCTTCCTCTTCTCTTTTCATCTGCTTAGCATAAAAAAAGTGCATTAGTTCCTCCATTAGTGTAAGCCCCAGCACCAGCCACATTCAGTTCAATATCATCTATCCTTTCGCTTTGCTTTTCAACCAACACAGCAATGCTTAGGAACACATCCATCTGTAAGTCCTTTAAGGCCTTGTGCCTTTCCTGATTCTCCATTACCAGCTCTGGCTTCAGTTCAAAAAACTTTGACCTGCCCGCTTATCAATCATTTCCTTGCTTCCTCCCATGTGGCACTGAAATACCTACTCTTGAGACCTTTTTGTACTCTTTTAACAATCTGTTCTATCAACTGCAAATTAATCATTATCCCTCCTGGCTTAATTCTCAAACCATTAGACACCGAAATCCTCATTCGATCAACAGGGATTCCTTCCTCGTAGAGCAAGAATACATTTCAATTAGCCATGTTAGAGTGATCAAGCAATTCCCACCTTGCTTCGAGTTTTTTGCTTTCCTCAGAATAGTAACCGTGTCATTGTTAATTCTATCTATCAACCGTATAAGAACTTTAGCACTGTGAAGACTTGGTTTCTTTATTGAGGTCCGGAAGATCAAGAAGGAGGTTTTTGATCTCTTCCATATCAGCCTTGACGGCTGCAGTCACTTCTTCCAAAAGTTGTGTGAGGTTCTGTTCATCAGCAGGATCAAGAATTCCCATTTCGAAAGTATAGTTTCCCAAAAAGAACAAGCATGCTTGCTTTTTCATCATTGAACAGTTCCCTGAATCACAATAATGGGCGTCGAGATCATCTTGCATTTACTTACCTTCCCTAGTACGTCATTAGATTGTTGGGATCTTGATTGAAAAAGAATGACAATTTTCTTTAAATTCACAGCATGCTCGAGAATGTACCGTGCAAACTCAATTTCATTAGACCCATTGGAAAGCTCAATAGTTACCTCCACAAGATGATAAATGAAAGCAAAGTTTTGCAATTTCCAGTATCCCATATCAAACCCAGATGACTGGAAAGGGAAGAAGGAAACAAATTTAAATCAAATGAAATTTACCAAATCGTGTTAAAAAAATAAAATAAAATAAAATATATTTGAATATGAGAAAAGACAACTACTTGAAGAAATTACACCAGGAAATATAAATGAAAGAGGGTGGTTAAAAGGCTACACAAAATCTCACTTACCATGCAAGGCTGCCCTCTGGGTGGTTTAGACTTTATATTCAAGGTATTCAAATTAGGCATTCCTTTAAGAAGACAGGCCACTGCTGGAACTAGGGCATCATTCAAGCTCCTCAAATGCATACTGAAATGAAAAATATCTAACGATGCTGACATGGAACCTTCCTTGTGCAGAGCCTGCAATTTTTCACCAAAAAATCTTGAATAGAAAAAGGACAAGAAACCAACCCTCAGAAAGAAAAAAGTAATAGTGTTTTATTAAATGCAATATATTTTCGAAAACTAGATTAATAATCATTTTTTGGTCAACAGTTTGAATTTCATGTTACTCGTTTTACTTCATTTTTCCAGTTTTATTACGTTGATTTATAATTAAATTACAAAATTATCAACAAAGGACTCAGTTTCAAAGTGATAACCAAATAAATGGCATTCAAGAAAAATTGAAGATTAGTGTGGACATTATATAAGTAATATGCCATCAATTAGTGTCACCAATATCAGGTAATACCATCAACATTATACAAAACTCTCAAGTCACAATATATAGAAGCTGTAATATCCTTTTAAAAGATTCAAATTATAAAATAAGTTGTTTTTTTACAACGAGGAATGAGTATTGTGATTTTACCTTAATGGTCTTCTCGTTTAGAATAAGAACTTTAGCCTTGCACAAACTGCTAAGAACTGCATGTAAATTGTCGAAGTCATTTACTTCAGGCTCCAGAAAAATCTGAGCTTTTTCTAAACTCATTAACTTCCCGAGGTTTTGGCCATTCAACAGTTTCCCTTCCCATTTCAACTTTCTAAGATTTGGCGCAAAAATATTTAATGAGCGGCTGTCAGGACGAGCATCAAATTCCCAATCTAACTCTATTTCTTCAAGTTTCTCACCAGAGATGCTAAGATGGAGGAGTTTAATACCACAAACTGAAACAAACACAAATGATTCCAAAGACAAGCTTTCAATGGTGATACGTTCTATCCCTATAACGCGAAAAAGTTGTATTTCCTTAAGGCATTTGCAGGTACATGAGATCCATTTAAAGAAACTCTCATCTACTATATTAACACAACTCAACCTCAAGGAAAGGAGATTGCATGAAAAAGATAAGGAGGGTGTTTGAAGAATCACCCCGGAACAGCAAACTGATAGAGACTTCAAGGATTGAGAAAGAAAAACGCAAGAAGGCAATGCTAACATGGTGGTATGGAGTGCTAAGAAATAAAGGTTAAGCACTTCAACATTACACCTTACTGCATTATGAATCCATGTGATTATTCGAAAATGCTCATCAGAAAGCTTACTTACACTTTTGTTTTTAAAGAAATTCCAGAAAACGGAAAAACGCTGCAACTTATTATCACCACGATGAAACAAGTACCGATCCCAAGAACTCATCAACTCTACTAGCTTCTGGTTGGTTCTTGCCTGACTCGCATCAAAATTCACTGATGGCGCTGATACATAAAATCTTCTGCATCTTTTGGACACAGTACCCACTCGAGTGAGGTCTTTGAACGTGAGGAAGGAAAGAATAAGATGAGCAACTTCATCTGGAAGATTACTGAATCTGTCTGTCATACCCTCACTAAGAGCTCCTTCAGCTTGAAAACTTCTAGTTGACCGTAGCTTCTTCTGTAACATCATACTCTATTTATTTTTTATATTGGATTGTTGGAAGCGGAGGTGGAGCTACAAGGAATATCGTTCTCCTGCAATGTTAAAAGAACATAACTGAACCTCACCGTATTTATACTACTCTAAGCACACACAAAAAAATAAAGTAAAAAATTAAGAATTATTTCAAATTCATAATCTATCCAATTGAACAGGAAATTTTGTTGAGCTTCCTCTAAGTGAAAAATCAAATAATTAAGAAGAATTTCAGTGCACTAAATTTTCAACTTACTGCATTTTCAAATTGTTGTGTTCATCTTTTTTATTAAAAAAAGTCTATGCTACCTTATTCTAATAGTTTATTGTTATGATATTTCTAGCAACTTTCGGATAGCTTCTAACTATTTCTCTTTATGATAATTCTAACACCTATTAGGTCCTGTGAAAATCTGGGGATCTCTGACTTTGTTCTTACATTGGTTTCTCTAAGTTATCTTTCGGTGGTGCTAAATTTCTTTTGAGCAATTGTAAAGTACTACCAAAAAATTTCAATGGTGTTCCCATGTTCAAGGTTTTATTAGAATATTATGAATTTGCTCCAAAACAAAAATGAAATTTTCAATCAGTGTTTTTGGTTTGATTACCCTTTATAGAGTATTCTGACAAAAAGCATTTCATTGGCTGGCCCTAGTGTTACTTGTATTATTAATAATACAAAGTAGGTATAAGGGCTGGTTCAATGACATAAGTAACACTGGAGCTGGTCCAGATGAGAGAGAGAGAGAAAGAGAGCAAACAAAAACAGTAACATCATGGCTACAACAGACATGATAGAAAGGAAACTCTCCCTCTCCCTTCCCTGTTCCAAAATCTCAATCTCTAATCTCTCTAATATTTATCTATTCCCAAGTCTCACTCTCCAATTTGGGAATCCATCTAATCTCCAAGCTAATAACAAAGGGTGTGATGAGATGTCACTTAGGTCTGTGAATGAGGTAACACTCTATTGAAATCTGTTACGCATCGGTGAAATTTTTCGCCAAAAGAACAACCCATCTTGAGTTATTGCCTCTTTTTTCCGTTTAGATATTTGTTAATTATTTCTTCTAATATTATCCAATAAACCCATTATCAATCTTCAAGGAAATTTTCGTATGTAATAAACACATTTATTAAAATATCATCATAAATTTCAGATATCATAGCTCAAAAAACCCTAGTTAACAAAATCAAACCCAGATGATGCAGCTTTACAACAGCAATTGCAAATTTAAAAAAATCTTAAACTGATGCCAACCAACCACACAGAACAACACAAGCAAAAATGATACGGAAGAAGAAGAAGGAAGAGGAAATCATACCACGAAATTCAGGAAGCACTATTATGAAGCGAAAGCATATTTTATAAACAGAGGGTGGATGAGATGCGAATGAGAGGGCGAGGGCGAGGGCGAGGGCAATGGCGGGCCTGCAGCAGAGCCTAGGAGGAAAGAGGGAAAATGATGAGAGGAAGTATACTGAGGGACTGAATGGTCAACCACTAAATGGCTCGTTAAAGATGTTATCATTTCAACCGTTAGATCTCTTGAATCGTCTCCGACCAAAAATAAAAAGTTAAGCAAAAAGGTCAGTTTCGGTCCTGTAGTTTGCTATTTTTTCAACTTTCTCAATTTAAATTTTAAATACACATAATAAATTCTGTCAAATTTCTTCAGACACATGTCAGGGACACATGTTTACTCCGTTGTAAAATTGGATGAAACTTTGGACGTGTTCTTGAATTGCGAAGATATCAAACTATAGGTTTCAAATTACTAGAAACGAAGCTAGAGACATAAGTGAAAAATCTGATGAACTATAGGGACCAAAAATGTTATTTTTTTTCAACAGTTAAATGCTTAAATATTGCACATGAAATAAATGCTTTTATAAATTATAGTTGGAACCAATCGTCAATTGGAAATCATACAAACTAATGAAGAAGGTAGAGCAAATAAACAAAAGATTCTCAATTGGAACCAATCGGAACCAATTGGAACTTATAAATCACAGTTGGAACCAATTGTCAACTGGAAATCAAGAAGTAAAAGCGAGAAGGTGGTTGAGAGACTTTGATCAAGTTGAAATTTGTTTGATAGAGATTGAGTGTGTAGCCTCAATTTTCTGATATAATAAGTGTCATTTGTTGGCATAGTGACAAGAAGGGAGACAGCTCTTAGATGCTAGGGAACAACCCCCATCAATCATTACATGCTACATTGACTTTGAAATGATGAAAGTAAGCGAAACACCAAACAATTTGAGTGGGATTTGATATGATTTTAGACATAAGAGCAGCTCCACTGCTTCACAGAACCCGGGCAAAAGGCCCTCCTGGTGAGCCCAAACACCCTCCAGCGCGAGAGAAGACCCAAGGGCAAGTTTCGCCTGAGTTTCAGCCCAAGGGCTGTGACGTCAGCGCACGGTAATTTAAATTTTTTTTACTATTGGCACGTGAATTACATGCGCCAACGGTTAAAAAATTTGACTTCCGCGCGCTAACGTCACTCCTGACAGAATCCAACGGGCATGTGTCACGTGTCGCAACAGGGACGCTCCGATTTGTTTTTTTTCCAGAAATTCGACAGTCCTCTTTTTTTTGGCTAAAAATATTCCCAAAAAAAATCAAAAAAATTCTGAAATTTTTTTTAAAAAAAAATACCAAAAAATTATTTATTTTTTCCCTATAAATAACCATTTTATTTACTTTCCACACCAAATCTTCATACAATTTCTTCTCCATCCAATATTTTTTACTCTTCACTCACATTATTCACTTTCCACACCAATTCTCCATACAAACTCTTCTCCCTCCAATATTTTTTACTCTCCACTCACATTTTTCTACCACTTTCCATTTGTATAAAAAAAACAAATGGCATCTTTTGTCGAAGTCGGAGGCTCATGGTCAACTCAAAAAGATATTGCGTTGTGTCAGTCTTGGGTGAACGTTAGTCATGACCCTATCACGGGCAATGAGATGAAGTTTCATCATATATGGAGCAAAATTCATGGAGAATTTTGTCAAAGATCAGGTTCCATTCCGACCAAAATAGCTTTGTCTAGTATATGGAAATTTTTGAATAAAGAGTTAGGGAAATGGAGAAATGCCTTGACGAAAGCAAGGGAGAACATTCGAAGTGGTCAAAATTTTACCGATGAGGTAAAATATTTATAATTTCCATTTTAATCAATTTAATGTAACTTTTTATTTATTGCATATTCTATTTCTTTTTCTTGCATAATCTTTTTTTTTCTTTTTGCATTTCCAATTTGTCTATATTTTCTTGCATAATCAATTTCATTCTTGCATTTCAAAATAGTTTATATTTTCTTGCATAATTTTTTATTTCTTGCACTTCCAATTATTTATTTTTAATAGATCATACAAGCACAAATGTGGTTCGGTGCCATAGGGCAAGGCCAAAAAAGTTTCGTGCATTTCCAATGTTGGGAAGTTGTGAAGGATTGTTCGATATTCAAAATTATTCCCACCGGTCCGCCGGTTGTGTTGAATGAGACGCCACTTCACAATTCGCCATCAACCGATTCGCCATTGGACTCCCCAATGGAAACGGAGTCACCACTCCCACTTCCGCCGAGACCTATTGGGAGAAAGGCGGCAAAGGCCAAGAGAGGGGGCACTTCGAACAATGAATGTGTACAATTATTGGAGCAAATAGCTAAGAACACCTCACTAAGAATTGAGATAGACTTGAAAAGAGAAGAAGCGGACATGGCACGAGAGGAAGCATTTGTTATTCAATAGCAGCAGGCACAAGAAAAAGACGTGGATGATAGAGAGATGAAAATCATGGTCATGGATACGAGCCATATGTCTCCTGAAACAAAGGCCTATTGGAAGCATAGACGAAGGGATGTGATGAGAAGAAAACTTTTCCATGACGACGGACCTAGCAATATGGATTGGTTAAATTATGAAAACCATTAGGTTGTATTGAAACACCTTTGTCATATGTTGTATTGTTGTATTGTTGTATTATCCTTTAATTTGTTGTATTGTTTCCTTTTTATTCAATAAAAAAAGCATTAAATAATATGACTATTTATTAAAAATATTTGAGCATCAAAACAAAGATTAATTAAAAACAAACCTTAATTTATTGCAAACAACACACAAAACAAACCATACATAAAAGCATAATTCCAAAAAACACCACACACAAAATAAAGCATAATTAAAAACAAAGCAAAATTCCAAACAAAGCACTAATCTTGACTTCATCCATTGTGATTGCTTTTGATCTCCCACAAGTGCTCGATCAAGTCAACTTGACGTCTCTCGTGAACATATGAAGATTGCATTTCTTGATAACGATCAATCATGGGGTTGTTGAATCTACCATCCCAAAGTAACGGTTTGTGCTCCATTGGTAGTCCATTTGGTCTCATTAGCCTTTCATATATTCTTTTCAATGCCGTGTTCATGGGATCGGATTCAAACACCTTTGGAGCATCGTAGTCATACTCATCCTCCACAATCATGTTGTGGAGGATGATGCAAGTCATCATAATACTCCGCAACACCTCCTCATCTATCATCCGAGCAGCACCCCTAATAATTGCCCAACAAGCTTGCAAGATACCGAAACACCTTTCCACGTATTTCCTGTAACCTTCTTGAAAGGAAGCAAAGCTTCTTTCTTTCTCGGATTGGGGATTCGAAATTGTTTTCACGAATGTCGTCCACTTAGGATAAATTCTATCAGCAAGGTAGTACGCACCAAAGTATACGGTATTATTGATTTGGTACGTGACCTGGGGGGAATGACCTCGCAATACCTCGTCGAACACCGGGGATTGACCAAGGACATTGAGGTCATTCTGAGATCCGGTAACCCCGAATAAGGCATGTCAAACCCAACAGTTGAATGAAGCTACGACCTCCAAAATTATACTTTTTTGGCCCTTCCGATTCCCGTACTCTCCTTGCCAAGCAGTAGGACAATTCTTCCAGTGCCAGTGCATGCAATCGATGCTTCCAATCACTCTTGGGAAACCTCGAGCCTCGCCTTTTTGTAGAAGCCTTTGGAGGTCTCTCGGCGTGGGTTTGTGAAGGTACTCCCTCGTGTACAAATTTTCTACTGCATCATAGAATCTCACCAAGCACTCTAGGATAGTAGACTTTCCCATCCTTGCAATCTCATCCACCCGCTCTGCAGATGCCCCATAAGCAAGCATCCGTAAAGCAGCTGTAAGTTTTTGCTCCAAGATAAGACCCAAAACTCCAACAGCATCATGCTTTTGAATGAAGCATGTGTCGTAATTACAAATATCATGCATGATTTTTTGGAACAAATGTGGCTGCATTCTATATCTCTCTCGAAACTTAGAAACAGGATATAACGAATTTGGGATAAAGTAATCCTCCAAGATATTCTTACCCCAAGACTCCCTACGTCTGTCCACATTCGGGGCACGACGACGACGGTGTTGCCTTGATTGATTAAGTATACACACCGCTCCTGCAAGCATTTGTTCCTTTTCTTCATCGGCGTCCCGATCTTCTTGAGCACGTCTACGCCGGATTTCTTCCCTTTCTTTCTATTGCCTCTCCAACACCCTCCTCAAGTTTGACATTGAGAGTAGAATGTGTTTTGTAAAATTTGAGAAATGAAGGAATAGATAAGAGATGGTGTGAGAGGTATGAGTTGATGGTGTAGTTTTATAGAGGGATTCAGAAGATAGAGATGACACGTGACACAATTTTAGAGGGTGAAAATCTTATCTGAAATATGAGATTATAATTTTTTAAAAATATTTGAAAATCTTATCTGACATGGGACACGTGGCACAATTTTAGAGGGTGAAAATCTTATCTGAAATATGATATTATAATTTTTTTAATGACTATCCGAAAATTTTATCTAGAATAAGACACATGGCAACCGAGATTCTCATCCGAAAATCTTTTCTGAAAAATAATGGACACGTGACAACCAAAAATCTTATCCGAAAATTTAATTACAAAAGATTATCAAAAGTAATGGTTTAAAGTATAAAAAAATAGGAAATAAAGTACAATGAATAGTATTTGCCTTAGACTTACCCTAGACTTAGCCCTCATGGGTGGAACCACAAATGGCAACGCTGACACTATTCACGTGAATAGTGGCAGCCATTGCCCTAGACTTAGCCCTTATGAGTGGAGGTGCTCTAAGTTATGCATAGAAGCTTGAAGCTTGAAGCTTGTAAGCACGTTTGAGAAGAACATCTCTATTCTAGAATTTGTACCTTTCAGATAAATTTTTGTCATTAGGTTTGTTCTTTTTAAAAAAACAAAAATTCATAAACATTCCTGAATTATACAAAACTATCTAGTTGTGTCTTTTATTTTTATTTTTTTTATATCATTCGTGCTCCTCAAGGTTAGTCTGCATGCTCACAAGTAGTCCCATGTTGTCAAAAACTGTTCAAAATTCTATTAAATTTATGACATGACACTCATGTGGGCCTCATATCTCCAATGATATGACATCTTGTGAATTAAATAAATAAATGTTTATAAATGGTAATCCATAGAAAACACTTTTAAAAAATTAAAAATCAAAACCAAGAAAAAATCACCACCTTCTCTATCGAATGCCAATCCTCCACCCTCACCGTTCCTCCTCCCCTTTCCCCTCCTGCTAGGGATGGCAAAAATCCCCACGGGGGCGGGTCCCCGTCGGGTCCTTGACCCTAACGGGGGGAGATTTCAGGGCCAAATGTGTATCGGGTACAGGGATCCCCGAACTTGAAAAATCCCCTACGAGTATGGGGAGGGCATGGTATTGGCATCCCCATCCCCGAACCCGACCCGAAAATATATATGTTTATATTTAAATAAATAAATACATATATAATTATAATATTTTTGTTTAATCCTAAGTTAACATTCCTCTCCTAAATCTTCCTAATCTTCTTTGGAATTTCATATTGATGTGATTTTGAATAGTTGAACTTTATAGTTAATTTAGATGTGTTGAATGATAATTTAATATGAAACTTAATGTTAAAATGTATGATAAATATTTTTTATGCAAAAAAAATCAAGGATTCGGGGCGGGTATAAGGAATAGTCCCTCGACGGGAACGGGAATGGGGATTCCCCGAAAACTATTAAACGGGGATGGGTTCGGAGACAGGGGCTAGGATGGAGAGCAGGGACGGGAATGGTATTGTCATACCCGACCCTACCCGACCCGTTGCCATCCTTACCTCCCGTAACCTCTCCCCATCCCCAAAGCCACTATGATAGATCCAAGTAATTCTGGGAAACAACAGTTCCTCCTTCTTGTCCTAATTATTCTACTGCCATAAAACCACTGACTAGAAATGGAAGCAACTACAAATGCAATAGCCGAGCACAAGAGAATGAGGTGATGGTAGTTGTGGAAGATCATTTGCACCATGTAGGAATATTTTATAAATATTCTATGGAGCCCACATGATATGGCCTATGTGGTAAATAACTTATTTAATTGGTTTAATAAATATTATTTTGAATAATCATATTGGTTAAATTAAGAAAAGTAATTTTCTACTTTATTACCATGATGGGTGGTAATTAATTAGCACTACACTAGGAAAATAATTGGTCATCTCTCTACCTATAACAGTGCACATATCCATCTTTTGTGTATAATTTTTGACTGACAACACATATTAGGGTTTCTAACATGCAAAAAAGTTAGAGAGAGAAACCCATTTCCTCTACGCTAACGGCTCACCTATGGATCCTCAAGACAAAAATGTTCATTTATTTGAAGGCTAATTATCGAGGTATGTATGTATATGTTAATTGAATTTCCGCTTGATACTATTGTGAAAATCATGAACTTCAAAATCTTGGATAATTTATTAAGTCATATGGTTTTACCTAATATTAAGTTTATGTAGTAGCTACAGTTGAAGGTCTTTGTGGACTCAATTTGGCCTTAATTAGAGATAGAGATGTCTTTTTCTAGCTTTGAAATAATTAGCTAAATCAATGTATTTTCATTTAGTATTGGGTTAATATATTTTCTTGTTATAGATTGATGAATGGTTTTTAATTTTTGAAAAGGCTAAATTGTAGCAATGGCCCTTGGACTAAGACCAAACTTTACTTTTTTTCCCTCATATTGCTAAATTGTTGTGGTGGTACTTTAATTATACTTCCATTTTCAGAAATCGTCCTTTCCTTCATCTCAGCCAACTTTTCCGTTAAAAATGATGACATGGCATGGACAAGTCCTACTTGGCATAAACAAAAATGTGTTTTCACACAAAATTTTTTAAAAATAAATCTCATCTCTCTCTCGACCTCCATCCCAATTTCTTCTTCTCCCCCCTCCCCCCACACGCACACGCTATTTCTCACCTAGATTTCCTCTCCCCCACCTCCCCCCACGGCACCAATTTCTTCTCCCACCCGATAACCCACATCAGAGCCCACCAATTTCTCCTTTAGATGTGGAATCTTGGCTCTAAGTCTTTCTCTCTCCTACACCCATCTATTTGATGAGATAACACACATTAGACCCAAATCCTCCAACAAAACCAAACAACAAAGGAAAGAAAAGAAATAAAAAAAACAAGCCTCAGTGGATGATTTTTTTTTTCTTTCCTATAGTTTCTAGGGTTCTGTTTTTGTTGGGGTTCTGGGTTTTGTGGATGATTTTTTTGTTTCCTCTTTTTTGTAGTTGCGGGCTAGGGTGGGGGCGCTGAGTTCTGGGTTCATGGGGTGGGTGGTGGTCATGGGGAATTGGGGTAGAAGAAATCTGTGGGGAGAGAGAGAGAGAGAGAGAGAGAGAATTTTTAATTTTTTATAAATAAAATTGTTAATCAATTTATAATTAATGAAAAGACAAATATGCCCTTATTTTTAACGGACAAGTTGACTGAAAATGACGGAAAAGATGATTTCTAAAAGTGGAGGCATAGTTAAAGTACCACCGTAACAATTTAGCTATATAAGGGACAAAAAGTAAAGTTTGGCCTTAGTTCAGAGACCATTGCTACAATTTTACCTTAAAAAAATTATGTAGGAGGTGGAGGGGCAAACAGCTGGGCGTGGAGGATTGGTGTGTGATGAAGGAGGTGGTGAATATATTTTTTGTTTTTAATTTTTTGTTTTTATGGTTTATCATTTTAAAATTATTTTTTTAAATATATATTTTTATTTAATCCATATGGCATCATATTATTGGATATATGAGGGCCATATGTGTGTCACGTAATCAATTTAACAGATTTTTAGAAAAACTACTTGTGAACATGCCGGTTAAACTTAAGAACCACGAATCCCAAAAAAAAATAAATAAATAAAAAGATGTATTCTTATAATTCCGTGAACCTCAGGTTTTGTTATAAAAAAAACCCATTAAAAATTACTTTTTTCACAGATTAATGTGCTGAAATGAAGTTGAAAATATATATCTATTCTGCTTTGAATCAATATGTCGGATTGTGGCATAATCTACTGTACAATTTGCTGTCAGGCATGCAACAAAGAGAAAACAACATTTACAAATTTAATAACAGTAATTTGCAACTCCTGTCACTTTCATACATCTTAAGAAATTCAGTCAAGTTGATCTTCTAGTTAATTAATTTCAGATCTCTATACAGCTCATATGCAAATTCTAGCTTGTGGCTTTTCAATCATGCCAAGAAGAAGAAAACAGAGAAAGAAAAAAAACAGTAAAATATAGTAAATTTCCATAGCAATTAGAAACTGCCCAGCTCCTGGAACAGTATATAAATGCAGAGGCTAGCAAGATAGTATTTTTGTTTTTTTGGTTGAACTGGGGGACGAGACAACCCAATCAAGTTATCAATAACTAATGAACCTATCCAACTTAGAGCAAAATCAAAATAACACACGGCAAGACCCACGTTATAGCTCCAGAGCAAGATAGTTATTTTAAGCCTTCAGGTTTAACCATTTATCTAGCTACCAGCCTTAAAATTTCAATACTAGTTTCCCTAGCCACCACCAAAAATGGTCCTAGCAGGTGACCCTAAACCTTCAACGACAAAGCTGCTTTGGCTGAGTTCTCTGCTCGTAATGCCAGAATTCTAGTTTAATGATTTTTTTTAACATGTAAACCAGTGTTTTCAAAGGCATGCCTAAGCGCGCATCGGAGCGCGCGTCGGAGCAAGGCGGAGGGAAATCGCCTTAGGCGTACGACTGTTTAGCTTGTTGCACGCTTAGCGTGTCGAGGCGTGGTGAGGCGTGCATCGAGAGGCATGGTGAGGCGCAAAGAAGCGCCGCTGTCTGCAACCCAGGCAAGAGGAAGAAGACGACCTGACTTGAATTTTTTTTGTTAGGGTTTGTTTCAATCAAACTACGTCGTTCATCTATCTGAGTTGTTTTTTTTTTTTTTAAACGCACGTTTTGGTTTTTATTTTTTAAACAAACATCATGCCTTTTAAGCCCCCACTGAACCAAACAAAACATCCCTCTTTTTTTCTTCTAAATAAATACATTAATGGACCTATATGTATATTCCTAATGCGATAATCTCCATCAATTTAAATTCTCTCCATAAGTTGAAGCGTCTCTCTCTTTCGGTATGCAATTCTCTTTGTACAAGATTTATATATATATATATATGTTAGTTTTTTTTTCTTTCCAAACAACACAATATCCATAAAACCCACTAAAAATAACACTCACGTCCACACATAAATGCTGAAAATCATAGCATTTTATGTTTCATTATGGGGAGTGGGATGCATGAATTGAGTTATTCTTTTGATATTGAATAAGTATTTTATGTTTTGAGATTGATTATTATGCTTGAATGGTATTTAGTACTTACATTTTTGATAGAATATTTTGGGTCAATAAGAATTAGTAGTACAATTCATCTGTATTGTATTATTTATAATTTTTTTATTATTAAAAGAAATTAATGTTTAAAAGGCTTACGCCTCAATGCTTCAAGGCTTACGCCTTGCATAGCAGACTAAAAACGCATCGCCTCTATGCCTCGCTTTTTAAAACATTGATGTAAACAGCCAAACACATCTTCAGTTTCTAACTTTTTTGCAATGATTATTTATAATTAAAAACAAAAAACAGAAAAAGCAAGGACAAATATTTAAAAACAAAGTCTATACTAAAAAATAGCCTCCCAAATCCCCCTAAATAAAGACGTATTGGGCTGGCTAGATGCATATATGTAAGTGTTTCACTTGGCTCTTTATCATCTTTGATAAAAAATGAAAGTTCCTGTCAGATTTCTCCTAAATGAATTTCAACATAATCTTTTTATCAAAATAATCCCACGGTGGCTGGATCTTCTTAATCCACTTATCCAGAGATCAGTGATGCCGGTTTCCAAGGTGCTTCGAGGGCAATAATTAATATAAACGATAGACATTGGTGCAAAGATACGTACTCTTAATCACTTGGCTGCAAACCCATTGCACAACTCTCATGGATTCAATATTGGCTATTTCAAGGAACATAAGTTAATGCTTCCAGATAAATTACCTGACATTAAAATGTACTCTTCCACAGCTAAGTTTGCTGGCATAAAATTACACCTAGTTCATCTCTGATTATTGGTGGACGGAGGGAAAAACTCGAATACACACAATGCCAACTATTGTAATTTGCAACTCCTCTCAATTTCATACATCTTAAGAAATGCAGTCTGGCTGATCTTCTAGTTAATTAACTTATGTGTGCACAGCTCATACCGGCTTGTGGCTTTTCAATCAGGCCAAGAAGAAGATATAACATGGAAAACATAGTAAATTTCAACAGAAAACTTGCAATTGCAAACTTATCAGCTCCTGGAAAAGTATATAAATACCATGCTAGCAAGACAGTGAAATACCAACAGCAATAGAACAAGTTAGTTTCAGGCCTAACCATTTATCTAGCTACCATGGCCTTGAGATTTGTTCAATTGCTGATCATATTTGTACTGGCCCTGGCCACCTCCCAAAGGATCCTTGCAAGTGATCCAGACATCCTTTTTGACTACATAGTCCCGCCAAATAACAAAGGTGATGCTAATTTCTTTACTTACACTGGATTCCGAGACATATTCGATGATGTTCCTGGAACCTTAAATGTAACGAAAGCTGCCTTGGCTGAGTTCCCTGCTCTTAACGGACAGAGTGTGTCGTACGCCATACTTAAATATCCTGCAAACGGGGGAGTGAACCCACCTCACACCCACCCTCGTGCTGCTGAGCTTCTGTTCCTTGTTGGTGGTTCCTTGGAAGTAGGGTTCGTGGACACCAAAAACGTTCTATATACTCAGAAGCTTAAAGTTGGAGACCTATTTGTGTTTCCTAAGGGATTAGTCCATTACCAGTATAACTCAGATGCTAATTTACCAGCCTACGCCGTTTCAGCATTCGGAAGTGCAAATGCTGGAACAGTTTCAGTGCCTGTGTCTATGTTTGGCACTGGAATTGATAATGCCATCCTAGCAAAATCATTCAAGACCGATGTTGGTACCGTTAAGAAGCTCAAGGCTGGCCTCACCACTCATAAATGATGGATTAACAAACCAACACCATAATCTTTGTCGTGGTTGTGTTCACACACCCTTCAGATTATTAAACAAAAGCAATAAAGGGCCATCTAGTACTGCACCCTCTTTTTTTTTCAGTGTTAGCTTTGCTTTGAAAGCAAAATTTGATTACTTATGTTTTTGTTGTTAATCTATGCAGTTCTGTAGTTTTTTATTATTATTATTGAATTATATATTTCCGTTCACTAGAGTTTCTCCGGATCGAAACCTACATTTTAGAACAACTAAACTGGATTATGCAACAATTTCACCGTGGAATCCCTCTCTACTTTCGTTCTTTCATAAGTATCTTCAGAATGATTTTCTCACTAATACACTTATAGACCAATTCCGTGTTCACTGTGTTTTAAATGGTTGACTTTGACCTCAAAAGAGTCTAAAGAGATTCCCAAAGGCTGTAAATGGCATGAAGTCCCATTCCAATAGCAAACTACATGGAGGACAATTAGCAAGGAAAGGATTTTTTTGGCCTAAGCAAAAACGTTTCTTATCTCAATGTTGCTAAAACTGAAGAGCGCTCAAAAGTAAGAGCAAAGACATATATAGACCTGTAGAAAAGACACTATTTCGTTTCAGGAATTGTTTACAACAAGATGTTCAATTTGTAATCTTTTACTGTTGGTTTACTATGATATACGGTGATTGAGTTTTTAAACTTGCATCTTTGATTTTGGCAGCGACGTGATTTCGTGCCCAAAAGTTTTCTTATTACAACTATTGATTAACCAAAATTATATATATACTAAAGCTCAATCCAACTAAACACTGTTCCTAAGAACAGTATAATGACGGAAATGCCCCTCATTTTGCTATTGTTTTTGTTTTGTTTTCTCTTCATAACAGTAAATTGACGAAACTGCCCTCAACTAAACATCTTCTTATGTTCCCTTTTTGCCTCTTTCCCTCCGCTGCGAACGTTTCGTTCGCTCAGAGAAGGCGTCCATTTTCAGTCCATTTCGAACCAGCTGGTTGGGGGGCAGCTATGGAAGATCTGCATTCATTGTTAGACATGCGTGGGGGGCCGTCGATTTTCGTTTGGGAGGTGGGCTGCAAATCCAGCCGTACTTTTAGTCTTCGTCTCACAGATTTGTGGTCGGGAGATTTCTCATCGTTTCTATAGCCTTCGACTCAGACGTCTTCCATCTTTCTTGCTTGTGAGTTTTTGCATCCTTTGTCTTCAGGTATGCATCCCGTCAACTTTTTAACAGATCTTTTGGTCTTCATTTCATGAATTTGATTGTTGGCTGGGACTTTTTTTGTCCTTTGTAGAGCGTGGGTGTGAACCATGTTCTATCTTTAGGGTATTTTTGATTTATTTTTTACGAATTTGGGTTCATTTATTTGGTTAATTTGATTTCAGGTTCTTGGGTAATCCCTAATGCTATATAAGAGGAGCTGAACCCAGGAAGGGGATTGAATCTCACAGATTAGCTCAGGTATTTCCATCGTTCTTATTATTATTATTATTTTAATCAATTGTCGATTCAATGACTTTGCTCTCTCGGAGAAATCTTAGAAATGGAAATCATTCCCAATTTCTGTTTTGGTTGCACGATAACACACTGGAAAGCAAAGACCAAGCGTTAAAAAAAAAATAAAAAAAAAAATAAATAAATTTTTTTATCTGCTTTTGGTTGCTGTATCCTAAATATGGAGAAAAAAATTAATGATAAAACACAAGGAAAAAAGAAGTGAAGATTAATCAGGTTTCGTCAAAATAGAAATTGGGAATGATTAACCAGCAACCATACTGATAAAGTGCCATCTTCCCTTCTTTGTGTACTCTCTAAGTTCTGCTCACGTCAATTTTTTCACCATATGCTCTGAGACATAGCTATGTGGCTTAAAATTTGGTTTCTGTATATGAAAAATATAGTTCTTGACTGCGAAGCTTTTCTGTATATGTCACAGGTTCTTAAATTCTATCCTAAATTCCCTATGTTCAACTAGAAAGAAAGGTTTCTTTTTATCTTCTTGAAATAATTCATGTTTTAAAACCCATTTATCTAGATTGACTCTCAAGCATATGGTGTCTAGGAAACATATGGTTTACTTTGCCAGTTCAATACGCTTGGTACATAAGTTCTGAAAATTGTATGGCCTGATTGAGCAGGCATGCTGTAGAGTTCTTGCTTGAATGTGTATGTTTTGTCCTTTAAAATTACAATTGAACATAATATCCTAGATATTAGGATTGCCGCAGGCTTATGTTGATCACAGTCTGTGCAATGATTCAATCCTGAGTGAGAGAGTGGTTTTGTGATTTTAATTGTTTAGGGTGACTTTTGATTGAGATGTTCGATTGAGTTGTCAGGACAAAAGGAATGTAAATCTAGATCAACGCTTACAGAAAATTAAAGTTATATATTGAAGTTTTTGGTTTATAGAATTAGAGAGGCTGAGAAAACAGAAATCATGCTACAATATACCTGGAATGAAGATTTTTGCTGCCTCCTTCAAGGAACCTAGATCTGTTATGTCTTTGGCCTGTCCAAGTTAGCATATATTAGATAAACTGTACATTAGTATTTATCAAGCAGTTTAGAAAGTGTCACCTTATGAACAGGGCCAAATCCTCCCTCTCCCAGTTTATTCGCTACATTGAAGTTGTTTGTTGCAGCTAAAACTCTTTTTAAATTGAAGAGTGGTAGTCCTGCATCATTCTTCGCAGCTTCAGCTCTTTCTTTACTTATAGTCTCACTCATACAGCCTTCCGTGCTCCCTGTTTCATTCTTATTATTAGAGCATTGGTTGTTTGGAACACTAGAATATATGTGTTTGTGTGAGTGAGAAAGAGAAAAAGAAAGAGAAGGGTGGTAGCACTATACCTTCCATTCCCAAGTATTTCTTCCATATGAAGAATTTGTTGGCTGGGAGATTTTTTGTCAAGAGACTTTCTTTCTTTTAGTGGTTTGATGTTCATTCGACAGTTGAAGGCTATGAAAACAAGCTAATATATAGAGTGACGGTATAAATAGATGGATCATGGATCTTGGTGCAATTCTCTCTGTTTTTTTGGGTTATTTTTTATGCTGTTTTGATTCATGGGTTGGTTTTTATGTATTTTGTTTTAGAAGTTGGACTTTTTGGAATTTGATATTGATATGGGAATTGAAAGCTTTCAGTTCAGGATAATGCTTTTCAGTGTGTGTTAATGAAATTGTTCTCTGGCTTTTCCTTATCTGAAAAATGCCAATTTTCCATGGAAAGAAAGGAGATTAGGATATTATATAGAAACAAAAGAAATTGTTGTGTTATGTATTGCAATACAGTTAGTGAAAGAACTTTTTTTTAATAAATGTTTTTTTTTTTTTCAATTCATAGTGGAAATAACTTTAATTGTAGGCTGAAATTTCCAATTAATTGTTTTAAGTTTTGTGAATAGAGCTTTAGGAATTAGCTAATGGTGTCAATTGACAATTGGTTGGGATAAGTGTGTGCTTCTTATTTTTTCTTCAAGTCCTAAAGAAAGATGGCAACCGTACAAAAATAGACTTCAACAATTTTCAAACGCAAAAAAAGGATTATATGCCTTATGAGAAGAAGAAACTGAATTTTCAGTTTTTGCGTTTTTTACAGGTGCTGTGTAACTGTTTTTTAGACTGTTTGGTAGCTCTTCCCATTGCTGCTAGACAACAGGTCAGTTTTCTATTCGTCTTTTGAAGAAGTCTTGCATATCAACTGTGGCTAATTGTTGTTTGGATATTGTGTCTTTGAAAATTGTTATTTCTATCATTGTGATGTTATTGCTTGATTAGGCTATAGAAATTGTATTTAATTCGTTTTCATATGTTTGTTTTGAAATTTTTTATTTCTATAGCTACAATACTGTTGGTGTGCGTCCATTTTGCTTGATTAGGATATAGATGTAATAAAAATATTGTAATTTAACTCATCCATGTTTATTTTTTCCTTTCCAGCCATCGATGTGTTGGTTGGAATTTGTAATTTTTGAATATGATGCCTAAAAGAATTACAAAAACCAGAAAAAGCCTGAGTTAAATTATAATAGATCGATATTGAATGCATTAGTGCCAAGGAAAATGTTGTTGAGTTGTAAACAGTTACTCAAAATCTTCCACCGGTTTCATACTTGGTGCATCTACATTTAGCATCTGTTCTAAATTCTTCACTAAATGGCATCAAAATATTTATTAACCAAAAATAGCTAAATACAATGAATAGTGAAATTTCCACCAATGACCAAAAAAAAACTTAGATGTTGTAAACTATGCAGTGCTCTCAAAGTGTTGGCTTATTTTACTGGTTTGGATAGAGGTTTTAGGTTCCTACTTTTGGTTCTGTTAAGCAAGAGGCAAATTTCTTGGTTGAAATTAATTGGCAGAAATTAATTGTTTTCCATTTTGCTTTAGCCAATGGCATCAATTTCCCATTTGTGTTGATCATTTAGGCATATGTACTGTTCTTCTTAATTTTTTAATGATGAATTTTTGGTATGCAAGTTTGATATCAAAGCATCCCCTGTGAATATATACATTAACTTTTTAGTAAGAACCCATGTAAATCAGCTACACGGTGCTTGATTATTATGCATCAAAGTTATTCAAATTAAAGAACACATTATTAAAAAGCATGACATTATAATCAGTAATCGTATACTCTTTATTTCAAATGCAGCATCTAATAGTTTTTAAATAGACAGTGTAGCATCTCCATTGCAATACAGTTAGTGAAAGAACTTTTTCTTAATAAATGTTTTTTATGTTTTCTATTCATAGTGGAAATAACTTTAAAGTGGGAAAAGATCATCAATTTTTAACAATGAGGATGAGATTTTTTTTTTTAAAAAAAGGTTGGCTATATATCAAAACACTGTCAAAGATGTAGCACTTGTGGCACTAATGCTCCAATTGGGGATCACCAAGTTGTTCAGAGCCCTGTTTTAGAATCTAGAATGTCTTTATTTTTCGCTCTTTTGATTGTTGCTTAATTTTATTTAAAATTGCTCCTCTGCAAATGGTTGGTTGCAAGTCACAATTATGGGCCATTGAGCTAATTTCCAGAAACAAATTGACCACATTGGCTTAACTAATTATATAGGGTTTGGTCGATGTTTGGTTTTATCGAATTTGTTTTTTACAGAACATTTGGTATTGGTCTACACTGTCTTGCATGCATATGGATTTTGAAATGAGTTGTGATGTGTTTATTTAGTTTTCTCTTTATGGTGTTGGTTACTTTTCAACCAATTAACATGTGATTCTCCTCTCAAGGAATTTGAAAAGAAACCAGTCTTCAATTCGTATCGTAATATTTTCATGTTTTCATTTGTTTGTGTAAGAAAAGGAAATGTAACAAATAGTTTCTGTTGGTTCTTGATATTCTTCAATACGAAAATCAGTATTGAAACAGATTCATTAATTGAGACTGTCTTATCTCACAAGCAAAACCAGAATTATACTTATTAGCCTAATTTTGTTTTTCTGTCTTTGTATTTTAGATAGCTGTTGTGATCCTGCTTTTGTGTGGCTGTTTTTCGAAGTGCTTGATAGCTTCTTTGACTACAGGTTAGTGTTTTATCCATTTTTCAAAAGATTGCATGCATGGTGGCTGTAGCTTATTGATTGCCAAATATTATGACATTTGAAAATTCTCATTTCTGTGGTTCTGTCAATATCACGGTGCATTTGCTTATAATTTAAAATTGTATAAATGCATGTTTTTTTCTCCTTTCCAGCTATCAATCTGTTGCTTGGGGTTTTAAATTTCTGTGCATAATGTGTAAAATGACTAGAGATAGCAAACGAAATCAGATGATGCAAGAAGCTCATAGTTTTGCCATTTCAAATGGTATAGAAATCTCTTATGAAAGTGTTTGTCTTGCCGATGATAAACATAAAACCAGAGAAGAAAATGTGTGAGATTTTGACAATTTACTAATTATCGGTTTGAAGAAGAAAAAAGCCCAAGGCAGTTCCAAAATTGCCTCTCCTACTTCCACATCAGAGTTTATGCTCTTTCCTTTTCAATTCATTCATCTCATTAATGTACACATTATATACATAATATTTCATTGTTCACAACTTATTTCCCCACTCAATTTCTCTATATTAAGTGGTAGTTGATTGCATTGAATTTGGGCAAAGTTTCCTTTCTCATAATTGTCTTCAATTATGATTCAATTTTAAAGAAAATTTATCAACTCTTCTTTTAAAATATGATTTTTCTCAAACGTCTTTTAGAATGCAATTTGGTTTCAAAACCCGCAGCATGGCGCGGGTGCCTTTGCTAGTTAATAACAAAAAGGTAACATAAAAAGGAGATACAATAAAAAAAGCTAAATTTATGAACCACAGTAGCAAATATACATTGTCCAAACTGACGGTGGATGAAACAACGACGGAGACAGAGTTAAGGAGATGATGAGAGGGTTGAAGAATTTGTAAATAGATTTGACTGCCCCAAACAGTGCCTTTATCTGGTCAAGCTATGTAACACCTACAAGCCTGAGCCTTCAGCTCAAACTAGCTCTTTCTCTTTATGTATACTGAGGAGGGGGCACTACTACAAAAAGTGAAAAATACCACCATCTTCATTGTCCTAATTGTGGTATCTCAAGGTGGAAGGAAGGCAAAGATTCAATCTTGAAAGAGGGTGTGCCAGCGAAGGTGGTGTGGTATTTTCCTCCAATTCCAAGGTTTAAAAGGATGTTTCGATCACATGAGACCGCTAAGAGTTTGACTTGGCATGCTGCTAGAAAATCAATTGACGGTTATATGTCTCATCCAGCGGATTCCCCGTCTTGGAAACTTCTTGATGATAAATGGCCCGAGTTTGGTAATGAGCCGAGAAACTTGAGATTGGCTCTTTCATCTGATGGATTCAATCCCCACAGTTCTCTAAGTAGCAGATATAGTTGCTGGCCAGTTATCTTAGTTACATATAATCTCCCTCCATGGCTGTGCATGAAACGAAAGTTCATGATGTTGACCTTATTGATTTCCGGTCCTAAACAGCCCGGAAATGATATAGACGTCTACTTGGAGCCTTTGATTGATGATTTAAAATCTTTGTGGGATGGGATTGGAGGAGTGTATGATGCACATAATGGAGAATACTTTACACTCAGAGCTGCATTAATGTGGACAATTAATGATTTCCCCGCCTATGGAAACTTATCTGGTTGTGTTGTTAAAGGATATAAAGCTTGTCCAATATGCGGCGATGATACACCTAGTCACAGGTTGAAAAATGGCCACAAAATTTGTTACATTGGGCATAGAAAATGGTTACCGATCAATCATCCATATAGGAGGCAACGTGCAGCTTTTAATGGGAAACCTGAATATGGCACGCCTCCTGAGCCATTAACCGGAGAAGAAGTGCTGCATATGGTTGAAGATGGTGACAGAGTTTGTTGGAAGAAGAAATCAATATTCTTTGATCTCGAGTATTGGAAATACCTTCCTGTGAGGCATGTCCTAGATGTTATGCACATTGAGAAGAATGTTTGCGATAGTATCATTGGTACATTGCTGGAGATCCCTGGAAAAAATAAAGATGGGATTGCTGCTCGATTAGATTTATTGAACATGGGGGTCAAAACTGATTTGCAACCCGAGTATGGAGAAAGACGTACTCGTTTGCCTCCCGGGCCTTGGAATTTGTCAAGAGCAGAGAAGAGAGAGGTTTGCAATTCTTTCTATGGTATGAAGGTCCCTGAAGGTTATTCTTCAAATATAAAAAATCTTGTATCTTTACAAGATTCAAGACTTCTTGGCCTTAAATCACATGATTGTCATACCTTAATGCAACAATTGCTCCCTGGGCAAATTCGTTGTTTTGGAGAAGCCTGCAAGGTATGCAATAACTCGTTTGTGCTTCTTCTTCAATGCTATATGTGCAAAGACTGTTGATGTTTCCAAGCTAGATAAGTTGGAAGAAGATGTAGTAGTACTTTGTGTTTGCGTGAGAAGTACTTTCCCCCTTATTTTTTGAATCATGGTTCATCTAGTAGTACTTGTCAGAGAAGTTCGGTCTATGTGGGCAGTATATTGAGGATGTATCCGTTTGAAAGATATATGAAAAGGCTAAAGGGGTTATGTTCAGAATGTACTCGTCGAAGGTTGCATTGCTGAGCGGTATATAGTGAAAAGCTGTAGAGTTTTGTACCAAGATTTATTGATGTTAGTACAGTTGGAGGCCTTTCAAGCCAAAAGAGGGGTTTCAAAGATTATCAGGTTGCACAGTGAAGCGTAGTTGATCGGGACCTATTGAACAAGCACATCTATATGTCTTGGAGAATACGGAGAAGTCCTACCTTATATCGAGTACGTAGAGTTTTATTCTTTAAGTTTCCATTTTAAAATATTTCTTATGTTTATCTTATATGTTTGGGACCGTAATACTTGAATTTTTGTGTCATGTAGGCAACATATGATCCACATCCAGACCGCTTTATCCAAAATTTAGAAAGAGAACAAAGTGGCTGCAGGATAAGCACAATAGCACTTTCATTCAATGGCTACGCCAAGGTATATGTTATTGAATAACATATTGGACTTTTAATTTTCTTCTCTTCTATGTTAGATTGAATTAAGTTATGATTAATTTGCAGGTTCAAAGTGAACTTAATGAGGACAATCATGGCGTATCAGAAAATTTAAGGTGGCTAGCAGCTGGTCCAAACATGGCAGTGCCATTATATAGGAGCTATCTCATTAAAGGTATTAAATTCAACATCAAGGCACAAGATGATGTGCGGACAACTCAAAATAGTGGAGTTTATTTACTTGCACATACTATGCAAGTTGCTAGTGCCAAGGATAAAAACCCAATTCTCTCAAATATGGGTTTCTATGGTGTCATTCAAGAAATTTGGGACCTTGACTACCAAAAGTTTACAATCCCAGTCTTTAGGTGTGATTGGATTGATAATACTTCTGGTCTTGTAGTGGACGAACTTGGATTTACCCTTGTAGATTTGAGTAAAATTGGACATAGGAATGACCAATTTGTTTTGGCTTCTCAAGTCAAACAAGTATTTTTTGTTGACGACCCGATGCATCGTGGTTGGTCGGTAGTGTTATCAATGCCTAATAGAGAATATAATGATGTTATTGGTGATGATGTCTTAGGTGATGTGAGAATTGAGTGTGAGCCATTTACTAGGGGATGCCAAATGTTGACACATTTGATGAAGTGGTGGTTGAGTTAGGGAGTCAAAATATTCGAGATGGGTGTGAAGATATATGGGTTGAATGATGCTTTATGTAATTGGCAGTGTATGACATTAATTTTGTAATATATTGTAATGTGATTTCTTCACTTTCATTATACAGGTTTTGGCCACAAAACAATCAGTACAAAAATTACTGGTTCCAGATTACAAACACGACGGTTTTGATAAAAATGTGAAAAACAAACGTCTGTTCTAATAAATAACGACGTTTTGGAGCATTCAACGACCGCAATATATTTACCGACGTCTTAAAGCAAAGTAACAATGAAGAACCACGACGCTATTGTGAAACAGTTATCCAGGATAACACGTCGGACAAGCATAAAGAACCGCCATGTAATTCAAAATAACACGACTCCAATCCCATAATACCGACGTCTAAAAGACGAGAACTTTAACCTGAACGTTACAAAAGACGACGTCGTCATGAATTTACCACGTCGCATGTTCTTTCATAAACGAAGTGGAAAAGGATGAATTCACGACGGTATTTGAAGTCCATTAAATTTGTCGACGTTAAGATTTATGAATTAGACGACGTTAATTTTTTAATGAAGACGTATAAATTATTAAACACGACGGTCTTTTTCATGGTAACGACGTTGTATATAGACGACAACGTCGTCCTTATAAATTACTGTGTCGTAATTAATGACCCCATCATTTTTTCCACGTCGTTTATTTTCAAAATATGACGTATAAATTCTGTAATACGGCTCTCATTTATTTGGAACCGACGTTGTTTATTCATTTCAACGTCGTCTCTGTAAATACATACGTCGTAAGTAATGAACCTGACATCTATTTCCACGTCATAATTCATAGAAAAATCGAAGTGGAAAATTTATTTTACGACGGTATTTGAAGTCCATTAAACTTGTCGACGTTAAGATATATGAATTAGACGACGTCAATTTTTTAAATGAAGACGTATAAATTATTAAAGACGACGGTCTTTTTAATGGTAACGACGTTGTATATAGACTACAACGTCGTCATTATAAATTACTGTGTCGTAATTAATGACCCCATCTTTTTTTCCACGTCGTTTATTTTCAAAATATGACGTATAAATTCTGTAATACGGCTCTCATTTATTTGGAACCGACGTTATTTATCATTCAACGTCGTCTCTGTAAATACATGCGTCGTAAGTAATGACCCTGACATCTATTTCCACGTCATAATTCATAGAAAAATCGAAGTGGAAAATTTATTTTACGACGGTTGTGGGAAATGTTGTGACGTAGTAGGTGTCAATAACGTCGTCTATTATATTGTAAAGACGTCGTATTTATTTGTCGTTAAATATTTATTTAACGGCGTTAAGTTTTAGTTCTCGTCGTTGTATGTTTATCTTGCGGCCATGTTCTGTTAATATGTCATCTGTTTCCTTTTAACGACGTTTTTTTGTTGGAGTTGGTCGTCTATTCTCATCCTCGACTGTTTTTTTATGTCTTTTTGCAGCACAAAGACGTCGGTTTTTATTTTTTGATGACGTTTTTTGTTTTAACAACGACGGTTATTCACCGTCGTGGTTTGGTTATGGAAAAGATGTCGGTGGATTCCACGACCATTTGAAAACAGAATACACGACGGTGAATTCCCGTCGTGTTTTTCCTTTTTTGTAGTAGTGGGGTTTGTGATAACATAATTAAAGAACAATTATAAGGACTGAGACATCAAGGCAGGAATTATAATATGGATTCAATATTGGCTATTTCAAGGAACATAAGTTAATGCTTCCGGATAATTACCTGACATTAAAAATTACTTTTTCACAGATTAGTTTGCTGGCATAAAATTCCACCTAGTTCATCTCTGTTAAACCAAAGCAAATTATAGTCATTTGATAGGCCCTGCTTGGATTCACAGCCAGATTGTGGCTATTCTATTGTACACTTCGCTGTCATGCATGCTGGATGATGTAGAGAAACGAGAGATATACAAAGTCAATTGTTGTCATCTTCAACTTCTCAATTTCATACATCTTAAGAAATCAGTCGAGCTGATATTCTAGTTAATTAACTTATGTGTGCACAGCTCATACCGGCTTGTGTCTTTTCAATCAGGCCAAGAAGAAGATAACATAGAAACAACATAGTAAATTTCAACAGAAAACTGGCAATTGCAAACTTATCAGCTCCTGGAAAAGTATACAATACCATGTTAGCAAGACAGTGAAATACCAACAGCACTAGAACAAGTTAGTTTCAGGCCTAACCACTTATCTAGCTACCATGGCCTTGAGATTTGTTCAATTGCTGATCATATTTGTACTAGCCCTGGCCACCTACAAAAGGGTCCTTGCAAGTGATCCTGACATCCTTTCCTACTACGTAGTCCCAGAAAATAACAAAGTTGATGCTAATTTCTCTATTTACACTGGATTCCAGGACATATTCGATGATGTTCCTGGAACCTTAAACATAACGAAAGCTGCCTTGGCTGAGTTCCCTGCTCTTAATGGACAGAATGTGTCGTACGCCATGCTTAAATATCCTGCGAACGAGGACTCCCCTGATTGGAAAGAATTCGTCCTTGATCTCAACTCTTTGATTGGGCAAAATCCGAATAGAATCTTCAATTGCTTCATATTAATTCTGGATATTTTAGCACTCAATTGAAAATTTACTTCCCGAATAAAAAGATATTTAGAATATTTCATTATTCTTGGCTTCTTCTTCTTACTCCCTCTAACAATATAAATGTTTCTCTCTAGAAACTTCAACCGATTGACAAAATCAACCAGATTCTTGGCAACCTTCCAAGTGAAAACATTAATGTCCATAAAATCAGTCTTGAGACAAATTTTCTCAATTTGGATTTCTTCACTGTTCTGATCAGTGAATTTGTTATCAAAATTGCTTCGAACGCCCAACAATCTTCATCCTCACACCCACCCTCACGCGGCTGAACTTCTATTCCTTGTCTGTTCCTTGGAAGTAGGGTTCGTGCACACCAAAAACGTTCTATATACTCAGAAGCTTAAAGTTGAAGACCTATTTGTGTTTCCTAGGGATTAGGCCATTGCCAGTATAACTCATATGCTATTTACCAGCCTATGCTGATTCAGCATTCGGAAGTGCAAATGCTGGAACAGTTTCAGTGCTTATATATATGTTTGTGTTTGGCACTGGAATTGATAATGCCATCCTAGCGAAATCATTGAAGACAATGTTGGTACCAAAAGAAGCTCAAGGCTGGCCTCACCACTCATAAATGAGGGATTAATGCACACCAACACCGTAATCTTTGTCTTGGTTATGTTCACACGCCCTTCAGATTATTAGACAAAGACAATAAAGGGCCATATACTGCACTGCACCCCCCTTTTTTTTTCAGTGTTAGTGGATAAGCAAAATTTGATTAATTATATTTTTGTTGTTGATCTATGCAGTTCTGCACTTTAATTTTTTATGAAATTATATATTTCCATTCACTAGAGTTTCTCTGGATCGAAACCTACATTATAGAACAACTAAACAGGATTGTGCAGCAATTTCACCATGGAATCCGTCTACTTTCATTCTGTCATAAGTATCTTCGGAATGATTTTCTCCCTAATACGGTTGTAGACCAACTCAGTGTTCATAAATGGTTGACTTCGACCTCAAAAGAGTCTAAAGAGATTCCCAAGGATAGAAATGGCATGAAGTCCCATTCCAATAACACACTACATGGAGGAAAATTAGCAAGGAAAGGATTTCTTTCGCCTATGCAAAATGTTTCTTATCACAATGTTGCTAAAACTGAAGAGTGCTCAAAAGTAAAAGCACAAGACATTTAGACCTGTAGGGAAGACACTATTTCGTTTTAGGAATTTTTTACAACAAGATGTTCACTTCGTAACTTTTATTGTTGGTTTACTGTGATATACAGTGATTGAGATTTTAAACTTGCATCTTTGTTGTAACATAAGAAAGGAGATACAATCAATAAGCTATAATTTATGAACCAAAGTAGCAAATTTACTTTGTCCAAACGACAGTGGATGAAACAATGACGGCGACAAAATTAAATTGACGATGAAAAGGTTTGAAGAATTTATAAATAGATTTGAGACTAGCCGAAACAGTGCTTTTATCTGGTCAAGCTATGCAACACCTACAAGCCTGAGCCTTCAGCTCAAATTAGCACTTTCTCTTTATGTATACTGAGGAGGGGTTTGTGATAACATAAAGAACAATTAAAAGGACTGAGACATCAAAGCAGGAATTATAATATGAAGAAAGGTATATATGCCTAGGAATTCACATTTTTCCCCTCCTTGCAATAACAACCTCTTTCTATCTTTTAGTTGACTCCAAGCGGTAAGACGCTTTCCAATTCCAAAGTTATTCAACATTCACACTAAACACAGTACGAACTGAATGTCGACCATCAAACCATGTTATTGACCCAAAATTGTAGCCTCTAGGAGCCTTCTTGCCATAAAATGAGACTTGAAAAGACACCCTCCTCACACCCTCAGCAAAAACTAACTTCTCTGGAAGAACCTTCACTATTAAGCCTACCGGAGCATGCACTTTCGCAATGTACGTAGAATTCAGGGCAGCAACATTGGTCGCCGTTCTTTGAATTGTCTTTGCAGGTTGATGCCGGTGGAGTTTACTAATGGAGATTGATGGGTAGTTAACATTAGAGATGAGTTCATCAATGGAGATTTTGGGGCAGACGAACTTTGTGTTTGACATAGATCTTATATTTTTCTCTGGGTAGCCATAATAGCAAAGGAACTCGAGATAGTTTTCTGTTGTGGTTTCAAAGACTAGTCCGGGACTAAGAGCTTTCAGTGGGTTTATTTCTCCGACCCCCACCTCATGTGGATTCGCAAAGGTGTTAGAACTGTTTGTCAGAGGTTTTTTCATGTTGTTGAACACAGTTGCTGAAACAAGAAGAGATATCGACTCAGAGAAATATAATCTGGGAGAACAGTTGATTTTAATTGAAGTACTTAAACTGCTTTAAAACATGCATGGGGAATCATGTATTGTATGATTTCTTCCTCTATCATGCACAAAAATATCTCCCTCTATTTAAGATTTTATAACGAAATCACATGAAAGGAGTGAAGCACAAAATGCCATCAAAGTATATCAATTGCATACAAGACATGTAACTTTCAAACTCTTAAAAAGTATACCTGTTGTCATAAGGGCTGATTTGATCATGGAAGAAGTCCATCGACGATGCACTGACTTGATGAATGCAGCAGCCCCCGTTACGTGTGGACAAGCCATTGAAGTACCTGATTTTATGGAAATGTGGATGGCTTCTTCCCATTTGGGACTGTTCCTGTTTCATTCTTGGGAGCTACGGCAGCCAAAATGGCCACTCCCGGAGCCATTATATCAGGCTGAACAGTATATAAAAAAATTAACTCCGGTTAATGTTGCAGACAAATATTGGTCCTAGTATGCATGACTGCATACTTCAATTCATGACAGGAACATTACATTAATTAAGACCTGGTTAGATGCATGTGCAAGTCCATTTTTGTGGCTGCTAAATCCCACATGAAATGAGTAGAAAAACCAAGAGAAACTAGAGAGAGGAGAACAAGATGAATCCTACAATGGAAAGACACAACAACCAAGACAGAGACATCCATGGTGTCCTGTTCAGTCTATGTATGTAGTTATATTGCAGACACATGGCTGCTCCTCAGTATACAATATAATTATCATGGTGCTTGGGTGACAATGGTGGCTAAATGACCCCCTAAGCAGAGATATAGATACAGGTGAGACAAAATACAGTAGCTCCTTAGTTGGATTTAGAATGAATTAAGCCATTATTATCGGATTTAATGTGGTCTCTGTCGGTCCCATGCTTCAGAGTTAGAAGCTTTAGCACCAACCCGGTTTAATCATGATTTCCAACTTCATAAATGGTTGCAAAAATTTTAAAATGTGAAAACACATCAAACTAAATACGTTTCGAAGCAAATTTCAACCCAAAAACATAGCTGCAAGTGAAAGAAAAATAACCTTGAGAATGTTTTCTGTAAGCTCTGCAGGACCCCTTGATGAAAAATATGCAACAGCTGGTGCAGGTCTATACCTTGGAACATCAACTGTTGGGAGAATTGTTGCTGTTGGGTTTCTGTTGTCAAGGCATAGCTAAGTTATCATACCCAACATAGTTGTAATTTATGACTGATACATACTAATGAGGTCATATAGTCAACATCTGCAGCTGAAAGAGTGACCTTGAAATTGCACTAAAGTTCAAACTCACACATACTACACAATCATCATTTGAATATTCAGATGAAAGGGACCTTAGGTTTTATTGATCCCTTTGAAAACTACTTCAACTGAGGCAAAAGCTAAATTCAATTACCATATACTTTAGCATGATACTATCACATAGGCCTAACCAGAGATTTGGCAATGCTAATAATTTATTTTCCATCCAAACACAAAGCATTATAGCCAAAGAAAGAGAAATTTAATTTGACAATTGATGTCCATATGCAGGATAGAAATCATGCACATTATATAGGACAATGCGGCACAAGACTGAAACTTGTAATGATCCAGATAAAGAGAGTTGGTAGACATGATCCCTCAATGGGCAACAATACAAGGAATCAGAATATAAATTATCGATGAATGACAGTAAAGTAAACACACAACATAGATGGTAAATGGACTGAATTGTACATTTGAAACACTTACTTGGTAGAATTTATGTACTGGAGAATCTGAAAGCCTGCAATATTGCCAACCTCTGTATATGGGAAAATGCCCGAATCGAAAGGCACGCTTTTCTCAGCTTCATCAATCAGAATCAACCCTTTGGCTTTAGCATCTTCTACAACTAATTTCTTGATTTTCCTTGAAACAGCCGGGTCATCATCAACACAAACAACAATTTTTCCAACTACTTTCTTTGGATCCAATGATCCTGGATAACAATTTCTGCAGTTCAGTGTAAACAGCATTTACATTTACTGAATGTAGAGCAAAGTGATTAATTTTTCGGACTTTGGAATTGTTTTAAAACCAAAGCTTTTATCAAAATGTGAAAAAGCAATGACATGAATATGAATTTCCAAAAAGAAAAAGAGGCTAGAGGATGATGAATTATGGTCACCTTGCTTCTGATACAGGCGTATAATAACCAGCAACATCTTTTCCAAATACAAGAGGATATGTCCTTGAACGAGTGAGATTGGAGAAATTGATGGCTGAACCCTATTAGAACCTAGATGTGAGAAACTTCTGCATAAACAAGATTATGAACTTTTTTAACAATAGAACTTCGTTAAATATCTTACTGTGAAATTTTTCCCATTTCCAAGAACTATATTAGATTGGAAATCCCTATCAATGTTAGAAGCTGCAACGGTGAAGATCCACGGTGCTGTGTTAACAATAGTGTACGGATCAGGACCATCATTTCCTCCAGAGCAAATTACCATGACCCCCATTTGTTCAGCATGAAATGCTCCAATGGCTATGGGGTCGTTTAAGTAATCGGATTGAAAGAGTGAGCTAATCCCAATGGAAATAGATATTATATCTACTCCATCTCTAATTGCATCATCAATAGCCTTCAATATGGTGGCACCAGAGCAACCAACATCTGAGCAAGCCTTGTAGCAAGCAATCCTAGCTGAAGGCAAGCCGCCCTTTGCTGTGCCTAGTGCTAAGCCATAGTAACTAGCATTCAAGACTTGCACACCAGCCGCTATGGATGCGGTGTGAGTTCCGTGGCCGACAGAATCCCTTGGTGAGCCTTTTGTTCTGGCTAAACTGCTCTGGTTGCCATCTCTTGTCCATGGAACATTGTAGTATCTTGCACCTATCAACTTTCTGTGACAAATAATGTAACGAATCAAGATATAGTTGTATACTAACTCTTCTAATCCCTCTCTCTCTCTTTAATTTTATATTTAAAAGCCTTGTGAAATAGTTCTGCAATTAACACCATGGAGGGTGAAACAACATAATCACCTATTACAATTCGATTTCCGGAAGTCTGAGCCCTCCATACAGACTCCTTTCCATCTTGAAGGGACTGCACCAATTCCCTCATCATTGAAACTTGAAGACTCAGGCCATATCCCTTAATCAACACATTTAAATGAAGAGTTATTCTGCACAAGCTGCTAAATATATATAGCCAAAAAAGAAGGCTGCTAAACTTTTAAATTTTTTAATGAAACAATGTACTAAAATTTTATCCTTCAACTATTTTGTTTTAGAGAGCTAAACGAAATTAGAATTTTCTTAACAGTTTATTGTTGTTAATGTGAAGTCAAATAAAAGATTATTAAGCTATGGCAGAACTCTTCCCTTCGTCTTCTTTGAAATGGTACAACTGATTTTTTTTTCTTGTCAGCAACTGTTGTCCATGTGATTTGAACACAGGACTTCTTCCAACAAGACAAAGTGGAGACTGAGTGCCGCTAGACCAAATGATTGCGGCTGCTCTAAATTCCACCTGAATTCTGGATTTAACCTTACCTTTCCTATCTCATTCACCTGTTTGGTGGCTTAATGAAACATACGAATTTTACAGTAAGCTTTTATTTTTAAACAAGCACTTTATATATCATCAAACTATTACTCCCAACCGCACTCCCTTAACAACAAAATAAATAAATAAAGTTAGCTGCAAAGTAGAAGAGGGATGAGGATTGTTACCTGTATCTATCATCCCAATTATAACATCACTTGATAGGCCCCGTTGATATTTATTGCTTGGTAGCCTGCCAGATTCCGCCTCTAAGAAATCCCAAGAACGTGTTGTGTGTAGCTCAAGAATTGAGTCGGGGAAGATGGAAACCACATCGTCATGGCCTGCATGTTGCAAATTGATTTACGATTTTCTTCGGATTTTGAAGTGCATAAATAAATCTTTGGTCATCAATGGGCTTCAAAACTTTTTAAACAAAATTACACTGTATAAGTGAATTTCATTGATAAAAACAAATAAAAATTAGTAGAGTAAAATGCATTTTCGATCATGGTTTGCCTCGATTTCAATATTGATTTATTTTCTTTTTTCTCAATTAATTGGGTTACTGAGTTTGGGTTTGGTTTTGATCATTATGGTATAGAATCCAATTTTTCAATTTGGGAAAAAACAGTTCACTTGTTTTTGAGAAATATTGTCCGGGATTAATAAACCGTCTTATGAGCTCTCTAAAACTAATTTCAGTTTTAAAATTCATGCTTATTTCAACTCTAGGATTTCTTTGAATTCTTGTTTTAAAATTCATGCTAATTTCAGTTTTAAAATCATGCTTTCTTTCTTCTAGGCCCTACGAGTGTGTGCCAATTAGTTTTTTTATTTTTATTTTTATTTTTATTATTTAAATTTTTTATTTTAGAATTTAAAAAGATAATGGATAGTTCTATTTCATAAAAATAAGACCTATTATCTGATTTTTTTTAATTTTTAATTTTTTAATATAAAAAATTGTGAATTTACCATAATATCCTCATTTAATTAATAATTTAAATTCTTAATATTTTACATTAATCAAGAGAATTTTTTGGTATTATGAAATTTTCAAATATTATTGCTTTATATTTTTTTTTTTTTTTTTTTTTTTTTTTTTTTTTTTATTTCTTTATTTCTTTTTTAATTATTTGCATGTGTGCTAGGCAAATTTTGAAAGAAGGAAAATTCAGCCAAGCTATAGCCCAACCAACCAGCCCACAACATTGTTCTGCCTAGGGATTGTCATTGAGCCAAACTGGCCCAAAATTTGTAGGTTTGGGCAAGGCCTAGGATGGCCCGCCCATTGAGCCAAGCCTAGGATGGCTTTTTGGGTCAGGCTGGGCCACCCACGATCCAAAACGGCCCACTCATTGCCTTATTTCCATTCCAAAGATTAAGTAAATGTCTTGTCCTTTTACTTTAATTTATTTTTTTATTACTCCATTTATTGTTTACAATATAAATAAGAAATTACCCCCTATTTGGATTCAATTAAAAACAATGGAAAATCAAATTCTCAACAAATCAAAATATGAAAATCCAATTTTAGTATAAGATATAGTTTATACCAATATTGATACCTCAATAAGTCAATGTATACTTTATACCATCTCATAAAATCATGTTTGATTATTTAATATGTAAGGAATATAAACCGCCCAAAATATCCTTGAAAACATTAGTATTTCGAAAGTCCATTTTTCATACTTAGTCAATAGTGTAAGGATACCACAAAACAATAGTCAATAATGGAGGCCCATGGGCGGGCCTACTCAGGCTAGGCCAAAGGTTTTAAATCCTAAGCCCAAGCCATACCCAACTTTAGAATGTGTCGGGCCGAACATGCCTAACCATCGAGTCAGATCATAATTTGGTCTATCAGGCCTTGAGCTACCCAATTCAGGCCGTGGGCCGAGGGCAAAATGATCATCCCTAATTCTGCTCTTGCATGCAGAGCCAATTTAGAATTTCCGAAACCCTAAGGCAAATCATGAAATTGGAGTGTCGACCCTCCATGCATTGTACATGAAGCACAATTTATTTTCCATACTCACACAAGTTAATACAAGGGTTCAAATTTGAAGTAAGTGATTTTCATAGAGTTGACAAATTCTTAAATAGTCACTAGTAAATTGGCAAGACTTTTACTATTAACAATTAGCCTTAAAAATATGCAAAAGTCATTCATTTATAAGCTTTTTAAAAGTCATTAAGTTTTTGGACATCACAAAACTTTTAAAAACTTTTTAAAAGTCACAACTGGATACCACCAAACTTTTAAATACATTTAACTACTTTTTAAAAGTCACAACTAAATACCACTAAACTTTTAAATACTACCTCCAGACTTTTTAACTCTATAAAAGTCTTTAAAGTTTAGAATTGAATACACAAGTTCAATAACAAAATTGAGATTTTAATAAGATAAAACTTAATCTTAATCACTTCATCAAAACATTAGTTGACACATTCAGATTACAAATAGGTTTACCACATTTGGGATTAACCCAATTGGTCATGGGTGATGGTGAAAAAAAAAAAAAAAAAAAAAAGACAGAGATAACCCAAGTGGAGAGGGAGAGGGTGGAGTAATTGGTTAAATTTGGGACAAGTAAGAATTCTATTTGCATGCAAAACCTGTGTCAAAACACCCCACAATGGTCCTTGTACTATTTAAACCTCATCATTTCAGTCTCTATTAATATGTCAACCTCATACTTTTATGCCGCATATCAATGTCATTTTCAAAGTCAATTTCATCTAATTTCCTGCCAAAACTAAGGGCAATATCGTCCAATCACTCATACCCATGAACAATGTCATCAAATCACTACCAGCCTAACACCAACCCTCCAAATCTTTTGGCAAATCCATGTCCCACCCAACCCAACTAGTATTCAAGTAAATATATTAAATTGATAAAATGAGGGGTATTTTTAGCATATTTTCAATTGTTTGGGGTTTCAGAGAAAACTTCAAACAAATTAGGATTTAGTAGGATTTCCAAAGAAATTAGTGTCCAGAGAATGAATACAGAGAGGGGCCAGAGAGGCCCAGAAAAAAAGATAAACTAATCCAGGATGTTCATGTGCCTAGCAAATTCTAAGAAATCATCAGCTACCAACAAGGTCATCTTCAACATAATTTTGCTCTCCAAATGCATGATACATGATATGCAAGCAAGTAAGATTGCAGGGAAGAAAATTATTTGTACAATTGTTTTCTAATTTGGTAAGTATGCATACTTTAATAACAGTATTTGTATGTCTCCCAGGAAAAAATAAACTAAGTCTTCCATATGCACACACTCACCCAGCATTGTATTCTAGATAGATCTTAGATCTATCTAATATATTTGTTCTATATAAAATAAACTAGCTGTATTTCTGCAAGATCTCCAACACTTTTTTTCTTCTAATATTTTTTCTTATTTAGCCATCCTCTCTTGTCTTTCCTTGTTAGATAATGAAAGAGAAAACTAGGCAAAAGATTAATCACCTGATAAAATAGAAGCTTCAGTCTCAGTAAGCATGGCAGAGAATCCTCTAAAAGCATGATTATACTTGTGAATTATAGATATTCTCTCAATCTCATGGCTTCCAGGAAAAAAAAATTATATATTAAAAGTAGGTAATAGAATTAGATTAAATGATGAGAGAGAGAGAGAGAGAGAGAGACAACAATATGGTGATGTTGGTGGTGATTATGATGATAACCTTGGAATAATGGATGACAGCATTTGCAAATAAGCTGATTCTGCTGCATCTTCAGCTCCAAGAACTCTTCCATTTCCATTTGATAATGAGCTTCCCATATAAATTACATGATGCTGCCAACCATATAAGAATTTTATTTAAAAACATTCAATATGACAAGATAGACATTTTGAAAATTTCATTTCCATATGTGGTTGAAATGCTTGTGGAAAAATTCAAATGTGATACAATATTTCATGCCTGATATTTTCTCAGCAACCAAACGAAGAGCAAACTAATTAGAAAACAGTGTGGAAATTAATCCATTTCAAAACTAATTACCTTGGGAATCTGGTTTGAAGTAGTGGCACCACAGAGGAGAAAGAAAGGTAGAGAGAGAAAAGGGAGCAGCAGTTGAAGGGGAGTCATGGAAGCTGAGTAGTAGTGAGGAGAGTGCTTCAGTGTGAATTGGTTAGCAATTAGACCAATTATTGTAGCCTTGTTTAATTGGAATGTTTTCTTATATATGAAGCCATACATTTTGTAGGCTCAGTGTGAAGTGGAAGCTTGTAAATGAACTCAAGAAGCTTGAACCATGAGCAAAGCATCTTTGAATACTTTTCTGGTTCTTAATTTTCATCATAAGCATTTATAATTTTCCGTAACAAACACACCTTCAGATTTTCCTTCTTCATTATTAGTTTATTATTCATAGAAAATCAGGATATGCCCCTTAACAACTATTCTCTCTACAGGGCGTCTCGTCCTTTAAAGTTAAAGGATAGGACGCATTGAGAAAACCTCATTTTCGCTCAATTTTCTTCAGTTTTGATCACATTTCTTGACATGGTTAATTGGTTTAGGATGTAAACTCATCATTTACATCTTAGATTTTAGATTTTTAGTCTCGGATTCTATACCCTAAAATATTAAACGTTGTCAAATAATGATCGAAGTTGAGTAGAAGTGATATTTTACCAATGTGTCATGTCTTTAAAAAAATGTGACGTCATGTATAGAGAATCGTTGCGACGCAATCATTTACGTAGTCAAGAGGATGATGGCTTTAGGAATTTTCAATTACTTCTTCAGATTCCAACCCCCTTTTGTCTTTCCATTTTTTGTTAGCATTTAATCGAAAGCAGATTATAAACTTGAAATGCAAGTAAACAATTGTCTCTTTACCTACAAAAAGAGTAGAGGGAGAAGAGTTGCATATATATAAAATGGCCATGTGCAATTTTCTGCTCTGTTTCCTTTATTCTCCTCCCTTTCCAGTATTCTCTCCTTTACGCGTTTCTCAGTATAATTTATACATACCCTCTTTATTCTTCAATTTATTATTGTTATTATTTTCATGTCTTTGCTTATTTGATGAATTATTTTAGCCAGAAAAAAAAATAAATAAATAAATAAGTCCAGTACAGGCTTGCAAGTCCAAGCACTTGAGCACCATACAATTGCAAGTGAAACGAGTTCATTAAAGGGATTGCAATAAGAAATGGAAATGTAAAATAAAAGCGAATTGGTAGGGACTGCACACTACACTATCACTATCACCATAATAATGTTTGCGTGCATAAACTACAATTATTGGTTAGATCTGTACCCTGGAATTTAATTTTCTATTTATTAATAAGCATGTTTATTTAAATACGGGATGTAAAAAAAATGAATAAAATACATACGTGTATTATTTCACAATAAATAGATACGGTAAAATACACGAATTTACATGAGTAATCACTAAGCTAATATTTGGTGATCTTGTTTCAATTTCTCCCCGCTTTAGTTTGCCTTTGGACCATTATTCTCTACACAATTGTTAGAAGTAAGACTACTCCAATATAGTAATATGCATCTGATTAAACAAAGCACAAGGCATCCCCCTCACATGTAAGTTGAGCTTCACAGTTCCAGGTGCAGGAAATGAAAAAACAAAATACTCAACATATGGGGATTCTCATAATAGTTGAATACATTGAATTTATACAACTTTACAACAATATAGTATTGAAGATGCCGGTAAATAGTTCTTATCGTGCGGAGAAAAGTGGGGATGAAATTTATAACAAGGGTAGAGAAAGTGAACAGGGGATGAGAAAAGATATCAAAAAAAGTACTCGTGTGCATTATATAGTGGATGACACTTTTATATACAACTGAGTGGTTATGTCTATGAAGGCATCAATTGCAGAAGAAATACAGAGCAATAGCGCCCGGCACTTCGTTCTCCATGAATGCCACAGCACCAATCAATCTCCCTCAGACTGACTTGCTAACATGACTTATTACTTGCCTAGCAGAAGCTCATTTGGATATTGGAAGCAAAACTAGTTTATTTAACTAGATCACTCTTTTCGGGGAAGAGCTGATTCCAGATGTTGAATTAGGTTTGCTTCTCCGCAATTTGACTCTTAAGGAACTCCAGCACTGAAAGCCGCTGCATTTAAAACAAAATGTTAAGTCAAACTGATGAGAATCCAAATCACTTATTGAATGAAGTCAAGCAAGGAAAATCTTACCCGTTGCTCAAGACCAGTGTCTTCAGATTTTAACGTCAAAGATTCCAACAATTTTATGCCTTCTTGAAATTCATCAATTGCAACATCCTCGTCTCCTAGATTCCTGTCAACATCTGCAACTTTTGCAAACGAAACAGCTAGATCCAGAATCTGTAATTTCAAGGAAATGCACGAAGCCAAAGTAAGGAAAAATGGTTTGCTAGGTATAAAGATATGCCTTTAAACTAGAACATTAAATGACTCTAATAGTAATAGTAAATGCATTTCAGTAATTCATCTGGGATATAATTCATAATTACAAAAAGTTCCACGGTCTGCAGCAACCGAAGAAACATGCTATAATCTGGAAAATTTTCTTAAAAGAAAGGAGCTAGGTGTTGACATTTGAAAAGCTCTAACAAACACATTTGAAATGAAAGAGCTTCTTGAAGTTCTTCAATTGCCAAATCGGTAATGGGTAGAAAGGCTCATAAAGAATGTCAAGTGTGAGACTAATATGTGGAGATGCAAAGCTTAAGAATGTCTGATGTGGGATTATATTCTCAACACCTTTCTCCTTCCATAAAATTCAATAAATAATGGTATATCTCTCTTATCCCTGCTCTTCCTTAGACTTGACAAATTGTTAATTCCAATAATAATGCCAAAACACAATTTTTCTACTATTAAACTGTTCACCCAAGTACTACACATTATATGTATAACTCTCGACCAAAAGAAAAAAAACACATATAACATCGAGGTTAGTCTCATTTCTTACTCTCCCAGTTCACATAAAATACAATGTAGGAACGAACAGTGTACAGCATAGGAATATCTACATCCTGTGTGTATCGGTCCTATTTCGAGTCTCAACCCAACTTATTTATATACATGCAAAAGATTTTTCATAAACAGTGTTCATAATGACAAAAATGGTTTTTTTTCAGGTTCAGGCTCGTTTACAGTTAGATTCTACAAGCAACGATATTTGGTAAAACAAATTCCTAATTCAACACAATGCACCATTCACACAAGCTATATGCAGAAGTCTTAAAAATATTATTGTGCTTAAATATGAATACACAACTAACTGAATGGACCGGTTGCAGCTGAGTCAGTCCACTATGGTGATCAAGTAACATATACTAAATCAAGTATTTCAGATCAAATTAACCAAACATATCAAACGCATCTGACAACTCATAAGTCATAGCTAATGAGATAAACTAGTATCAATATATTCCCAAATGTATTAAAATGACTATTTATGGAAAAAAAATTGTTAGCAGTATTATTACTACTGTGAGTCAAATAAAAGAAACCTAAATCACAAGGGGGCTGAGAAGCTAAAAATAGTTGCTGACCTGGGATGGAACATTTGGATCATCCTTGACAACATCACGTCGAACATTCAATGACTGGAAGTAGTAAGACCGCGCAGCTTTCAGGTCTCCATCATAGTATTTAAGATCTCCAATTTTATTAAGTGAAATAGTAAGTGTATGTGTTATCTGTAAAATGATTTAAGGAAGAACAACTATATCAGGTCAAGAACGGCTAGGACAAACTGCTGATATTACAGTAAAGTTGGATGTAATAACCTCCTGATCATTTCTGGGCAGTTTTGAAAGAAACTCAACACTCTCTTCAAAGTAACTGACTGCTGAACCAGCATCTCCTGTTGCCCGACTGAAAAACAAAGAACAATTAAAATCCACTCAAGTAAACAAATCAGGGATCATTGTCGAATTCATCATGAAGTTAGTATCAGTCTAAGATATACATATGCAGAAATCCACTAAGCAGTTATTTCTACATTGAAGACATCCTTAAAAATCAGATCTAGTAAATAAAAATTCATCTCAAAAGTTTTATTAACAATCTAGTGATGCTCAAATAGATAATCTCCAAATTTAATCAACTGTGTGATGATTTCTAAACCTGAATGCAGACTTGATAATCCACTATGTCCTCAGTCCAGAGCTTCGCAGCAGTGACAACCACAGGCTATATTATATTCCAACCATAATTTTCTTTGTTGGCGACTTAGTGATTAGATTTAATCCATATAAGAAGTACAATTCAAAGATTAATTATTCTCTAGATATTCTTATAATAACTCACGGATTTAACTATTTGGGTTGATTTATCTCATATATCTTACAAGGGTATAATTTTATTATATTATGGGATGGCCTATGTAAATAGCTCACTGTAATTCAGTTGAGATTTGGCATACTCATTAAGAATTTAAATATTGACGTTAACCCTAATTCATTATTTCCTCTTCTCTAACATTTTTCTATATCTCCTATCATCTTATTCTTTCTCTCCTCTTCATCTCTTTCTCTGTCCTAACGCAAAGAGTATTAAAATCCTAAACCAATTTTAGTGCCATCACCAAAATTATTAAATCATCACCCATTTCTTAGAACTCAACCACCAACAACCTTGAATCAATTGCACACGTTGCCCCCACAACCATGTCAGTTGTCGTGTGACAAATTCCAGATGCTAACCTTGCTTTTGAGAACCTAACACAAACCATCACCAACCACCATCGGTATTCCGCGCACCAACACTAGAATAAGATGATCTACAAGTTCATGCAAAAATAGTTGGAAACCACATATACATTTTGGAAACCACCAGTGACTCAACCTCACCGTTGCTGCCAATTGCCATACTGCTCCTCTTAGTAACCAAAACCTTTGTAGAGGTCAGAAGTCGCCTATCTTCCCTGTGGTCCAGTCATTGTCAACAACTGTTATCCCATTGACTACCTAAGACCCAGTTATTGCTGGTCTCACATACCTGGTCCAAGTCTAAACAGACTAGTTCTCACTGATATTGCACTGTTTCGTTTTGAGTTTTTAACACATTAATCCCAATACTGTTTGATTTTGACAGATCTTTGATATACCAGTCCAGTTCAGCTCAATTCTATCAGAAATTGACCAAAAGAAAACAAGTGTAGTCTGATATAATGGATAAATTTTTAAGAGAAAATGAGCTAACAGTCTCAATTAAAGATATTCTTCCTGTTCTACCCATCCAAACAAGAATGTAAAAAGAAAATATTGAATTTCGCCTCATCATTATGGAATGAAAGAGTGCTGTTTAGGACTGAGTTTTTTCCCTGATGTATTGATAGCATAGGATGTACCACTTCTCCACCTTTAACTACTTTGTACTCCCTTTTCCAATAAACTTTATGTTTCCTATAAAAAGTAATTAATCTACGCTATATTTATTAAAGCAAGAACTAGACTGGAGGAAAAAGGGTTCAAAGGTCTTTCACTATGTATCATCTAAGGCTCAAGTCTTTTCACTATGTATCATCTAAGGATCAAGTTAAAAAAATATCCATGTCACTCATGTGCTCTACTTGATATCAAATCTAACAATTTTGTGTGACAGATGAAACCACAGAGGTATAACTGTCACAAATAAAGCGCTGGTGACTTCAGTATTATTGGGCCTTATCTTGGGAGATGTATATGCAATTAGTCCATTCTTTAACTTGTAGGGATAGAAAAAGAGAGTAAAGGGGGGGGGGGGGGGGGGGGGGGGGGGGGGGGGGGGGGGGGAGAGAGAAGAAGAAGACAACAAAAATGAAGAGATGAAGAAAAAATCAAGAGGGAAGGGAAGGAAAAATTTGTTGCAAGATTATTTCTCAGATAATCTATAAATTTATCTTGCACTCTTCACCAACATAACGTGAATTTTCTGAAGTCCTATATGAGAAGGAATCTCATTGTATCTCCATCATTATGTGACATATCCAATGTTACCTGGTACAGGGAGCGATACGGTACGTGGAATGGGAACAGGTATGGGATTCGCTAGTTCTATGGTACAGATTCGTTAGGGGGTAGGCATAGTCGGTGCAGTGTTTGAAGTTGTAATTCGTTCGAGAGTTTAATTCTGGTCATTGTTAATTTTTCAACTTGTTGAAAATCAAATTGTTTCCTGCAGCATAATAAATTTCATAATTTTCAACTTTAATTTTTTTTTAAACTTAATTTGGTCTATTTATTTTGCAGCTCCCAATTACTTGTATTAAATGGAGACCTCTCCATAGATACATCTTCCCCTTGGAAATTAAAGCTGACGCAACATCCCAAGCACCTCCCTCTTTCACACTCTCTATGTTTTTTTTCTTCTAATTGAGTACTGTAAAACACAAATCAAGTTATACATAATTTAGACATATAAATTTCAATCCCATCCAGTATTGGTGATACTATATGAGGTAGTTAGTATCCCATCCAGTGTTGGGTGGCAAACTTTGATGAAATCAATATTTAGGGTGTCTCTCTATACAAACCACAGTTTTTGTTTTATTACAACCTATGCAGATGTAATAATGAGGAAAACCTACGTTTAGTGGTGATGAGAAGAGAGAGACCAGAAATTTTGTTCACTCATAGAGAAACAGTTTGAAAAGAAAACCAACGAAGAAATTAAATTCCCATGCATTCTAGAATGCAATTCCAAATTCTAATCCTGTAAGGCTTTCTCCACCAGTTTGGTATACTTCAGAACCAATAGATTGAATGAAACATGCTTAGCTAGTGCTAGTAGCCGTTGGACATATCTGTCATTCATTCTTTATTCATGTGCAATCATTGCAGGTAAACTTTTCAGATAAAAGCTAAGATACACTCTCTATCACTAACATTATTAACAATCTAAATGCATACCATGATATATTAAAAATTCTAATTCACAAAAATACCTATCTACACAAAATATTCTCTTGCCATACTGTCATTCAGCAACATGTAACATGTCAAATTCTCTGCCTCTGAAACGTTATTGTTACATAATACATGCATACATACATTCATCACACATATATATAAAGATTGGGAAGACAAAGGACAAACCAGCAGTCGCCAAGCATTCCGAGAACCGCTCCAAGCTGAGAACACAACTCTGACGTGTTACCCATAGTTTCTAACTGACCTCTGATGTCTTCTGCACAAAGACTAAGTCTTGATTTGGCACTTTCTATATTCTGGGCTCGGAATGCCTACACAGTAGACAATAAATAACAACACCAAAAGTTAACACAGCAAACCAAGAAAAGAAATGCAAAATCATGAATTCAAATCAAAGGCAAAACCACACTGACCCTCATGGCTTGCTGCACCAAGAAAGCCCCTCTCTCCAAAGACACGTCTTCATATATAACTCTCTTGCTATTATTATTATCATCATTGCTGTTGCTTTCTGGGGTTGAATCTTGTTTATCCTCTGCATTATGAGACCTCTTGATTCTTGCATGACCTTCGATAAAGCGATCCACCAAATTCTGAAGATTGGTGTCGGCTTCGATCTTCTCAATGTCAGCTCCACACAAAGGACAGTCCTTGAATCTTGAAATACAAGCTCTAAAACAACAATTAACTAAATTACAAATAAAATTAAGAAACCCAATACAAAAGATTAATGAAAAATTCAATACAATCAAGTAATTGAAAAAAAAGAAAAAAAGAAACCCAATACAAAAAAATAACGAAAAATTCAAAGGGAAGCATGGTTTACTTGCAGAACGAGTGAGAACAAGGGGCGCATTTGGCAGAGTCGAACAGAAGGGCGTGGCATATCATACAGCTGAGAGGGCCAAGCTTGAATGTCTGAGAATCGTAACCCAAGGGGCATTTAGGGGAAATTGTAGCTGTGTCAGCTGAGGACTCTTTCTTGGTTGGCTCTGATGGCCGAGCGGCTTTCACAAATGGGCAAACTGGCCTCATCTTCTTCTTCCTCCTCCTCCTCCTATCAATTATTCAATTCTGGTGCTTCAATTTTGATTTTGATGAGCCTTGCAAGTTTTCTTTAGCTCAAGATACGACGACGTTTCAGTTCCTGTTGCAGCCTTGCTCGACCTGATCGTCTTGGAATTAAGAATGCTGACTGGTGGTGAGGTGATTATCCTCTCTGTCCTCTGCCTAGTTTATCCTAAGATTTCTGTGCAACCCCTTTACCACATTTTTATTTCTACAAAAACCCCCTAAAGTTTTCTGTTTCTCCAACTACAGATAGGGGTGTACAAGATCCAACCCAATTCGTCCAAACCGACTAATCCAATTTTAACCAACATGATTAGATCGTATGAAGGAATTGCTTATGAGAATCCAATCAAATTAATCCAATCTAGTTAGTTTTATGCTTATTTTACTCTTGTAGGTATTTGTCGTTAAAAAAATTATGAATATTTTAAGTCATTTAATGGAGTTATGTTTAATATATTATATAATCAAAGCAATTTTCTCTAATATTTCATTTTACATTTATGTCTATTAATATGTTTGATTATATTAAACATAAGGATAAATGTTGAATATTTCATTATTGTCTTTTTCTATTATCAAAACCAATCATCTAATCCAATCCAATCCAATATCAATTGGATCAGATCAGAATGGATTTAAACATCTAATATGATTGAATCGAATTGAAAAAATCACAATCCAATTTATGTTAACTCGAATGCGGATTGACTAAATTGTATTGGTTTCAAATCAACGTACACCCCTAACTACAATCATCCCAAAGTATTGCCAATTTCAAATTAATATCCAATTATTGGTGATTTACAAAAGCATACGCTAACTCAAATAAATTCTACAAGCACCCCTTCATTAACCAAATTGCTAAAAAATGCGCTTACCACCACCTATCAATTCTTAGACCCAATTTTTATGCTCACTCTCTACTCTACATGAGCAAAAAATATAATGAAAAGCTTATCATGCAATGCAAAGCGAGAAGGGCAACGTCTGTGAGCAATCCCTTATCCCTTATCAACTAAATCCCTTGTCGTTCGAGCTCACATTTAGGGCCCGTTTTGATGAGTTTTAGTTGGCTTAATTAAATTGGTTATTTGGCTTCTGGTTTGATAATTGTTCCTTATCTTTTTAGTTATTTGCCTAGATAATGATCACAGAGCATAGCTTCTCCCACTTAATGTAAGAGTTTTATTTTGTTAGCATCCCAGTGACTTGTACAGTTAGTAATAACGTTTACGATGCTACTATGCTAAGCTGCATGACATGGTTGATGCAGTTACTGTTAACGAGTTAGAGGTAGGCTGTGAGACAGGTTGAGGATGCAAGGCTGCAAGTTTTGTTGTCATTTTGAATTTTTACAAGAAAGACATCATGAAAGATGGATATTCAGTTTACGAAGATGACAAAAACTGTGTTTTAATGCTCAAGTTCCTTACATTCAGTTTATGAATTTTTTACATTACCTCTTTAAACATAATAAAAATATGGATTAACTACATTTTAGTCATTGGAGGTTTAGGGTCAATATCGAAATGGGCCCCGAGGTTTCAATTTCATCAATTTTATAAACTGAATGTAAGGAGGTGGCCGGACAGCGACATTGTTTTGCCGGGAAGATGAACAGTGACTGTGTTGAAGGAGAAGAGAAATACGCCGAGAAGAGAGAGAAATAGGTTTTGTGGTGGGTCCCACAACAGCCACGTCAATATTTAACATCTGACATGGCGATCAATGTAACGGCCGATGTAAATTGGTCATATTTTGAAATGTCATGTATGAAATTGATGAAATTAAAACTTCGGGACCCATTTCAATACTGATCCTGAACTTCTAGGGACTAAAATGTAGTTAATCCTAAAAATATAGTATTTGAAGGACCCCCTTTCATGCCACCTTGTTCCCAAATTGAATCTGTGAATGCCATTACTGGGAATCTAGGGATTTTTCATGGTGACGGTGCCAAAATTCTTCCTAGCAAAAATTTTCAACAATAGGGATCAACAGATACCTAGAGAAATGGTCTGTCATAATTAGGTGTCTTCATGGACCAGGTATTCTTCACAACACAACAGTTTCTACTCACAAAATTAAAAATGGGATATCATTCTTCATATGGCGGTAAGACCTGTAAGCTATTCACTTGAGTAAAGACACCTGAGATGTATTCATGTTTCCAGGGAAGCTAGCTGATGATGATGTTATCTTCATAAGCGAGTGATAAAGCCCAAATGAATTTGAACCAATACAACAGGAATGTTCTAGTATGAAATAGCATTGGGTTGATCAAGTAAGACAATGCTCTCTACAAAATAATCCATGAAGCGGTAGGCGTTTGTGCTGGGGCAGTACCCATCCATTCGAAAATGATCACATTGTTTGGTGTTGGGTTCTACCAAGTCATAAAACTTGGTCCTCGATACATACGAAAGCACTACTTGACCATTCTTTCTAAACCCAAGTGGCCTGTCCACAAATTTTTGTGTAGATATAATGAATAATTTAGACCAGGATTCTGCAACACCATAGTCTTTCATCACCCACAAGTGAAAACGAACATCACCAGTTAACAGCATATTTTGACGCTTCACAAAAAGGCAAGGCAGTCCCCGTATCTTGAAACATAGCAAAACTCTTTTCCCACCGGAGCTTCGAGTGTCCACTTCTTACTTCTTTTCAAAGCTGATGTGGGCATCAGGATCTTGCCAAATAATTCAGTGGACAAGTCAAATGACACAATGAACTTGTCGTCCCTATGATTCCCCTGAATCCAATGCAGAGCACCATTAACAAAAGAGGCGGCATTATCATCACGAGTAAAGTTTCCAGGCGAGAACTTTGCAGGAACAACAGCATCACTAAGCCTATTCCAGGAGCCCCTGGCTAAGGACCAAATCTCAACTGCGCGCGACAAGCGGGGAGCCTTATAATGACAAACACTTCTCAAAACCTTATAGTCATTGGTACGCGAATCATAGCCAAATGCGTATCTTATAAACCCCGTTAGGGTAACACTAGGTGGAGGCAAAAACACACACTTTCTAATACAAGGGTTCCAAATTAATGCGGCATACTTACCATTCTGGAGGCATACCAGCCCGTTACAAGTTCCGATCACCTTGGCTGATCCTCCAATTTCATTGCAAGTTACCAACGGCGGATCTGTAAGTTTGTAGTACTCCCTGAATGAAGGGCCGCTATCCCAATGCAAGGAGTAAGATTTTTTTCTGTCTTCCTTGCTGGAAGAATGTAGCAGCAGGAGCTGAGCTTGAGCGTCGTCTTTATTTTGGCTGTTGATTTGGATGCTTGTGCGGCTGAGGTGGTAGCGGATGAAGGCAGAGCTTTGGATCAGAGACCTCCATGACTTGCACACTGCAGTGCATGTGAGTAGAGATTTGATGGGCAGCAACAACAGGATGTCGTAAATGATTTCTTCAGGAACCTTGTCTTCCGGCATTGCTTCCGTCCATCTAATTCTTTTTTTGGGTCTGGTTTCTATAGGAACCTTGTCCACTGAGATTGTTTCCATTGATCTGATTAACAGAAATCTGTTATATAAGTTTCTCTCTGCTCGAATTTAATATGTGGTTGGGGAGAACAACGAATATATATAGACGGTACTGCTCTAGAAATCCGATTCAATAAAGGAATAAATAAAGACTAACAAAAAATAAAATATAAAATATGTTGACGTAGAAAAATGGTTTGGCACTTTCCCGTGCAACCTAGTGATGTTGGGCCTTCGGTATGCTCTGGGCCTTGGTAGGGCGTGCAATCTACAAGATAGCAAACGCTAGGTAAGACCTAGGGCACCGGTGTGGTACCGGCCGAAGGCTCTCCGATGCTTATGTAAGTACGGATTTAGTAAGTTTGAACTACAGATCAATAGGCAGTATGCCGTAAGTTCTGATTACCTCAATTTTGGGGAATTGTGCTTCCTTTATAGACCTTGGGAGGTGTGCATGTTGTGTAGATTTTCGATGTGGGACTGTGAACATCAATTGTGAGCTTGCCACGTGTCCTAGAGAAGGAGGTTGCCCTAATTGTTGGATCGGTAAACTGGGTGCCAAAGGCTACCATGACCCATTTCGTCTACGTGTCAGCTTCTCATTGGCTGTTCATTTTGGTATAAACAGGAGTCACCCAAGTTCTCTTGCGAGAGTTCTCGAAAGGGGACTTGTAATTATCTTCGGCAGGCGAAATGTTATCCTACCGTTTGGTAGTGGAGCTAATGGAAGGGCTCAATCTTGGTGCTTCCGTGCTTTCCCATCCGGAAGCTGACGTCGGGGGAGTCAGAAGGTCGCGTCAAGTGACGTTTGATGGGACTAGAGGGCGCTTCGACTTCCGCGCCCCGCGTGCTGTCAGGTCATCCTTAAGATGGTCGACACGTGGCGGAAGCACTCATTTAGGTGCGGCGCATTAAGGCGCTGTTTGGTTTTTCGAGGTGTACCGTTGTGACCTTCGCCCTATAAATAGGGGTGGCTCCAGAGAAGGATTCACTTTGCATTTGTGAGAGAAGCGAGAGCTCTGTTGAGACGATTTTCGACGAGAGCGAACGACAATCAAGGCGATTTCCGGCGTAGCAAACGGTACTCGAAGGCGATTTTCGACGCGGCGATCGGTATCACAGTCCGTTGGCCTTCCTTCGCACCCGATCTTAAGGTACCGTTCGGTACTCTCATTCAACTCTCTATTTTAACTGTTTGTCGTACGTCCTCCCTTGGCCTGAACTAGACTGAAAGGTGTGTAGGGTACCGTTCGGTAGTCTAGTTGCCATAGGTAGTGATGTAGGAATTGGTAGGCTAGTCTTCCGCATGGCCCTTAGTTTCCTTTCCTTTGTTTTGTAGATGTCTGATAGCGAGTCTGGATTCGAGAGTGAGCCCAACGCTTACGAAGGGGAGTCATCAGATGGTTTGTTCGATTCAAATAGCGGGGCTGTAGGCCCCGATGCCGAGGGCGGAGAAGATTCTGACGTCGAGATAATCGGCGAAGCTCCGAGCTCCGTCCTTACCCACGGCATCGGGAAGGGATTCATGACTACTCAACCGGTGCCGTTGACTGTGGTGTATCATGACAGCAGCCATGTCTGGATGGGGGATACATGGGTGCCGGATGATCAATCGGGAGCCTCGATTTTCGGTAGGGGAGAAGGTACCTCCGACCCCCTTTTTCGTCCAAGGGTGACCATAGTCAACCGGGGAGGCTCCAGAGTGCCCATGGGGGTGCCGAAGGAACACTTGTTCGGAGTGGACTACCTGGAGCCAAATAAAATGATCGAACGGGAGCTGGCCAAGATTCGCGCTGAGTACCTAATTCCAGATTCGGTGAGGATGAGAATCCCGGGCCCTACTGAATCTCTCAACAAGCCCGATAATGGGGAAGTCGTCTTCTTCCCCCACGTTCTTCTGCAAGAGGTTCGGCTGCCGCTACAGCCTTTCGTGCAGAGGATACTCGCCCAGATCGGGTATGCCCTTAGCCAGTACAACCCCAACTTTTGGGTGGCCTTGATGGGAGTAGTCATGGCCTTCGGCATGGCTAGTGAGGGAGTTCCTTCGTATGAGCAGTTCTCCTACATCTACAGTATTACGAAGTCTAAGACCAACGACCATGGCGGTTGGGTTCAGGCCAACTGTTTGAAAGCTTCCGAGTGGGGGTATTTCGTGAGTGCCGTATCGACCTCCCAGAAGACTTGGAGGAATAAGCGAGTGCTTCTGTCTTGCGATTGGGAATCGCCATCGGGACAGCCCGTCCGGTTCCCCATTCCTACCACGTTCCAAATAGCCGGTAGGTGATGCTATCGTTCGGTAGGCCTCGTTTGTACCTTATTTTGAAGTCTAACCGTCTTTCTCTTTGTGCAGGCAAGTTGAAGCAACCGAGCCCTACTCATCGGAGATTCGGCAGATTGAGAGAGTGAGGCTGAAGGTTCCTGCCGTAGAAAGGATCTACTCGCAGTTTCTCTTTACAGCCAATCTGATCAGAGCCAAACTCGTCGACCTTGCCGAAAGTAAGTACACCTTGCGTTTTACTGTGTTCACTTATTTCGTTTCAGTTTCTTACCAAAGGATTTGTTTTGCATAGTGACTGATGAAAGGAAGGCTGCCGAAGTTAAGAGGATGAATGAATCCTCGAGAAGGCATCTCCAGATGGGCCTACAGGCCAAGAAGAAGACTTGGCAGTCTGGGTCGGCTGCGGTACCCGAGGCAAGAGTTGATCCGGAGAATCAAACTCTTGCCGAACGACTCCGACAGCTCAACGGCGATTCAGGGCGCACTCGTGCTGCCGAGGCCAACCTTCCGCCCTCCCGAGACACCGAGGCCTCTGCTTCCAAGACTGCCAGTAAGAGGCCGTTCACTGTGGATCTCGACGCTGATCCCGTGCTAAAACGAGGCAGGCAATCTGAGGCTTTACTGAATGGAGCTGTCGGAGATAGAGGCTTTACCGAAGAAGATCCTTCGGGAGGAGGCTGGGCGCTTCTTCCAACTCCAGGCCTCGGTAAGTATATATCACACTACATGGTTACCGTTCTCGTATATACTTGTGCTGACTCATGTGGTTCCCCAGGCAACGATGGACATGTGGCTGTGCATGAAGCGGGCCATTACTGTCGCCGAGCGCGCTAAGAAGGCCTACGAGGATGGTAGGGCCAAGGTTGCCGAGGCTGGGAAGGCGCTCCAGGACCACGACCATCTCCTGCAGGATAAGCAAGCTGCCGAACGGCAGGTCAAGGCTTCCGAGGCCAAGCTTGCGGAAATGTGTGTAGCTCTGGAGTCCGCGGTGACGGTGGCAAGGGATGCTGAGGCAGCTAAGGAGGCGGTGCAAATGGCTATAGAGGAGTCAGAGTGAGCTAAGGCGGCAGAGATCGAGGCTGCCGTTCCGGAGGCAGTACGGAGTTACCGTTCGTCCTTAGAGTTCTCCAACCTTCTAGACAAGGAGGTGGGCTCTGAGATGGCGGGTCTACTCTACCGTTTCAAACGGTACAACGCAGGACAAAAGCTCAACCTCAACTTTATAGCCAATCCTCCTTCTCTTCCTGAAGGTATGACTGAAGAGATGATCGAGGACTATGAGGGGGAGGATGCCCCAGAAAAGGCTCATGTCGTCGAGGCTGCTACCGAAGAATCTCCTGCTGAAGCCGCTGCTGACAAGCAAGGCGTTACTTAGTTAGTTTTGTAATTTACTGTATTTTTGTTTTTGTACCTGCCATAAGGCAGTTGTTCCGAACACCTTGATGCCGAGGGCATCTTTTAATTTAAGTTCTACTTTCCCACATATCTGTTCAATACCAAGTAGGTTTACTTTCGGTACACTTCTGTTTTAACTGTCTTAGTAGCCGAGGGTTAAATGCCGAGGGCTAAATAGTAGGTTTTAAGCAGTTTAAATGCCGAAGGCCAATAAAAGGCTAATTTCCAAGTGCAGTTTTAATCGGTAGGAAGTTGAAAAACTAATCAACTTAATTGCCAAAGGCTAAATGATTGATTTAACTGCCGAAGGCTAGTAAAAGCTCAAATTTGAGTGAACCTTGAATCGGTAAGCTACTTAGGGCTTTATCATTTTACTACTGAAGGCTAGTAACAGAATAATTCTGAAGTTAACCTTTGATCGGTAGGAAAGCATACCGTGGTACCTTAATTGCCGAAGGCTAATAGAAGGATTTTAGACTGTGGTATAATGCGACCGATGGTCTCTACCGTATCCTTTAAACAAAAAAGAAATTAATGAACACACTGGAGGTTGTAAATATATAAGCCGAAGTCCTTTTCATTAACTGGTGCCGAGGGCATGAGTACAGTTTCTTTGAAATACATTATCATCCTGCCGTAGGCTAGGTGACTTCATTTAAAATAATATTTCAAATGCTCTACGTTCCAAGGATGACCAAGGGTCTTTCCGTTGGATTCTCTGAGACGATAAGTCCCCGATCGCTGGATGCCGATCATCTCGTAAGGTCTTTCCTAGGAAGGTCCGAGGGTTCCTTCCGTGGGGTTCTTAGTTGCCAAAGAGACTTTTCGCATGACCCAATCACCGATTCGGAAAGAGCGGGGTCTAACCCTTGAGTCGTAATACCGAGAGATGCGCTGTTTGTAGGCTTAATTCCGAAGGTTGGCTTGTGCTCGGCGTTCTTCGATTAGGTCGAAGCTTAATGCAAGTGCCTCCTCATTTGCTTTCGGTGCATAGGTTATCGTTAAGTAGGAGGACTCTCCGATCTCCACAGGAACCACTGCTTCCGAACTGAAGGCAAGAGAGAAGGGGGTTTCCCTAGTTGTCGTTCGGTAGGATGTTCGGATACCCATAATGCTTCTAGAAGCTTCTCCAGCCAGGCTCCTTTGGCCTTCTCAAGCTGCCGTTTCAATAGCTTCTTGACTATTTTATTCATTACTTCGACTTGACCGTTCGATTGGAGGTGTGCTGGCGAAGCGAAGAACAGGTTGATCTTGAGGCGAGTGCAGAACTGCCTAAAGGCTTCCAAGTCGAATTGCCTGCTGTTATCGGTGATGATGGCGTAGGGGATACCAAATCGGCAGTAAATGTTCGTCCAGATGAAATCTTCCATTCTGGCTGCCGTTATCGTTGCTAAGGCTTCAGCTTCTACCCATTTGGTGAAGTAGTCCACGGCAACCACATCATATTTGACCTGACCTTTGCCTTACGGCATCAGACCGATCAAGTCTAGTCCCCACTAGGCGAAAGGCCAAGGGCTTACAATCGGTGAGAGAGGCTCAGCAGGGATGTGATGGACACTACCGAACCGTTGGCATTTGTTGCACTTCTTGACTACCACGTTCGCATCTTGGTGTAAAGTCGGCCAGAAATACCCATGTCGGAAGACTTTGTGTGCCAGCGATCGGGACCCTGAATGGTCACCGCAAACTCCGTTGTGGACTTCTCGAATAACGTAGTCCCCTTGTTCTTTGGTGAGGCACTTCAGATACGGCGTGGTGTAGCCTCGCTTGTACAGAACATCGTTGATGACTGTGTATCTTGCCGATCGGTACCGTAGCTTTCGGGCTTGGGACTTATCGGTGGGCAGCGTTCCGTTCGTTAAGAAAGCATAAATTGGAGACATCCACGTGTTCTCATACCGTACGGCACATACATCAGCAGTCGTCGTGCTTGGCTGGGACAATATCTCCACCGGCACCTTCCTTCCGATATTGTCGTTTATTGCCGAAGCCAAACGTGAGAGTGCATCGGCGTGGCTGTTTTCTGACCTGGGGATCTGCCGAATCTCGTAAGCTTGGAACTTTTGTAGGAGTTGGTGAGCTACTGATAGGTAGGCTGACATAGAGGCATCCTTGGCTGCGAAGTCTGCAGTTATCTAGTTTACTATGAGCTGGGAGTCACTGTGAATGCTGATTTGTTTTGCGGTCATGCTCTTGGCTAGCCGAAGGCCAGCCAAAAGAGCCTCATACTCTGCCTTGTTGTTAGAGGTTCTGAAGTTGAATCGGAGGGCATATTCGACTTTGCCTCTGTCTGGAGTAGTCAACACCAAGCCAGCTCCACATCCTTGTTGCTTTGCCGAGCCATCGACGTGCAGGTTCCATATAGGAATGGAAGGATCAAAGCATTCGGCATTCAACTTTTCTGGTTCCAAAATAACAGTGTTCGGAAAGGATGGTTCCGATGGTGCTGAAGGTGTGAGCTCGGAAATAAAGTCGGCGATAGCCTGACCCTTCTCGGTAGGTCTTGGCTTAAACTGTATGTCGAATTCTCCGAGCTCGATCGCCCATTTGATCAATCGGCTAGATGTTTCTAGCTTTTGTAGTACCTGTCGAAGGGGTTGATTAGTTAGAACAATGATCTCGTGCGCTTGGAAGTATGGGCGGAGCTGTCGGGCTGAGACCACGAGGGCTCGTGCTAGCTGCTCCAAGGGAGGGTATCGAACCTCTGCGCTCTGAAGCGCCTTGTTGACATAGAAGATCGGTAGCTCTGCCTTCTCTGGCGTCCGTATCAATATCGAGCTAACGGCAGTGCTGGATACCGAAAGGTAGAGGAGGAGAACTTCTCCGGGGAGTGGTTTTGACAATAGTGGTGCCTTGCTCATGTAGTTCTTCAAGTCTTGAAATGCTCGGTCGAACTCGGAAGTCTATGTGATATGATGTTTGCCCCCCTTCAAGGCTTTGAAGAACAGTACGCACCTATCGGTAGCCTTGGAAATGAAGCACGTTAGGGCGGCGACACGTCATGTAAGGCTCTGAATGTCCTTTTGATTTTCTCGGGATTGGCTTCGATTCCCCTTTGGCTGATCATGAATCTGAGAAATTTCCCCGAAGATACACCGAAGGCGCACTTCGTTGGGTTCAGCCTCATTCGGTAATCTCTCAGTATACAGAACATGAGGGCTAAGTTTTCCAGATGCCCCCCTGCCGTTCGGCCTTTCACCAACATGTCGTCGACATACACCTCCATAATGCTGCTGATGTGTTTAGCAAAAATCCGATTGATGAGCCGTTGATACGTTGCCCCCACGTTTTTCAAGCCGAAAGGCATGACATTGTAACAGTACAACTCGCAGTCGGTGATGAATGCCATATGCTCGCTATCGGCAGGGTCCATGAAAATCTAGTTGTACCCTGAATAGGCATCCATGAAGCTGAGCAGCTCGTGTCCAGCGATTGCGTCAACGAGCTGGTCAATCCTCGGCAATGGGAAGCTATCCTTCGGACAGGCCTTGTTCAGGTCAGTATAGTCTTGACACATTCGCCATCCGCCCTTGGCCTTCCGAACCATGACTGAGTTGGCAAGCCAGACAGGGTACGTAGCCTCCTTGATAAAGCCGATGGCTTTAAGCTTGTCAACTTCGGTACGCATAGCCTCATACCATTCGGCATCATACGAACGGCGCTTCTGTCTGACAGGTTTATAGACAGAGGAGATGCTGAGCTTGTGGCAGATGACGTCAGGTGAAATTCCGGGCATATCATCGTAAGACCAGGCAAAGACCTTCGTGTGATGCCGCAGGAAGTCAATGAACTGCCGTTTCCAACTCCTCGGCAGGTTGTGCTAACGGTGTTGGCGTTTCCTCCCTCGGGTCTTCTATAGGCCCGCTACCGTTCGGTACCGCTCTCATAGACATTGCTTCCATTGGAGGTTTGGGGGCTATCGATTTCAGGGCCGTCGCATAGCAAGTCCGTGCGCTGAGCTGGTCCCCTCGGAGAGCGCCAGTGCCGTTGCTGGTTGGGAATTTCATTAGCAACATGTGGGGGGACAAGTGTGCTTTGACTCTGGTGAGTGTCGTCCGTCCTACGATGACGTTGTAAGCCGTTGGGCAGTCGACGATGAGGAATTGGTTGTAGGTCATCGTTTTTCGAGGGGCAACGCCGAAGGCGATGGGCAAACTGACACTACCGACTGGCTGGATCAGATCCCTAGAAAAACTAAGTAGAGGCGTTATCTGCCAATTGACCATGCTGTTGGCAATGCCCAATCCTCTGAAGGCATCGGCAAAAATTACATTTATCGAACTTCCAGTGTCGATCAGTACCCGACCTACATCATAATTGGCGATTTCGGCCCGAATGATCATTGAGTCATCGTGGGGGTAAATGATCCCTTCTTCCTCTTCTTCACAAAAGGTGATGGGCTCCCAACCCACCTTCGGGACCTTGCGGTGCCGATCGGCCTCGATGCCGAAGACTTGAGGGTAGTGAGCGGCACGCACATATTGTTTCACCGATCGGTTAGAGGGTCCTACCAGAGTGGGGCCTCCGCTGATGGTGCTAATCATGTTGATCTGCCGATTAGCATTTAGGGCTGGTGCCTGCGGTGGTCTGGCAATGTATTGGTCTAGCTTTCCTTCCCGAATTAGGCGTTCAACGATCTTCCTCAGACTGATGCAGTCTTCGATGTTGTGGCTGTTATGCTGGTGGTATCGGCAGAATTTGCCGATATCCCGATTGTCCTACCGATTGGGCTTTCGGTTGTTTGGTTTCGGGATTTGGTCACGTTCGTTCATCAAGACGGCCTCATATGTAGTATTCAACAGGGTGAAGACTTCCTGAGCGCGGTTGTGATTCGGTAGTGGCGCTCGGTGGTCATTGCGACCGTATTTCCCACGCCCTTTCTTTGAGCTTTCCTGCCGATTATCACGGTCGTCCTTTCACTTGTGACCTGCCGAAGAGTCGTCAGCCCTCCTGGGAGGGTATGATGATCCTTGCCCAGGATAGCTCTTTGGTGCTGATTCCTCCCGCTGTGCCGAAGGCCCGGACTTGGAGTTGAAATATTCAACCTTGGCATGGACTACAGCCTACTTCATCAGTTCGTCATATGTGCGCTAGTTGCTACTATGCACGAGATACCGAAAGTAAGAGGACCGAAGGCCACTCTTGAAGGCGTCGTAGGCTGCCCTATCATCCATTTCCGGATACCTCGAGTATTCATGACTGAAGTGCGCATCGTATTCCCGTAGAGGTTCGTCTTCTCTCTGCCGAATCGTGTACAGATCGCCGGCGGAGTACAAATAGTTTGTCTGGATCATGAAGTGATTGAGAAAAATCTGCTTCAGTTCGTCAAACGAGTCTACCATTCCTGGCTCAAGACGGTAGAACCAGTTCAAAGCGGCTTCGGTAAGGGAGGATGGGAACAACAGGCATTGCCCCTCATCGCTGAGGCCCTTGCATCCAACTGCCGATTGAAAAGAGTGAAGGTGCGTCAAGGGGTCCTCCACGTCGGTGTAGAACGGTATGCGCAACGGCTGTACCTCCCTGTCCTGCCTGTACTTCTTGATGCGCTCGGTAAAGGGTCCCGACTGAAGTTTCCCCCAATCAGATTCCTGGGACCGGGCTTGGTCGTCTTCCATCTTCTGAATTCTCTGGAAGAGCAGACGAATAGCGGGGTCTCGGCTTGGGACCTCCTCGGAACTATAGTCTTCGGAAGTTCTCTGCGGACTCGGTGGTCTCGCCTTTGAATACTCCATGGAAGTTTTCGAACAGTAGTTCGATTCAATGCCTTTGGAGGGGACATATTCGTTGTCAGATTCTACCTCCGACTCCAACCCTTAGACCTTCCTAAGGGGTGATTTGTTTCCAAGGACCCTCATCCGTGAGTCCCGCAGGCGGGCATTAATCCTGATCGGGGACCTTTGTCGTTCGGCCTCCTTGTCGTTTATCCGATGGCGACAGTCGACGTAGACCTTTTTCGGTATGTGAGGCTGGTCCTGTGGAGCTGGGACTACCAGCTGTTTGGAAAGCGCATGAGTTGCCTTTGCCCCCTTCTTCCCCTTCTTCTGCCGGCTGGGAGTCTGCAGACTCTGGGAAGATTCCGTAGCTTGGATATTCTGCATTTCCTGCTGATTAAGCGGCCGCTGGGTTTCGTCTACTTTGGACGAGAGGAGGTTGTTATGTTCTTGGAGCTTAGCCATTTCCTTCCGAAGGGAAGTCATTTGGGCCAGAAGCTCCGCTTCGACCACAGTCTGAATCGCCGGAGGATTACCTAAAGGAGTGCTAGGGGGCAACGCAGGGCTTGCTCCGCTTGGCTTGCCGAACGGTGGCCCATCCGGTACCGGTAAGTTAACAGTGGTGGTACAGTTTTTTTAGGTTCCGGTGTCCTATCGGTTGTTTTTTTTTTTTTTTTTTTTTTTTTTTTTTTTTATTATATTGGAATAGGTCGATTTTTATCAATTCCCACAGACGGCGCCAAACTGTTGACGCAGAAAAATTGTTTGGCACTTTCCCGCACAACCTAGTGATGTTGGGCCTTCGGTATGCTCTGGGCCTCGGTAGGGCGTGCAATCTGCAAGATAGCACACGCTCGGTAAGACCTAGGGCACCGGTGTGGTACCAGCCGAAGGCTCTCTGATGCTTAAGTAAGTACGGATTTAGTAAGATTGAACTACAGATCAATAGGCAGTATGCCGTAAGTTCTGATTACCTTCATTCTGGGGAATTGTGCTTCCTTTATAGACCTTGGGAGGTGTGCATGTTGTGTAGATTTTCGATGTGGGACTGTGGACATCAATTGTGAGCTTGCCACATGTCCTAGAGAAGGAGGTTGCCCTAATTGTTGGATCGGTAAACTGGGTGCCGAAGGCTACCATGACCCATTTCGTCTATGTGTCAACTTCTCATTGGCTGTTCATTTGGTATAAACAAAATATAAACCTTGTTCCTTCAGGATTAGAATATTTGAAAGAGATCCGTTCTCTAATTGAACTGGGTTAGAATGTCTGTTCATGTTAAAGTTAGGGTCTTAGGATTGAGACAAACCAAGAAAAAAAGAAAAAAAGAAAAACCTGGAAACCTGGTTCCTTCAGCAACTTTGAGAACGCTTCCATATATCTAATTCCCAATCTCTGCCAAATTTCAATGGAAGAAACAAAAAATAAAGAGCTGACTTTTACCTCTCTCCCACCGTCCTCTCACCCAGCTTTTTCTACAACTTCAACCAATCACATGGCACCTCTTCTAAAAACAAACCAAAGCACCATTAGACTCTGCAAAATTGAAATAATAATAAAAATCTAAATATAAATTAAACTTCTGAAAGAATTTGAAACTGAGGTTCCATAAAATTTAGTAAAACCAACTTGAGAGTGCAGCCGTGAGGTTCCGCAAAGCAAAATTGAAAAAACGTTTTGAACGAAAGAGGGATAGAGAGAGAGTTAGGGTTACCTTGAGATTGCAGTCGTGAGAGGGTTTGGGAACCAAGAGGATTTCTAGATGAGAAAGAATGATACAGGGTTTGGAGTTAGAGAGAATTTCAAGTCTCCATCCAATTTTATTAAGTGAAATAGAAAGTGTACATGTAATCCGTAAAATGATTTAAGGAAGAACAACTATATCAGGTCAAGAACGGCTAGGACAAACTGCTGATTTTATTATTATTATTATTATTTTTTATATCTTATTTTTTAATTAAATTTTTAATGAATTTAAATTTTAAAATATTTATATATATATGACTTTTTTTAAAAAAAATTAAGCAACATGACATTATATCATTGGATGTGTGGGCTCCACATATGCCCCACATTAACAATTTAACCTAATATTTGGCGTCACGTCAACAATTTAATAGAAACTAACGAACCACGTGGACATTTTGTGATAAAAAACATTTTGAGGTAGCCGTTCAGAATTTTGAGAGAGTATATGTTGTCCAATATTGAATAAATAAGTCCGCGTAACATCTAAATTAGAGCATTTCTAGAGGCCAACCTTGGCCCGGGCAGGAGGGGCCCAAGCCCCATGTCGACGTTCCAGTGGGCTTCAGCAGTCCGGGAAGGCAAAATGAGCCCATGCTCTAGCTTGAGGGATGCTTACGTCAATGTCCAAATTTTAAAAAAAAATTTACCGTTGGTGCGAGCACCACATTTACCAACGGTAATTTTTTTTAAACTTCGATGCGTTGACGCCAACCTGACGTCAGCCCTACTTTTCGCCAACAGCTAGAAGCCACGTTTGGCATGTTGTTGTTTGTTGTCCTTTTTTTCTTTTTTTCCTTTCCTCCAATGTTTTTTTTTAAAACCAATTTTTAAAAAATTACCAAAAAATGCTGATTTTTTTTTCTTCTTGTAAATACCTACCAATATTCTTCACTTTCAACACCAAATATTCATCCATTTTCTTCTCCTTCTAATATTATTCACTTTCTACACAAAATTTTCTTCCTTTTCAAAATTCAATTTTATTCATCATCTTAAGGCATCTTCCATCGAAGCCGGAGGGCCGTGGATAACCATGAAAGATGTGACAAGACTCGTCCCGAATTCTTCAAAATCCATGACGAACCCTGTATTTTTCCGACATCCACCCAATGCTGGGTCCACTTACTAACAACATCCTCTTCTCCAAAAACAAAGGAAAAAAATGTGGCAATCTCCCTTGAAAAACAGATTTTTGCCAAATTCAACATGTCAAAACACAGAAATAATAAAATTCCAACCGGCAGCACGCACAAAGTAGAAGTACCCAATTTACATAACATGCTAGAATCAATCATCGATCCAAATGGGTTTCAGACCTGTCATAACCACGAACACATTTTAACCACAACCATTCAGTAAAAACTGAATATATAAACAAGCATTTAAGCTCATCTCGACTGGGCTTCAAGCCCACCGACATAATCAAAACCAAACTCAACTAAAGTAATAGTTTAATTCATGGCTATACCTAAGTGAAATTCAAAGCTACCTACGTACCCCTTGGTGAAGGATCAAGCCACACGTAGTTCTTCAATCAATAATCATGAACTAGATAATATGACTAGACCTGACCCAAATTCCACTTTGGAATTCTTTTGCCAGTCAGTGACACTATTTATGGTCTTAATAGCATAATATGAATGGAAATTTCAACATTGAATATGAACATAAGGAGTGGCATCCATATTCAACCAAAAAAAAAAATTCAATGGAAATTTCAAAATTTATGAAAAATTACCAGGCATAAATCGTATAATATGAATGATAAATAAGAAACAAGTTCTAAAACTTCAAACTGGCTTGCCAAAAAATGGAATTTAAATATAAAATTCCATACCAAGCGGATCTTGAGAGCAAATCCAACTAATAATAATGTAAACTTGGAATGCCAAAAAAATTCAACAAAAAACCTGAACAACATAAAACCCAAAAAATATTAGGCTAAACAAGAAATGGAAGATAATAAAAAAGAAATATGAAACAAAACCAAGGAAAATAATTGTTGCTAAGGAGTGGGGTTTTCAGTGAATCTTAAATCTATGATGAGATGGGGTTCAAGATTCGAACATACAGCAGTAAGACATTATACATGGGTTGAGATTGAAGATGCCGCATGCAGTTTGCATCAAGCCTTTGTTACTGTCAAGAGAGAGGAGAGCTTATCAGTCTGTGCATGGGAGGAAGACTCAGTCACTGCCGTGGAGAAATAGATAAGTCAACCTGTGAGATAGGTTGTTTGTTGGTCGCCGTTGACAAAGTGATAAAAGAGTGGGAGCTTTTCTGTTTCTGAAAAAAAAATCTCAAATGAGATGAGGGATTAGGGTTGAGATGGAGAGATGCTGTGGTGTAGAAAGGCCCACCATAATCTTTTCTATATACCCAAGAGAAAACTTATTACCTTGACCTGTTATAGCAGGTTCTCCTCTATTTTTTTTACAAATCAATTAGCATGTGCACTGCACATGCTTCATAAAGGACAAATGACGCACCCATGCGTCAGGTCCTCTCAAACTGGAGATAAACATTAAAAAGCTGTTGAGATACAGATATTGAGCTAGCTGTCAACGTATACCAAAAATGAGGAACATGTGTTATAGACATGCATTGGAGGGAACATGTGCTAAAGAACATGGAACATGTGTTATAGAAATCTGGTTATGTCCTGAGAGAATCTGTCCGCAAGCATTTAAATCCCACCTAACAGATTAATAAACCAATAAACAATCCCCATCTAGCACCTCTTGTATATGAGAGCCTTTAAATGCTAAGCAAAAGAATCTGTCAGCCTATTTTTTCGGGTCTGCAGAATCTCTAAGCTAAGGCCACCAATCTTCGTTGTTTTTTTGTTTTTTTTTATGCGAAAAGCTACCAATCAAAACTACCAAGTCTCATAAAATCCCACCTAACTAAACTAATCACTCGTCCCAACTAACTGAACTTATCACTCACAGAAGAAATTGATACACATGGGTTATGGAGGGAAATGCCAACCAAAATAAACCAATAAACAATCCCATCTAGCAGATCTTGTACAATACTATGAGCAAACTACCTAGAAGAATCTAGCTAGCAGCTTTTTTTTGGGTGGAAGAATCTCTGAGCTAGAGAGCCACCAATCAAAACTACAGAGTCTTCATAAAATCCCACCTAACTAAACTAATCACTCACAGAAGAAGTTGATAAACATGGGTTATGGAAGTAATGCCAAACAAAATAAATGGGCGATGCGTAGGGGGAATAATGTCAATCAAACTAAATGGGGTGATTGATATGTTATTAATAGGGAATATTAATTATAATTAAGGTAGTTAATGACATACTTGAAAATAAATTATAAATAAAATATGAAGGTAGGTAGCATATAATGCAATTTAGTTAATAATCCTAGGACAAATCTAAACCCTAGACATTGATATTCATTATATATATCTATATATAAAGCAAAAGGCAGAGAATGGTAAAACATTCAAAATACCAGAAAATATCCGTAGTTAATAGTAGTTGTAAGAGTCTATATCAAAAGAACTCTTTCTAAAATAAGACACTCTGGCTTTTCAAAAAAGTATGTTGTTATTCAATGCAGATCCTTTCCTTTGCCTATAAAGAGCAGTTAGATGGCCACACACTTGATATAGCCTTCAGAAAAGAGTCATATTGCTTTGGAGGTAGACATAGCCTGTCGCTAACCAAGTAAGATGGACCCAGACTTGATCAAG